CCAGATTTCGGCTAAATTATTCTTGGCAGGACAAAACTTTTGTGAGGCACCTCCGTACAATCTTGTTACCTTGGCCTGTCCGATCGTGCTCCCGAGCTTAAGACTACCCTCCGGGGTCGAGCCCCTTACACCGCCCATGTCCACCTGGAACCACATGTTCGCTGTCGATAACGCCGTTATGCTATCGACGTGTTTGGCTGTGTCCGTTGCCTGTGTGGATACCATGCCTCTCTGCATGGCCTGTGCTCCCATCCTTGTGCTTGTTTCCCAGACGGTTATTCTTTCTGCTCTTCAAACGCCGGCCGTGGTCCACATGTTTTCACCACATGGCTGAGACAGCGCGTGGCAGCATGCCAAACAATCTGACTCCTCTTGTTGACAGCAAGCCACGACTCGTGGTGCGTCGTCTGTGCGGGAAAAACAGCTCTTTGTGCGCAGTAAGAACGAAAAATTAGCCGCTCTACATATCGTTTCAACCTCTCCCGACGCTGTTCCATTAGGCTAGCATTCGCCGCCGCGGCTTTCAAAAGAACTTCCGTATCAGCCCATGCGTTCCCGCTAGGACGTCCATTACGCAAGCTACCGAGCACCAGCCATAGTGTGTGCTTTCACCAGTAAGCCAGCTCCTTAGGCTCAAGTCTGGATTCGTCTGAACCTGCATTCGATATCTGACTTTGCCGTCTATGTTACGATCGTCCTTAGGCAGGTTTCTATTTACCCGTACAAACATTATGTTTTATGTATAAGTTATTTCGGCGCTAATGTAGTAGATTAAGCAACGCAGTGGGTAATGGTGGATTGATAAGGCAGTAGATTGGCAGCAGTAATGAAATAACGCAGTAGATTTGACAAACTAGTACACGCAGTAGTGCAGTAGACTTTATACTAGGCTTTATATTTTCTTAGTACATGTTATAGTGTAATAGACTTCACTATGCAGCAATTTCTGCAAAGTAGAGTATACGAGATGACAATAAGATCTTATAACCGACATCTCAACACCATACGTCACCATTTCCTACACACTGAATGGTTGCAAAGGGCTACTGACATCCTCCATCAATCACGAGAACTCGTTCAAGAAAAGATGGACATACCCTGAACGCTATGCCAGTACCTCCTCCTATGATGAGAAAGAATACAACGAGATTCCGACACTGGCAAAGACATAGATATTGAAGGAAATATCTTAGTTCCCGTAGCCTCATTTTCGAGAGTAGGAAAGCAGAAACAGACGATGCATACATGGCGAGGTCTTGGAATACACAGTCTGTCATACGCTTGCTAGCAGACATGCATCCTCTGTGTGAAGGTGAAAGTGAGTGCAATATTTGCCTTGCCCCGCAACCTCTCACCTTCACCACGACGTCACTAGGCAGCAACTTCAGTCTGCTCATTTCAACTGTTCAGCTGGCCTTCACCATTCATTTTCCTCGCCCCTCCTCTCTTGATATCACTTCTGGAAACCACTCCTACATACAACTCTCTTGATATCACTCATCGTGAGTACATATACTCTCTTTGTAGGTTTCAACACCAACACAACCAGGTCCTACCCATCTCAAACACTTCATACACGATACCACAATACAATGCCGCCCAAGGCCACTCCCGACAAGATGTTCAGCGCGGACGTTGTAGCCGCGATCCTCTACAGCACAGGCAAGACGAGTCTTTCCATGGAAAACTACAAGATGATGAGCGCCCTCGACGGCACCAAGACGGCCAACGCCTTCCAGCACGACCTCCGCTCCGTACTTGCGACAGCCAAGAAACTCAAGGAGCGCGTCGACAACGGCGAGAAGTTCGAGCCTGTCCAGCCTGGCGCCAAGCGCGGTCCCAGTAAGTATCCGCTCGGGTTGCCTACCACCATGCTTTCTTTTCCATGCTGAGAACACAGCGTAGGCTCTGCCCCGGCAACGCCCGCGAGCACCACCAAGAAGCGCAAGGGCAATCCTGCTGCGAACGCAGACATGCAGGAGTCGCCCTCCAAGGCCAAGAAGAGTAGGCTGGATACGCCGACTGCAGACGCCACGCACGACTACCCGGACGATGCGTACGACTTCATCAAGAAGGAGAAGCTTTGGGAGAATGGTTATGTCTAGGTGGCTGGGACACACATATGCCAGTAATTCACACGAGATACGATGGATGAGAGGAGTGGAGTAGAGTACCCATTTAATCACTGGCCTTGTGGTGGTGGAAAATAATTACCCAGTCATGAAAAAATATTCAAGTGGATGGCTTTGTTTAATGGCTGAATTGTGTATGCGCGGGTCCGACGAGCTAGCTGTTAAGCTGATGGTTGCGACTTTGGCTGCATCTTGGAAATTAGTCACGTGCTGTGTATAGGGGCTGGGATTGCGAGATGAAATCAATGCGAATTGGGTTGAAGAAGGTCTGCAGCTATTGGCGGGATGGATGCTGAGGTTTAGGAATTTCTGTCTTGAGTTGGAATAGCGAGGCCGTTGAATGACATGACGAACGCTTGGACAGTATCACGGCTAGAACAGCCAGAACAGCGTAACGGTTAAAACTGCATCCCTTTTTAGCGCTGTCATAGGCTGTGGGAATGCTTCTCCAGGCTAAATCCGCAGTTACTGCAGTATATGCTGCATACTAAGAAGATAGACCAGAAGTCAACTCAATATCCTGAATTTGCTGCTCAACATGCATTGCCGAGTTGATTCAAACCCAACCCGACCATTACCTGCCTCAGACACTGAACGCCTTCTCAACCAAATCCACATTGACAGCCTTTCCATCCTCAGCCCAGTCGCCCATATCCATCAATCTATCCCTCTGCACCTCCAACTCGCGATTCATAATCGCGTTACCTGGATTGCCCACGCTCCGCTTCAGCTCCTCAATCATCTCCCTCGCTTTCTCCACCACGCTCTTCGTAAACGCGTTGTCTTGTCCGTGACTCTGAGGCGCGACATCCAGCACTTGCTTTACCAGCATCATGGCAATAAGACCCATGTTTACGCCCGGGGCGCCGACACCCTCTTCCGTGCTTGCGAGATACGCGGCCAACATGGCCATCTGCCACGTTTGCACCACTCGCACGGGGTGGAACGGCACGGGGTATAGCTTGGGAAGGATGTACTTGTATCGCTTTGCGCATTGTGCCCATGCTTCCTGAAATTTGCCTACCGAAAGTAGATTCACGATCAGCTCGTCGCGGAGCGAGGCGTAGGGCTGGCGGTATAGCGGCCAGTGCGTGGACTCATGGCACGTCTTGAGCGATTTTTGAAGAACAGGAATGGCGGCTTCTACGTTGCCAATACCTTGGAGCTGCTCGTATAAAGCGAACAGCTCCTCTTGGGTGCTGGCCAACGTCTGCTTTTCGTCTTTGCTGGGCGCGTAATTGGGGTCCGCAGGGACGAGCCAGTTGTCTTCCTGGTGTACGGCTTTGTCTTGACACTTTGCACAGCGGCATGTGAAGAACCAGCGTGCTTGGAGTTCGTCTTGTCGTTTTTGGTATGGATGCGTCGTGTCGATGTAGGATATAAAAATCTCCTTGTCTTTTCTAATGGGACGCAGCGTGCGAATGCTGACTAGAGGTCCGTCCATCATGATGTATGCATTTGGGTCGCAGGAGTGGTTCATGTGGCAGAGCGTTGAGTCCACGATGATGCCGAGGGGATCCAATGTGGGTGTGATGAGTGTCAGGGCGTTTGACATTACCTTTGGAATTTAATAGCATACTTGACAGCATATCGGTCCACTTACCCGGCCATACATGGCGGCGACAAAGTCCTTGTCGAACATATCCTGTGACAAAGAGAACTGTCCCGCCCCCATTGCCATTAATTCAATGTTCGGGTAGGTTCCATTTCGCTTAAAGTCATCAATGTGAGATGGTAGCTGGCAAAGCAGTTCCCAATCTTGGTCGGAAATCAAGCCATGCTTCCGTCGTGTAAGAAGCTCCATAGAAGCCAAAAACGCTTTTGGAAGTCCTCTTCCTGCCATTGGCTTCAAGATCTTGCACTCATGTTTGTGACCACGGTTCCAAGCTTCTTTCTGGCAAGCCTAGAGGAGGTCAATCGTCAGAAAGTGAATATAAAGCAATATTACGTACCTTGCTGCAGTATCTGAACCTCTGGCATGCCGCACACTTGCTGACTTCTGCACCTTCTGGCACATACAATCGTGTTCCCGCCGACGAGCCTTCGGTCCAAAGATAGCAATTCGCGCAAGTATCAAGCAGGCGTTCCGTCTCTAACGAGCCCACAAGCGGACGCCTAAACCTCGCAATCTCTTCACCAGCACCAAATCTTTGATTCGCAAATAAGCCATTTCCGACACTCTCTCCTTTGCTGTTGACGCACACATTTGACTTGGCAATATAGTACGGCGCTGGAGTAGCTACCGAAGACTTTTGCTCGTCCGACATGCTCTGAAACCAACAACTTCTACTCAATCTTATCGGATTCTGTGCGGGGATGGAAGAAGTCAGACTCGGGATAACGCGTCTGGTGCGACGTCATTGTTTTCCCTTCCGGACCAAGCTCTCGCCGCGAGAAAACGTGAGTCTGGCATGCCTAGTCCCGATTAGGCTTGGTCTGGCCACTCCCCTCACTACTACCACGGCACTACAAAGTGCATGTATTGTGCTCCTGAACATTCTACTGCTTCGATAGAGACGGAATGGGAGACGGAAGCCATGGATTGAGATGCACAGTTTGCGCCACACGCCTCGCAAACAACACGTGAAAGACAGTGTGCTATCCTATTAATATGTAACAAGCCCGCGTCATTTGCGTGGCCTTCCACGCGGATCCCTTACACACAGCAAACACACTTTTTTTTTCTAGTTCCAAGGTTATCTGCAAGTTCTTGAGTAACGTGTCCATGAAGCTATCGTTTCGGTCCCTCTGGCGTCACCATGGTGCGAATTACAAGACCTCAACCGTACCCACCACCCCGGTTCTACGGATATCGCAATATCGCTTTCCCGCCAACAAACCCCCACCGAACAACTCTGCACAAGCCGAAGTTGAGGAAACCCTTTCAATACATTTTCAAACAGCTGTGCAAGACCTCAAAAGCCACTATAAGCATCTTGACCGGTCTGCCCGCGAACAAGCGCTCGTCCGCGACCTGGTACACGACTGGAATGAACGGCGTCTGATCGCCGCGTGGAAATACCTTGAGAGCCATCCTAGCCGGGCCTCGGAAATGGTGAATCTACTGGGCCTCGACTTTGGCGAGGAAACCCTCAGTACGGTGGTTTGGCAGGGGCTTCGCAATCTCCGCAAGTATCCGCGCCGAGAACGCTTTCCCGTGGTGGCGAGGGCACTGCAGCAGACGGGGAATAGTGATGAGGTGTTGGGGCTGGATAATTCGATGTTTGATTTGCTTCGTGGCCGGAGGGGAGAGGGCGTGGTGCAATAGTCATGAGAGATGTTTGTTGTGCTTCTAAGAGGCGGATGATTGGCGGTTAGAATTGAAAGGAGAAGAGGAAGTTGAGTTACGCAATGTAAAGAGCAATCAGGTTGCGACTGAAGTTTTTCTCTCGTTGTACCAGCAGCATGCGATGTATCAAATCTTCTAATATGCAGAGTCATTTGTACGCTTGCTACCGCCTAGTTCTCGGCATCTTTAAGAGTGTCTAATTTCTTTAATGTCTACCAATCCCCTGTGTACGGTGACCAATCAAAAAACAACCTATTTGACATGTGCAAGTTATTGAAGCCTTTCCGCCAAATCTTGCACACCAGAAAGAACTCCATTGTTATTGCCTTGCCCACATAACGAACACAATAGCTCAGGTATACAAGCGCATGAATCACACACCCTAATGTGCGTTCAACCCATCACCTAGTCATTTCCTATAGTAGCATTGTGCCGGACTTAGATATGTAGCTACAAAGGTAAACCTGCACTCTGCATGTTGAATTTGTGCTGAAGAAGTCCCGACATAATGCGTAATAGTAGTTGGGCTAAGGAAATAAAGCTGATGGGCCGATTGATTGATGTAGACATGTACAAGTGGTGGTTTGCCTTCAACACGAAAAGACGCTGACTGCAGGAGAACATATATATGAGTACTGGTAATTAATTAGTTCTTGGTATATAATCTCGCTATCCGTACCCGAACTACATAACTAGTGCTATAGACGCACAACTATCCTATTAATGCAACATATGACTTTTGCTACCTTCTTATCCGTCTATTATGCGTGAGTCACTGTCCCAAGTCGGATGACAACTATCTGAGATCTAGCATGGCTCTTGATTCAGGCAGAGTGGCTATGCTTCATCTACTTTGGCAATTCTCCCGCTCATCCTCGTTGGCATGGTCGTGGTACGCGCAGGGCACCCAGGGCTCGTTATATGTTCAGCTCGAATAATCCGCTACACTCTGCGAGTACCTTGGGATCAGTTTAGCGACACATATAGCAGACACATTCTCTGCGAGCCATTCCAAGTTTGGTAAGGCACAGTGGCCCTCTCTTCCGTACAAAGGTCGACATTGCACATCCACGAAAAGCTTGAGAAGAGCATGGTCTTCGGACAAGTTGTCCAACGCATATATAGCCGCATCGAAGAAGGTCTGGCCAAATGATTTATGCACCCACAAGATGGTATCCACGATGCAATTTCGGGCTGCTCGACGAAACCCCGGCGATAGAATCCTGTCCCCAAAGACAATGGCTTTTATCAGGACAATAATTTTTCTCAGAGGGGGTCCGAGGATTTCAGGGCTATCTGAGTCAGTTGCCGGGTGAAGTTTGGCCAGGCTGCTCTATTCGTATTTTGCTGGCATCCTCTGAATACAAAGTCACTGAACAAAGACATCGAAAACCAATGGCTCTACGTCGTCAGGGGAAACTGTCTTGTCATTCTACTCTCTCCATATTCCATTGAAAGCCTTGTGAAAATACTCGGAAGGGTGGGTGATCGGCGCGCTGTGCAGATGGTACTGCTGTGCTTGAGGTCCAATCCCCACGAGGACCACACCGTCGTTAGCGACACCCCTGAGACAATATTAGCCACTAACTGCACAATATGTGGATGGAAGAGGCGGCTAAACTTACGCGATGAGTGGATTTTCGCTTACTTCACCAGGAGGCGCAGACTCTGAGGTTTCTAGAGTCAACATTCTTATGGAACCCCACACCAAACCGCTTGTACTTGTTGTAGCTGTGAGAAATGTGAGTGAGAGAACAGAAGCTTCAAGTGCAATTGGCGGTCATATTACATAAAACCTCAGCAATGGATTGATGACACGGTGAAGGTAAAGACTGAGCAAAGTAAACACGTAGCGGTCTAATTGCCAGTACGCTGCCATTGGTGCAATACCTGTTCAGTTTTTCCAACGCTACTGCCTAGATATTGGCATCGTAATTTATAGAGAAGATGTGGCCTTTTGTATCATGTCTGATTGAAGTTCTACAGTGTACTCAACACTGGAGTGGTAGGCAGCAACAGTTACATCTGCCAAGCAAACCACTATTCCGAACAATCACAAATCCTCACTCCCCACGAGGCACTGCATATACGATAAGACTTCTTTCGTGAACCCGACAGGTGATAGGAGCTTGTTGAAACTTGTCGAAACTTGCCGGTACATTATCATAATATGTGATACCCATGTTTGATTGGCGATACAAGGAAAAAAGTACGTATAAGAAAAACCAATGCGTATGAACATACTAGTGATGAATCGCTTGCTTCTATGATATCTTGGTCCGTCTTGGAAGTACGGTAGCTGTACTATGGAGCTAATGCTTTTTTTTCGACTAATGTATGACGTGCGCTAAATCAGCTTGCTATGCTTCTGTCAAAAATTAGGAAACGCTCGCTCGAGTGGGGTGGAACTCTCTGGGTTCCAATATGACCGTCTCCCCCCCCCCCCCTTGGGATGTTGCGCTAATTCATCACTTCTTAACCGTATTCCGCTTACAGTTGTCGTAATTTTTGTAATACTTGCAGTGTTCCGAGAGTCTGTTCTCCCAAACCCTCAGAGAACTCGTTTTTCCTGTCGAGTACCTTGCTATAACTTTGACGAGAAACTTATAAGGCATGTCTCTTCTCAGCAAGTGAGCATACAGAGATTCTTCGCTGGCTGATGTTCGAACGAGATGCGAACAGTACAAATCAATGAAGAGTTCATTGATGATGTGCTCTTCGGGCAAGTTCTCGAAAGAAAACTTGACTGCCGTGAATATGGTAAAGGTTCCAGGCTCGTCTGCAGAAAGGACTTCAATGATACCCCTACTGGCTCCTCGCCGAAACGCCGGCGATAAAAACCTGTCCCCAAACACCAGAGATTTCGTGAGAACAGTGATTACTGGGTCTCCGTCTTCTTCGTCCTCAGGATATACTTTGAGTATACGCTCGATTTCCTCGACTGAGGGCATATCCTGAGTATAGAGCCATTGAACAAAAACATCGAAAATTGCTGGTTCGATATCTTCAAGGACAACATCCTTTTCGTCTGCTTCTTTCCATTGACCGCTGTAAGCACTGCCGAAGTATTCGGAGTGATAAGTGATCAGGCCTTTGTGTATGCGATATTGTTTTTGCTGCGGCCCAATCTTCACTGTGACCATTTCCTGTTGCGTAACGGCGCTATAAACGTAGTATTAGCTACTTATATCTACACTTGTGCAACAACGAGCACCGAGCTTACTCCAGTAACGCTTTCATGTCTAACCCGTCACGATCCGCCGGTTGCGACTTGTTCGAAGTTGCCATTCCTGCGAACCCGAACCCGAGCCGCGCGTTTTTGTTCTGGGGTTAAGAGTGAGTGGTAGTCGAGAGCGTTGAGTCAGCAGTGGTGATTTTAGAATGAGAGAGGTCGCTGGTACGCTGACTTTAGGTTGAAGGTAACCTGCATGGACGCGCAATGACCCAGGACGCGCAATGACCCACCCCACCAAAAAACCTATTGCAAAAGATGAGGCTGTACAGCCACCCATAGTCGCTATTATTACGAGATTTCATGGTGTTGTAGTAATTATAGTATTGCGATCATGATAGGCTACTTGTATCTACTTAGTAGCTTAGTGGTGCGGCCGTGGCGGGTAGTTAGTCCAAGTTAGGACGGCTAGTGCAGCCACCTTAGCTTGTACATGAGATGAATCAACAACAACACGTTTCTGACGCTTCTGCTTTTAAGAGGAGCCTTGTCAGGCTTTGCGCTTACCCCTTTGGGATAATTGTATAGCTTTTTTAGCCTCCTGGGCTGCCTTTTGAGCCTCCTTTTAAGCCACCTTGGCGGCTCTCTCCTTCTCTCTCACCTCCTTGAGCCTCTTTCTCTTAACACGCTTCTCCTAGGCTATTTGAAGCTTGTACAATTAAGCTTGTCTCCTTAACTTAGATCTCTTAGCTTTCTGGAGTTGTAATTGCTGTTGTTCTTGTTGTCGTTCCATCTTATCCTCCTTAGCTTGGCGAACCTTCTTAGGAGACTAAAAGACAGCTCCTCTATAGTACTCCTCAGGCCTATTGAGTTGAAGCGTGTAGCTCTTCTTTTGGTGTCTCTTTTTAACCTTTAGAGCCTCTCTTAAGCCCTGGTTTTCTCCTTTGAGTATACTATTTTGAGCTAAGAGGTGATGGAGGCTTCGGCGAAGCTTTTTTACCTCCTTATTATTGAAATCCTTCACCTCCCAGCGTATAATAGACTCAATTTTGAGCCAATCATCTCCACTAAGGACAGAAGAAGAGCTTTTATCTGAACTAGAGGCCTCTTGTTGGAACTTTTGGAGAATAACCTTAGCATTTAGTGGGTTAATGCTAGTTGCCTTAAAGGAGCTTATAATAGTCTCCTTTCTAAAAGCTGTACCCCAAGCCCTCTAAAAGAGCTTAAAGAAGTCTCCTTTTGCTAGAGGAAGGATTCCATGGCTCCAATAGAGGAAGTTTAACAACTCCTTTGAGTAGGCTGACGCTAGAGGCCCAAACATCCCAACGTCAAGAGGCTGAAGCCTATAGGTCGAATGAGGAGGATATACAGCAACTAGAATCCTATAGCTGTTGCAATAATCTAGAAAATCCATGGTTACATGAGATAAGTGGCCATCAACAATGAGTAACCGGTACCCAGTTCAAGCGTAGCGTGCAGTCTCTCTTTTAAAGACCTCTTTAAGCCAAGCTAGGCCTATATTATTGTTAGTCCATCTAGAGGGCGATGAGGTAACAAAGACTGAGTGCTTGTTTGGATTAATAGCCTCTACCTAGGCTGATTTAGAGCTCTAGCATCTAACTGAAAGATAAGAGATAGAGAAAGAGGTGTACCATCTAAGCAGATACAGGCTAGGACTGTAATCCACTCTCTAGAGCCATCTTATAGGCTTAAAACAACTCCTCCTCTTTTATATTGCCTCTTACTAAAGATCCTTTTAGACCTTCTAAGGATTCTAAGTAAAAAGCCCTTTTTATCTATATTAAAGATGTAAGAGGGCTGTATATTGTACTCCTTCATCTTATTATGTAACAGCTTAAAGTACAACCTATACTTAGTTGCTAAATCAGCCTTATAACGCTTCTAGTCTATAGGACTCTGCCAGCAAGAGATAAGATGAGAGGAGTTCCTGCAGAGGAACCTAGAAACCTAGCGTTCTAAAACGTCTCTACTAAGCAAGGATGACGCAAGATGGCGTATTATTAGACGCGAAGGTGGTGTACGCCTCTTAGTGAGGGATTCGATGTACTATATAAGCTCCTTTTCGCGTTGTGGGTGGATAGAGAGGTGGGCGAGCGCGCGAGGCTGAGTTTTGCCTTGGTGTCTTTAAGCGAGCGTACGATAGCTAATGCTAAACCTTTTTGCAACTTGGCGATAGCTGAAAGATGCGCCTAGTTCGCGCGATTTAATTTCTTTAATCGCTTCCTGAATTGGGTCTATATTAGTGGAGTTATAAGGTATTTTGTGTAGGTGTTGAGTTTGGTGGGGTGGGTCATTGCGCGTCCTGGGTCATTGCGCGTCCATGCAGGTTACGGTCATGTTTTACAAGCTTATCTATACTTACGTTCATTGGACATCTGGCCCTGCGGTAAGGTCTGTGCTTACGCGAGCCAGTTGGGAGTCCTACAACATAACTAATACCGAATAAACATGTGGCAGGGTAACTACGTTGAGATCAAGAGAACCCAATCTCATGCAATGCGCTGATAAGCCACAAGCAGCTCTCCCACCATGCACACTACTACCCCACCAAAAACACCAAAACACCTTCGGGCCACGAAGTCGCCAGTTCAAGACATAAACTCGGAATCTCATCTTTACTCCATAATACACCTAGAAACAGTATACTCCTCCACCTCACTTCTCCACCACCGCATCTCCATCTACCCAATCCCCCCCATCATCAGCGCCCAGAACACCCAAAACAAGCATATGAATACTCCAATACTACTGCATGCAGTCTTCAAAAAATATAAGTAAAAGAAAAAAAAACCACCCCAGGGATTCTGACATGGAGTGTATGAATTGAGCATGAATTTGATGCAGTAAATATATACAAGTAAGTGCAAGAAGAAGAAGAAGAAGAAGAAGAAGAAGAAGAAGAAGAAGAAGAAGAAGAAGAAAAAAAAACCGCAGGATGGCATCAAAAAGCCATCCACCCATGCATCCAAGCATGCAACATCCATTGAGGCTCCAAGTCCCCAGGCCGCTCACTTTTCCACCTCTTCTTGCATCTCCTGCTAACCTCCTTGTCTCCCTTTCCACAACATGTACATTCTCTCTCTCTCTCTCCCTTTCCCTTTCTCTCACACACACACACACTCTCTCTCAATCCCACTCATACCCACCCAACGGCTCACAATCCTTGGTCGCGTAAATCCACTCCTCCTCCTCGTCACAGGACCGCACAGAACAAGACTCAGGTTCCGGGTCTTTGTCTGGACATGAGCGTGGCACCTTGTCATTTCCAGGGGAGTCGTCGCCGTCATCACTGTCATCGCTGTCATCGCTGCTGCTCCAGGCATCGTAGCTGTAGTCCTCGGCATCCGAGTCGTCGTCGTAGTCGTCGTCGCTACTAGCCCAGTGGTCAATTTCAGGCTGAGGCTCCGGTCCATGCTGAGGCTCCGGTCCATGCTGAGGCTCCGGTTCATGCTGAGCCTCAGGATACGTATTGTCCTGGCCTTGCGGCTCCCAGGAATAGTCTTGGTTGCACAGACATCCCCAGTTATACGCATTGGAAATTTGCATCTGCATCTGCATTTCCATCTGCATCTGTGTGTGTGTCCGAGTCTCGGCATGGACACCAATATCGTTGTAGTTGTAATCCTCTGCAACTACAGTCTTGTCATCCTCATGCTCTCCCTCACTCTCATACTGAACACCCCACTGCACCCCCACATCCACTGTGTGATTCTTCTTCTTCTTCTCGGCTTCTTCTTCAATACGCTTGATTTCAGCCTTGAGCTCCTCGTTCTGGCGCCTCGCTGCCTTCAGGTCCTTTGATAGTGCATCGGAATAGTTGTGCATTGCACGCAACATGCCCATGGTGAAGCTCGACTTCTTCGTGCTGTCTGCCAGCTGCTTCTCGAGCTGCTTCTGCTTGTACTGCGCGGCGGCGAGCTCCTGTCGGGTCCGCACCGCCCATAGCTGGTACGATTCGTTTGACTGGGCGAGATGTTCGCGCTCCCGGTTGGATTCGTCGAGACTGTTCTGCAGTCGGACGATAGTGCTTTGCAGAGACTTGGCCTCGTAGCTTTGGAGTTGGAGCGTGGCGTTGGCGTTGGAGAGCTTGCTCCGGTTGAGGATGAATGCGTCAACAACGCTGCTGAGTCGGGGCTCCAGACGCTTGTTTCGATTTTCGGTTTCGCTCAGGGTTTTGCGGGTGCTTGAGAGTTGTTGTTGTGCTTCTTCGTATGAGGCTTTTGCGGTAGACAACTCAAGACGAGTGGCGGAGAGTTGTCTTTGCATTGCCTGGTACGAGGACTTTGTCTGGGAGAGCTCAAGCTGGGTGACTGAGAGGTCGTCCTCGGCTTGGGAGAGGCTCTCTCGGAGCTTCCTTGCTGTGTACTCTCTGCACTCTTTCTCGTCTTCCCACATGTACTGGAGGACTGCCCAGGAGATCATGACGAAAATGGCCGAGACCACACATACGACGATGAGCACGAGCATCTTCATCCTTCTTCTATACACAAAGGCTGTGTGTAAGCTGGGTAGGTTCTCCGACTTGAGTATGTTCTCAGGTGTGCAGGCTTGTTGGCAAGTGCTGTGGTGTGCTGTGGTGTCGAAGTGTTTCTTGAGAAAGTTGAGGCAAGATTGTAAAGTGGAAAACACACTGCCTTTATTCACTCTACGAGGGCACGCAGAATTAATGAATGATAAATGGAAAGTTAGCTACCAATGGTTTCCAAGGTTCAAGCCTAATTCACAGGTTTTTGTTTGGCTACCATGAATAGAAGCAGAAAACAGTGGTTTAATTACACATTTGCGGCACCAATGAGCATGTTGGAAATGACATACTGGGACGTTGATACTTGAGCAACACAGCTGCGCGTCATTTCTAATTGTGTATCAGTTGAAATACATCTCCAGTGCCACGGTTGCAGCTTTTGGAACCTCAGTTCATTTGCACAAGTGACAATGGCCCAACAGTTTTCACGAACCACAAAATCCGACCCAGGCAATTGGGTGATCGAAATTGATACTGTTACTTGCGGCTAAAATACCTATACTTTTCTTGTGATCAAGCTCATCGACATGGAGCAAACTGTGTGCCGTTGAGGCCCAGAGAATTGCCCATGGAGGCTAGTTTCTATTTTCCGCGCAATTCTACTCGTTGAGCTCGACGTAGTTGGCAGGGAAGAGACCTGACTGGCCGTTGAAGCTGCCGAGCCACCAATCCTCGTCGGGGAATTCCTAAGCCATGTCAGCATGAGTCAAACAGGGAAGTCAAGATTGCATACCAATCCAGTGATGGTGGCTCCTTCAGGGAAGCTCAGTTCGTTGTCCTCTGCAGCATCGTAATCATATAGAGCGGTTGCAGTAGGGCCAGAACTGGCAGCAGCGTGTGATGGCGCGGCGGCGGGCTCTGGCTCTTGGGCTGCCGAGGGATGCGTGGGCAGCGGTGGTGCGGCTGGGGCACCGGCATTGTCATCCTCCACCAGTTCGACGTAGTTGGCGGGGAAGAGACCGCGCTCGCCCTGTGCGTTGGTGCCCATCCACCAATCCTCGTCGACCATGTCGATGTCGGTGACGTACTCGCCGTCACGGAGTTCGACTTCATTGTCTTCGGCCTTTTCGTAGTCGTACAGGATGACTGCACGCTTTCCAGAGCCTCCTGCAGCTGCGTGCTCGTCGTCATCGTGACCAGAAGCAACAGCAGCGGCCACAGCGGCACCACCTACGGCGGCGGCACCAAAGGTGGCGGCTGCAACAGCAACTCCAGCTCCGCGGGCAGGATCCTTGGCCTCCACCTTGGGTTCTGGAGAAACGTCGCGGGCCTGGTGGGCGGCATGCTCGAGCGAGCGAGCAGGCATGGCCGGTGCCTTTTCTGCAGCAGGAGCCAGCTCTTCCGGCTCCTTTCCACGAGCAACAGGCATGGCAATGCGCACGGGGGATCCAGAAGGCTCTGGTGATGGGCTGCGAGGCACTGCTGGAGGCGAGGGCATACGCTGGTGCTGGGTTGCAGGAACCTCGTCTGCTTCTGGCTCGGGCTCCTTTGGTCGGGTGGGCAGGCCAGGCATGGGAATACCCCTTATGCCTGCGTTGGGCTTGCTCGAGTTGTCGAGAGGTGGTGGGCTAGAAGCCGATAGCTCAGGAGCAGGGCGTGAGCTTGGTGCTCCCATTGGTACAGCGCCCGCGAAGCGGTCCTTGAGGGAGCTGACACCACCACCACCAGACGCAGGCGAGGGAGGCTCTTCTTGCGGTGGCGGCGAACCACCTGTGCGCTGTTCACTAAGGCCGCCGCTTGCAGACTGTCCTGTTCGGGTAGTCTGCACAGGTGCCCAAGACTTGCCAGAGTAGCCGCTCTGCCAGCCGCCGCCTCCGCTCGGCTGGCTTTGAAGGGGCTTGGTACGACTTGCGGCATCGACAACAGGCGCTGGGACGGCTTCGCCCCGGGCTGCCTTCTTCTCGGCCCAAATCTGTGCAGGTGTCTTTCCTCCCTCATCAGCAAACGTCTTGCTTGCCGCGCCAACTAGAGGCGCGGGCACCGGAGGCTTAGCACCGAAGCCGCCAGGTGTAGGGGCCTTGGTGCCGGTGAATGTGCTGGCACCGGCAAACTTGTTGGCAACCTTTGGCTTGGGCATGCTGGTAAGGCGTTCGGGCTTGGCGCCGAAAGCTGCTGACCGTTCGGCGAGTGACTTTGGCTGCTCCTCTTCGTCGTCGTTGCCAGATGGCGCAGATGGAGGAGCAGCTTGGGCCTTTGCACGGATAGCTGCAATGTCCACTTTGCCGACAGGCTCGTACGCGCCCTTGACCACAGTGGGCCGGTCGTCTTTGGCATCGCGTGCCTGGGCTCGGATAGCCGCAATGTCGACCTTGCCAACTGGCTGGTATGCACCCTTGACGACTTCGGGACGGTCATTCGATGTGGAATCGTTCTTGCCAGCAGTGAGTTCGGCCATGTTGACCTTGGTGGGCGTGTAGGCGGTGCCAACCTTCTCCAGCTGCGACCTGGAGACAGGCGGGGCATCGGCGCCCCAGCCGTCTGCGTCTTCATTGGCCTTTGGAGCAGGGGCGCGCGAGCGTCCCAGCGGGTTGAAGCCAGTGCCGGCGCCTCCTATTGATGTGGGTGTGAATACAGGCTTCTTCGCAACCGGAGGAGGTGGGCCGCCTGACGAAGGAATGGCTCCACCGCCCGAGTACTTGGCGCCTGAGGCATCTGCGACCTTTTGCACAATCTTCTCCGGGCTGAGGTCGTCCTCGGTGCGGGCGGTGACTTGGACGTGGTATCCCTAGCACAATTAGCCACTGCGCAGTTGCCATGTGGGGGGGGGGAGGGGCCAGTCATACATGCAGAAGTTTTGAGACGACGGTCAGATGGCTGCCGAAGTAGCCCTTTGTTCGCTCTGGGACGCCCTGGCCACACTGGACATGCATTATTAGCACAATGTTTTGGGCAAGTTGGCGGGACGGCTTACCCATGCTATCAGGACGTTCTTGGGCAGCGATGTGTTTGGGTCCTTGACCTTGACAAAGGCAAACTGGATGCGGCCCTCTGAAAACTCGTCGACGAGGTCGGTCAATTCACCCTCTGCAGAAAGTCAGCCATTGGGCGCTGGGGCTCGTGAGGGCCGGCTTCGCGTGCTGCTGTGCCCTACGCGGTGAGGTGCCGACAGCCGAGCTTGGGCTGGCTGACAGCTCAGCAGCAGCGGCAGAGGCTCGCCGTGCGGGACAGGCGTGGGCTGGCAGCAGCCATTGGGGGAGGGCGAGCTGCATGGGACATACCTCCAGTGCTCTGCACCTTGAGCACGCTCTCCTTGCCGCTGTCGTGCTGGAAGGCGCTGACGAGCGGGGCGGCGACTGTGAAGACGGCCCATTGACCGTATGTCGGCGAGCTTGCCTGGGGGCCGGAGGGCGCGGGGGAATTGACGACGTTCTGGTAGCTCTTTGTGATGTTGGGGCCGTTGCTGGACGTGTTGAGCGTGGCCATGGTGGGCGGCGTGTGGCGGGCAAGCTGTCGTGGGTTCGGGGGGCGGGCGGGCGGGAGGGAGGGAGAGAGGAGGAGGGGCGAGATGAGGTGGTGGTGGTGGTGGTTGCAGCAGCAGCGGCGGCGGCGGCGGTAGTAGTAAGTAGCGGCAGACGAACAGCAGAACAGCAGAACAGCAGAACAGCAGAACAGCAGAACAGCAGTGCAGCAGAACAAACGAGCGACAGCTCAGCGGGTAAGAGGATGTACACGCGTATCCGCAAGCGTGCAGGTGGGTGCGCGGGAGCGGGCGCAATTGGGCTCTGACGACGGCGGGCAGGCAGCGACAGCGATGTCATACATGGCATGGCGGTGCACGACCACTCAGCAGCCCGCCCCGTGCGTTCTAGCCGCCCCTTCACCTCCACTCTGCCACGACAAACCTCCAGCTAGCATCCGACAACTCACCCCCCCATCGCACCGCTTTTTCCTCGCCCGCCAGGCTCGCGGCGCCTCCTGTTGCTGCACGGCTGCACTGCTGCAACTGCCAGCTCGGCTGCATCCGCTCGTCGTGCCTTTTATGTCTCTAGCCTGCCCTGCTGCTGCCCTGCCCTGCTCCCCCCCCCAAGCCGTGGCCCCATGATGCTGCTCGTGTAGGCCGCTGGTGTGCTTGAGCCCGGCTGCAGTCGACCATGGAGGATCGCGAGTCCAGCGCAGTGTCGTCGGTCGACTTCTACGCCCCGGACCCTACGCCCTCAGCGTCGTCGCCCGCACACGCGTCGTCGTCGTCGTCGGCGGCGCCGGCGCCAGCCCACAGTGACGCTGCGCCGCCGCCGCCGCCGCCGCTGGCAAAGCGCAAGGCCGAGCATGCTCCTCCCGCCGACGCCCATGATGCCCATCACGACCCCAAGCGCTCCCGTCGCGCCTCGTCGCCGCTGCCCAGCTGCGCCCGCCTGCCGCCCGAGCTGTGGCAGCACGTCTTCTCCTTTTGTCCGCTCGCTGATCTCGGTCGATTGATGCAGGTCAATCGATCTTTTCATTGCTATCTCACAGACGTGCGCGCCGCCTCGACTTGTAAGTCGCGCGCCGCCCGTCTGCCTCTCCTAAAGTCTGAATCATTGTGGGCCTCTGCCCGCAATGCCCTGTGTACAAAGCCCCCCAAGCCGCTGCCCGGCTTCAGCGAGCGCCGCATGTGGCAGCTGGCCTGGTCCAGGACGTGCCAGTTCTGCCACCGCCAACCCTCTCAACCCGCTCACTCTCCAGCCGACCGCATCTGGCAAAAGGGCCCTGGCCGCCACGGCGTGCGCGTCATCTGGCCCTTTGCCATCCGCGCCTGCGGGCCGTGTCTGCTCCAGCGCTGCCAGACGGTGAGTCGACGACGACGACCTTCTCCCTCTCCTGCTGCACCGAGCCGCCACTGACTCTCCAGGACGCGAGCCTCCTCTTCTCGGCCGCCTCGGCCTTGCGCCCGGCCCTCCCCTTCGCCCTCCTCACCAACCATCAGCACTACGTCCCCGCCCACCTGCTGCACTCGGCCACACCGCCGCCCGACGTCGAAATCGCAAAGTACTACTACAAGCCGCACGTCGACGACATCACCCGCGAGCTCAATGACGCCCTCAGCCGCGGCCCAGCCGCCGCCGAGGAATGGTCCAAGGGCCTCGACGCCAGGGGCAAAGAGCGCATCAAAGCCGCCGAGAACTGGGAGCGCTGGGAGGCCAGACACCAGGCCATGGAAGAACAATCGGCGTCTGGCGCAAAGCGTGCTGTATCGGCTGCTCCCTCGCACGCCGCCACGTCACACAACAAGGATGCGTCCAAGTCCCCCCCACCCCGAGCCCTCTCTCCTATAATTCATGCCCCAGTTCCAGCAAGTAAGTGTGCTTCTGCTGTCTCATTTGCCGCCACTCATGGCGACACGTCTCGACGTCTTGACAACACCCCTCCAGTTCGCAACCTAACAGCGGTAGCACCACCATCCCAACTCGCCCAAGCGCGGCCCCCCACCGTCCCACCCCAGGCCTTCACGCCTTCGGGACAGCGCAATCTGCATGATGCAAACGAGGCCAAGGCGACTCGCAAAACCGACATTGAGCGCCGCTGCCAGCAAATGGACCCTCCCATTGCCCCCAACATCTTGCGCCACATGGATTCCTTCAAGGCGGCCATCCAGATTTCGCAGCCAATGAACGACTATGCCTGGAGTGTGCTCCAGCCCCGCTTGATTGCCCAACTGCCTGCGGCCCAACAAGCAGAAGCTGACCACGTGGCTCGCGCTGCCTCTCTTCCCACAAAGTCGCTGGACCGTCGCCATCTCGATGCCAACTCCAAAGAGGCCAGGGAGGCCATGGATCGCGAGTGGGAAGAAACACAGCGCCCCATCCGCGACCGGCTCGATGCTATTGCCGACGACTTTATCAATCGCGCGTGGGATCACGGCCAGGCCGTTACTTACGAGAACAGTCCCAAGTTTGCAGCCGACCTGCTTGCCCATGTGCGGCACACGTTTTACACCCAAAAGACTGAAAACGACGCTGCTCGTCTGGCGCAGAGAGAGCCGCCTTCCGCTGACCATGCAGATTCGCGGCCAAAGCTCGTTCTCGACAACATGAAGTGGGTCTACGACAACAAAATCAAGCCTCTAACAGAACAGTTCCGCAAGGAAATCTTCCTCTGCTATGGCAATGGCTGCGAACACAACAACAAGTATTATGGCTTTGAAGGCGTCGTGCAGCACTATGGAGCCAAGCACACGGCCGCCTTTAGCTCGGGAAACGTCGTGGTAGCATGGAGAGAAGCCGAATGGCCCGAGGAGCCACCCTTCCATCCCGACCCCATGTCCGTCAAAGTACCGCTTCTCAGCCATCACTCGGCTGGCAACACAGGTGGGTATGGCGGCTACTACGGTGGATACTCACGCGCGGGTACGGCAACCCCACACATGCCAACTCACCTGCCACAAGCGAGTCCGGGGCCTTACAATTACGGAAATCAGTACGCAGGTCCATTTGCGCCACCGCAGATGCCTCCCGGCTCAATGACTGGATTGGAGTATTCACAGCCGTATGCTGCCTCTGTGGACATGTACGCACACCAGGCAATGGGCCCTCCAGGATACGCTGCCCATACAGCCCAGAACCCTTACTTGACGTCTCCAGCCATGATCAACAATGCCATAGCGCCACCACCCCCACCACCTCCCAGTATGCCTCCGCCCGGTCATGGAATCCCTGAGACTGCTGCCCACGGTACAGAGGATGCTGGCCAGAGTACTAGCTCGTTTGACAAGCAAGTAAGTACCGTCATCGACATGACACAGGACATGTGGAAGCGTACCTCTGGAATCAAGGACATGCCAAATAGTCTCCGAGTCTACGTGCTGCTGCATCGCGTCATCTCCAAGTTTCATGTAGAGTTCAACCACGAACCAAACCTGAACCACTTCATCGATGCTCTGTCTAATCACGAGGTGCCCAAAGCATTGAAAAATGCGCCAGGGCTCTCGTGCAAAGCCTGCCAGATTGGATCTGCACATCACCTGACCGGTTCTTACTACTCAAAGTCAGAAGAGAGGACAACGTATACTGTCCTAGGCCTCATGTCACACTTCCGCGCCCAGCACCAGCCGTATCAGCAACAGATTCCTGGCCATGGCATTCCAGTCGCCAGACTCGACTGGAAGGAGAACATGATCGAGCTTCCCAGTGAGCGCTTCATTTCCGGACTGATCCACGCCCCCGGCATGGATGACGAGAAACTGCTAATGATTGCGACGGTTTTTCCAAGCCTCTTTCCCATGCCGCTGCCCAAGATTGACGTGATGAATAGCCACGGATTGGCCTCGCCTGCTTCTTCTGGCCCCAAGGACACGGACAAGATTTCTGCTGCCATGGATGCTCCGGGCGAGACCGGGGAGCCCTCCGCTTCTTCCCTCATGGCTGCCGTGGAGGCGAACACGTCGTTGCCAGCAAAACCACCGGACGCTGCAGGCGAGGTAAATGACGCACCCACGTCTATGAACGGGAAACGGTTCTACAGGGATAGCCCGCCTACAGAGCGCAGGCAGCACCATTATGCAGAGCCTCGGTACTACGTAGGTCACCCACAGCGCTCACCGCTAAATCTATCGTACAACTAACCACGAGTCTCCAGATGCCAAGAGAGCTAGACGACGGATACCACCGTCCACGCGAATACGTCGAGTATGCTCCAAGTCCAAGGATCATCCATGCAGGCCCTGCATACGACGACTATACCGGCCGACGCACAGCATTCCGGGAGCAAGAGCGATACTATGGACCGCCAGAAGACATTGTCTACGCGCACCCGCGTGAGGGAAGTCACGGGAGCCGCGAGTATAGTGCTTACCCGCGTCCGGTCCGATACTACGAAGAAGACGACTATCGATCCGAGTACCGCTATGTGAACGAGCGACCACTACGGGACACCAGCACACCGCAAGGGCAGTCCGCAGCGGACAAGTTCTTGGCGGAGAACGAACCCCCCCAGCCCCCGCCACCACCGCAGCCAGATAACGAGCCTCCTGCGCCAACAAAGGAAAATGACGAAGGGTCTCGTTACACGCCCCCACCTTCAGACGCTCCTGCACCGGCCGAAGCAAATGCTCCAATTCGCCCGCTAGGCCCACCGCATCCTAGAGCACCGTCTACTGTTTCCAACAGCTCTAGGTATGACGACTATCAACCCAATGGGCATCGTCCACCCATGGCTGGGCCGAGCGGACCACCACGAAGACCTGGGCCCCACCGCCGCAGAGATCGACCCTATGAACACCGAGGGCAATCTCGCTACCAGCGGTACATGAGCGTCGCCCGCGAGGACCCATATGGTCGTGGGTCTAGCATGAGCCGATCTCAGAGCAGGAGATATGAAGAGCAACGTCGCCGTATCGACCAGCAGGAGACGCCACAACCCAATGCTGAACATGACTACGAGGCGGGCTACTCAAGGGAACAGAGCGTCGACCAATACCCGCAAGATGATGGTTATTATGCACACTCGCGCCGCCATCCGCGCGGCTATGTGTCGGTGCAAGATCGCATGCAGCCACACATGCGTGCGTACTCACCACCACCACCACGATATCGGTATGATGAGCCTCGTGGACCGCAACCTGTGTACGTCGATGAGTACGGCCACCCCATACATGAGTATGAAGTCATCCGTGTGCGGGGCGATCCCAGGCACCGCGGCCCGTACATGCCCCAACCTCACCGCTTCGAACCAGAGCCTTATGGGGGGTACATGTCAGTTGAATACGAGAGGCCGCCTCCACAGAGACACAACAGCCGTCCTGAGGAGTACATGTATTACGAGGAGCGAGAGAGGCCTGTGCACAGGAGACCGGCACTGGAAGCCGAAAACGATGTATACGAGCCTCCACCAGAGATCAAGGTCGAAAGCGTACCTATTCCTATGCCACCGGAGGCCCCCTAGCTGCCCTCGGCATAGCTTGGAGAATGTGCTGAAGTTTCAATCTATTTCGATTCCTATCGCGGTTTAAGTCTTTGCATAGCCAGGTGTCCTGGACATGTGTAGGCTACGATTGCTGTTTTGTCTGGGAGGTGTCATGTGTTCTTTTTTGGGTTGTAACGACGGAATAATGATTATCTTCTTCCTCTCTGATCTATAGTAGAGTAATGTTGCTTATCCAAATGGAACTTTCTTCGTCGTGGGTAGACGATATCACCAAGATAGGCTTGTTGTCAGTTGTGATAAGTGAGCAAGGTAGTGTACAGAGCAAAGCTTAAATGATTGCGATTGGATCGTGACAGTTCTTGCACGTATCGTTGCTAGATGGAGCATGTGAGTTATACAGCGAAAGAAACTGGATAAAAAGGAAAATGCATGAGACGAGTGAACTTTTATTTTGGCATGGCGTGTTTGCCTTCTAAAGGGTATCAAAGGTGGTTTTTTTGTTTGGAACAGGAAAAAAGATGAGTCCGAGGAAGTTCTCCAAACTATGCAGTCGACTGGATGACCGGCTCTGCCGAGGACTTTTCCTCTACACCTTAAGCAGCGGCATCGATTTTGTTCTGAGCGAGGCGCTGACGGAATTGTTAGTTAACAAAGCAGGATTATTGATCCAAAAAAAAGAACGTACGAGCAAGTTCCTCAGCAGCACCGCAATCGTCACCTTGCCAATGGCGGGCACGTAAATCGAAGCCTTCTCCTTGACCTCTGGCGTAAAGTTGCGTTCGCTGGAGAAGTTAATGCACGCGGCGCCGGGGCGCATGAAGTCAAGTGGCACTTTGTACTTGTCGCCTGGCACGCCGCTGATGACGACGTCGCTCAGCGGAAGACAGTTTTCGAGGGTCCAGCCAGGCTTCTCGACGACCTCGTGGCGGCGCTTGCGGAGGCCCACGCCACGGGTGAATTCCTGCACGTCGTTGATATCGACGCTGTAGACGTGCGCGCCGTCGTTTGCCAGCAGCGCGGCGAGCGGGCGGCCCACAACCTCGCTCCGGTTAATCACCGTGATGGTACGGCCATGCAGGCGGTTCCCATACGGCAGAATCGTATTGTAGATGCGCAGATACTCGAGGATCTTGATCACCGCCAGCGGCGTGCACGGCAGAATGCTCTTCTTAGTGCTGGCGGGATCCAGGAACCGGATGTTCTGGTACATGTTGAAGATGTAGCGGTGCGACAGGCCCTCGACATCCTTGTCTATCGACACAATCTGCTGCAGGTACTGGTCCTGCCGGTTCCCGAAGATTGGGTAGTACACGATGATGCCGTCGACAGCCGTGTCGTTGTTGGCTTCGATGAGGGCGTCTTCGAGAAGCTCGCGGTCGACTTCGCGGAGCTCAAAGGCGAAGCCACTGTGTTGAACATGGGTATTAGCGACTGGACCATTTTCACCTGCCCCTTCACACTGTCTGCCATGCTGTCGCGTGCGCGGGTATTGGTAAAGCATAACGAGTGGGCTCACTTTTCAACACACGTCTTGCCCGTCCATTCGGCGTACACTCTGGCGGCGGGATCCGCGCTCGAGAGGAAGCCAACCAGAAGTGGCTTTCGACCGATTTTCTCCAGGCCGTCACGCACTTCGTCCAAAAGGCCCTTGGCAATGTTGTTGGCGAGGACGACCTTGCAATTGGGTTTATCTTCAGCCATGGTGGGGGGGGGGGACGCAAAAAATGAGAATCCGGGGAAAAGCAAGGAAAAAAAAAACCTGTAGTCTTTTGTCGAGAAGGTCGCTTGGTAGGAGAGCGAGATGTATGTGCGAAACCCCAGGCCAACTCTTTTCTTCCTAATTTGACACAACTAAAATAAAAAAACGGCTTGTTGTTCTCACCCACTTGCCGAACAGTGAATCCCTCGCATAGTAACTTTTTTTTTTCGCGCGCGGCGGGCGCAATCTTGCCCCACCATCCGATACCGGCCAATCAGCAGCCCCGCAACTCCGTAACGTCATGGCGGAAGTGAGCGAGTGCCTGTGTGTGCATCGCGTGCTTCCACGACACGGCACTTTTGATTACCCCTCTCCCCCTCCCCCCCCACTTCGTTCGCTTCTTTCCTTCCCCCCCCCCCAAACCTGCCGTGAGAATGTCAGATATTCAGAAGTATCTGCTGGATTTTGACAGAAACAAGAAGGAGGCGGCAGCGACTGCTGAGCTGAGCGCGACGCGTATGTATGCGCCTTCTCGAAGGGGGCAGTTGGGCGTGGACGTTGGGGCCAAGGCGCGTGCTGATGGCGGACAGGACTCCAGAATGGCGAATTGAAACTTATTAGCTTGGTCACGGACTTGGGAGAGTACTTGAATAGCGAGGATGGCGCCATACGCTCCAAGAGTAGGTGCACATCCCTCCCTCCCGTCTTTGGTTTGTTGACCTCGCACAATGCTAACCCTCCACAGCCTTGTCGTATCTTGCGGATGTGCTTGCTGCCACGCCGCAAAAGGTCCTTTCCTTACAGCAACGTACGTAGATTGCAGGTTTCCCTCTGGTACCGCAGGAACGCATCCTCCCGTGTATGGGAAGTCTCGAGAGCTTTTACACAATTCCTTAGGAGAGCTTTTTGGACCGAGACATCGACGGCATGTCGGCCAAGTCGACCAGGCTAACACTCTTCAGGCAACCTGCTGTGCGACTTCACCCTTTCTCGAACCGAAGATACCGAAGGCTTAGGATCGTGCGCAAGAGCATTGTCGGCACTCGAGCAGCTGGGAAAATGGGACGACCAAAGAGTTGTCAGCATAGTCGAGGCGCTGCTTTCCAACACCCACCCGCTGCGCCAGTACAAACAGCAGAGCGAGCGGTATCCGGTACTGCAGCTCATAGATACCCTCATGGCAAAGTACCGCGAAGTCCTTCGAGCCCACCACGATGCGACCCCCGACTTCATGTCGCGCTTCATTTCATACTTTGACGGAGAGAAGGATCCTCGAAACCTGATGGTTGTGTTTTCGATACTGAGAGTACCCATGACGGAATGGAGCATTGGTGGGGATGCGCAGGATCTGTTCGATGCCGTCTTCAACTACTTTCCTATCACATTTAGGCCGCCTCCCGATGATCCATACGGTATCACTGCTCAGGACCTCAAGGACCGGTTGCGCGATTGCATTTCCTCCACGGCCGACTTCGCGCCGTATGCCTTCCCTGCGCTTCTGGACAAGCTCGATTCTACGTCTATGAACACAAAGCGAGACGTGCTAACCACAATCACGGACTGTGTGACCGAGTATGGACCAAAAACTGTGTCGCTATACGCGATAACACTGTGGGATGCTCTCAAGTTTGAAGTGCTTAATGTGCAAGAGGAGGACCTTGCCCAAGAGGCGTTGAAGGCCTTGGCTGCAATTGCGAGGACCTTGTCGCAGGGTACTCCCGGATCGCTGAACGCCTACCTCAAACCAATCATCAAAGAATGCAATGAACATCTCGAGGATGCACCGACAAAGCAGTCGCAGGCGTCTGCGCGGTTCCTGAAGAGCATAGCCAATGTGTCTCCGGAAGTGACGAGCATTCTTTTGGCTGGAGTACTGCCGAACCTCTTCCTCCTTTTCCAAACAGCAGACACCATGGCAAAGCGCCGAGGCCTCCTTGAAGTCCTTGTTCAACTAATCAAAGCCAACATCGATGTCTATGGTGACTGGAGAAACATGGGTCCTGGCGGAGAAAAGGCTGGTAATAATGCGTTAGCCGAGTTCCGAGACCAAGCGCTGGAAGTAATGTTGAGCGGACTCGAAACTGCGCCCGTCAAAGAAGTGTCCTTCCGCCTGGTGTGTCTCGATGGATTGATTCAATTGTCCAAAGCACGAGGGCTTTTGAGCGACGAGGATGTTGGCAGAGTGATCCAATTGCTGCATACTGTTGTTGTTCACGAAGAATCATACGGAAAAGATGAAGTGAAAGAGGCGGCAATCAACGGCATCGTCGAAATCGCCCATCAAAAGCCACAAGTTGTTGTTGACAAGGCTTTCCCAGCTTTCCTCGCACAATTACCAGATACCGACGCAGACGGATCCAACAGCTACTCCGCGGTACTTGAAGCCTTTGCTAAGCTCGCTAGCGAAGAGCAGGTATTCGATACCGTCATACTGCGCCTCAAGAACAAGTTCAGCACAGCGGTCCAGCAGCATGCTTCTTCTACATATATTGTTGCGCTTCTCTCAGCAATCCTGTACGCGCTCAGGAAGGGCGAAAACAAGCTTTCGCAGAGTTCGGGAAGCTCTACATACTACCAGGATATCGCCCTGCCATTGATTCAGCGGTTGTCGAGCTCGGACGAATCACATCCGGCAGCATTTAACGACGAGTCAACCATCGATCTCGTCGGTCGCATCTGCAATCTCATCATCAGATACTTGCCCACCGACCAACAAAATCCTGTGGCTGCAGAACTGTATACGTTGTTCCGTGGCAAGCCGCAAGGCGAACTTCCGCCTTTCAACACCAACGCCGGCGTAGAGGCCGACAAGACAATGATTGTTTCGACGCATCTCGTCGCTTCTTTCCGGAAAGACGCGACTCTTCCCTGCGAGCTGCAGCTCTTGGTTTCTTCTCTCGCGAATTACGCGCAACAACCCACCCTATCCCTTCATGTTAGATCGGCTTCACTTCGCCAGATGTCGCTCGTCATCAACAAGTACTATTCTTCAGCTGCCCTCAAGACTTGTATGGATCCTCTCGTTGCCAATTTCGACCTCCTGAATCCAGAGAAGCTGGACCCGCCACGGATACGGATCATCTTCGCTTGCTTAAAGGGAATTGTGCTGCGAAGCAGCCCGGTGCTCAACACACTGTACCCGACTTTGCTGTCTCTATTATCGCACCCCAAGTACGGAAGTACGGTAGCTCAAGGCTTTACCACATTACTCCAGCCCGACGATCTCTTGACCAAGGAGAATCACTGCCAGATCCTGGGCCTACACAAGCACAAAACCTTTGCCCTGCTGGTGCCAAATATTACATCTGCATTCCGAGATGCAGACACAGAGATGAAACCAAACTACCTCGTCGCGCTGAGTGGAGCATTGAGGTGGATGCCGTTCGACATTGTCGTCGAAGAAGTCGGACAGCTCTCTACTCTCCTGCTGCAGTCCCTCTCCCTCAAGGGCGTCGACACGGTCAAGGAAGCAGCAATCGGCACGCTTTCCTCCACGCTCACCGCCAAGCCCGCTGTGCTTGAAGAGCACGCTGGCGCACTCATCTCGCGCCTGCTTGCGAATGCCATCGTTGCCAAGGACGCGGCGGCTGGGCCTCCCCCGCCACCGAGCGTCAGGGTCGCAGCACTCAAGTGCTTGTATCTTGTTGCCGACAGGTTCAAGGAGGAGAACCTGTTGAAGTACAGGCGGGAGGTGGTCAGGAAGTTGATTGCTGCGCTGGACGATGCAAAGAGAGAGGTTCGCACGGCGGCAGTCAAGTGCAGGGCTAAGTGGTTGCTGGCTGATGAGCCGGATGACGAGTAGAATGTACTATGATATATGTCTTGTGGTGCATTGGGTAGATAGGTTCGTTATATATATTCATCTATGGAATTCACGACTTTGAACGCCAGACTGCTCACTTGAGTATTTCTTTGTATGTCGATGCGTAACTTTTGATTCCAACATTTTCACGTCTAGGACGCAGTTCTTCTTTCAGACGCAAAATAAAAGGTATAGATGCATAGATAGTCTCGCGTAATATATCAACGCTTGGAATGACTCCATTAACGCCAACCCATGCAGTGCGTACATGCTCGTACGCTCCTCGACGTGGCTTTCACGATGCATTAGTGCCCAGTAGTTTATACCTTTACCTTCTTGGGCGTCTTCTCCTCTTCTTCGTCCTCGCTCTCACTATCCTCGACACCAACCTCCTCGTCATCGTCGCTTTCGTTACGACCGCGCTTGAGACCCTTCATCTTCCTCGTCTGCAGGTTGCCAAAGTCCTGCTTGCCGACGTGGACCTTGGCCGTCTTGTCACCCATCGAGTTCATGTCAATGTTCTTCTTGGTGCGGGCCTCGTTGCCCTTTGGTGTCTTGAGCGCCTGCTTGAGCATGTCTGGGTCGGGGAACATTTCGCGGCCGAGGGTAAAGTCCATGCGGGGCCCCATTTCCTCGACTTCGATGCGCGGCAGCTTCTGGCCCGAGCGCTTTGTGCGCAGGAGATAGAAGCGCAGGTGTACTTGCGGGTTGGGCAGCTCGTCGGTGGGTTCTTCGGCCGCAACCGAGACAATGTACTGCAGGCCTTCGACGTCGATTTCGTTTGTGTCGTGGCCCTTGAAGAAGTCGATGAACAGGCTCTTGAACAACGTGTATTTGGTCTGGTTGGGGTCTTCGAAGACGGTGCCGTGGAAACTGAGCATGGGCTTGAGGCCAATCGAGGGCTTCTTGTTCTTGAACTGCTGCAGCGTGCGGAACGTCTCCGGGTTGAGGTACAGCTCAATCATGTCGAGCATCTTGTACGAGAAGGTGCGAGCTAGCGTTATGCAGTGTGGGCGCTTCTTCGAGTGCAGCGACAGCACAAGGAGCGAGGTGTCGTTCTTCTGGGAGAAGAACTCGAGCGACGAGGCATCTTCGAACGGGTGGATGTCGTTCTTCTTGGTGAAGCGCTCGGCCATAGGGCGCTTCAAGGTACAGAGGTCGGCGACGGCGAGCTTGAGGATCTGAGACGTCTTTTGGCCAGATACAAAGAGCGTGGTCTTGGGGTTCTCGTGCTGTTGCGGCTCGCGCTTTTTCATTTCGCGCTTGGCGCGCGCAGTCTTGGGCTTTCTGCGAGAAATTGTTAGATGGAATTGATCTGTTTCGTTTGGCGACTGCTCCACGTACGCTTGCTTCAGCATCTTTGCGGTGTTTGTGCTGGTTTTGCGGGCGGTGTTTGTGATGCTGATGTCGAAATCTTGGCGGGAACAAAAAGTTCCAGCGATAGCCGGCGGCGGCGAAACGTTTGGCCGATCTGATAACGGCAGTGGCGGGGTGGTGGGCGAGGCCGCCCCTCTGACGTGATTTCCATGTGCAGGCGCTTTCTGCAGGGCGGCGACTAAATATTAATCAGATCACGGCTTGGTGCCCGACTGTCTTGACGGCACTCAGATCGCGCAAACTCATTTCTTACACTTGCATTCACACCACCATCGCCATGGCCACTGTGCAAGAGATCCCCGACGAGACGGCGTTCCAGTCGACCATTTCCGCCCTCCCCGCTTCCACACTCGCAGTCATCTACTTCCACGCACCATGGGCCAAGCCATGCGAGCAAATGTCCGTCGTCCTCAAGACGCTCGCAAGCACATATCCCGCCGACGCGCCGATATCCTTCTTCTCCCTCAATGCCGAGGAACTGCCAGAAGTCTCAGAGGCATACGATGTGACCGCAGTCCCGTACATTGTTCTACAAAAGGGTGGCAAGGTCATGGAAACGGTTTCCGGCTCGGACGCTTCAAAAGTGCGCGCAGCTGTCGAGAAGTACGCTGGAGCGGGCAGCGGCCAGTCAACTCTACCTCCTGCGCAAACTGTCACACGACCGCAGGAGAGTAGCGACAGCGCCGGAAAGAACCTTGCGGGCTACACACCGAGCGCACAGGACCCCAAGACCGCACCCGAACATACTGCAGGCGAGCAGCAGACAAGCAAGGAGGAGCTACACCAAAGACTATCAGAGCTCGTCAAGGCAGCACCCGTTATGCTCTTCATGAAGGGTACACCGAGCGCGCCGCAGTGTGGCTTTAGCCGGCAAACAGTGAGCATTCTTCGTGAAAAGAGCATCCGATACGGCTTCTTTAACATTTTGGCCGACGACGAGGTCAGGCAGGGCTTGAAGGAGTTTGCCGACTGGCCCACATTCCCTCAATTGTGGGCCGAGGGTGAGCTAGTGGGTGGTCTTGATATCGTAAGTATACAAGGAGTTGGGATGCCTGGGGATGTTGTACAGCATACCAGGCTTTACAGACTCCAGGCCCTTACTCTCTACTTTGCCAGCATAGTACTCACGCTAACAATTGACAGGTTAAGGAAGAATTCGAAAATGACCCTCAGTTCCTTTCCCAGTACTCGGCCAATGCGCCCAAGACGGCTGCTTAGAAGAGTTTAGAGGGGCATACGCATGGCAAAGAGCTTACCACGTGGTATATGTTGTTCAAGACACGGCTCGGGGGTAATGATGACTGGTCGCACGATCCGAGTGTTGGAGCGGCTTTCGGCTGTGTTATTGGGTGGTAACCGGCAAAGCTGATGCGACTCTGGTCATTTGTGCCATGATGGGTTTTCAGTGTAGAATAGCGAATTCGCTATCAAAAAGGAATCACATGATGGAGGCTTCTCAATACTATTGCATTTGTTGATGACTTTGCTCCAAAAAGACAAAACAACTGAAGCGACTAATACATTGGGCATGTGATGACTAGGAAGACGAATCTTGTGAGTCGCATGATTGATATTGAAACTATAACATGGTTCTTTGATATATTCTTCCACTCTGGCTCTAGTATTTCCTCCATGTTCCTACTTGTGAATCGAAAATAAGTAGGAAGCGAGATGGCGTGCTGGAAAGTCGTGGTGGTACCCATGCTTTGGCTACCCAGTACCTAAACTTTGAAACCAAAAAACAAAAAGACTGATAACGCGGAAGTAATTGGGAATCAAAGAAACAAAGCCGACGAATAAGGAGTATATGAATTCAATGCTCGGAACGAGACGGCATTGACTGCAAACAGAAAGTAAGTTCACATGTGTGTAACCCTCAAGCGTAAAAAACAAGAGGAAGAAGAAAACCCCCGCAAAAAAAAAATTAGTTGTGTACAATTGTTTCGCAAAACAGTTCCAACCTTTTTATACGTACTTACAAGCATGGCATTCCCGATTTAAGCCGGGTTGCCCCTCACAATGCGGTGCTTTGGCGGGTTAGGGATATTCGGAGTATATCCAAGTCCTAGTTCGGGGGAAGGGGGCTGAGCAGAGGAGCTGAGCCGAAGCCTGGTTCCCCGCCCACCTCTCTCTCTCTTTTTTTTCCCTGTTGTTCCTTTCAGTGACATGGACATCCTGGCGAGAACGATAATAATACACGTTCTCTTCTTCTTCTTGTTGTTGTTCCAACGAAGATCAGATCTGTAGTGCAACTCGGCACTTTGAAGCATTGGCAGAACGCAGATTCGGGATTAATTTTTTTTTTCAAAATGGGTTGCGTCTTGTTTTTTTTTGAGGGGATTTATCTTATCGGATTTGTGATAGTGGAGGGTGTAGAGTATACTTAGAGTAAAGTACATGGTGGTGCCATGCAGGGATAGATGCATGTGCATTAGGGGAATTTGGTCTTGTTGCTTTCACCTACTTTGGCCCTAGGTCCTTCTGCCCTTTCGGAGTCCGAGCCTAGCTAAGTATAGCCCGGTGTTAATGATTTAGGTGTAGTTGAGGCCATTTCCGTTTCTCTTTCCATTGTAACTTCATAGAGCGCTTATTGTTCTTCTTCGTTCATGTAGTGCGGGGTTACTTACCATTGGATCTTCCTTTCTTTCTTTTTGGAGCATAAGTACGTGTATTTGATATACATACATAGCGTGCGTGTGCACACGGGTTGTAGCAGCCCTCGAAACATGGTGTCCTCTCAGCCCCCGGCGGCATCCAAGATACCGTCGACAAAGCCCGACACACGAGGGTTCCCGCGAATCCTGTGCCTCCACGGCGGAGGCGTCAACGCAGCCATCTTCGAGGCGCAATCGCGAGCGCTCATCCGCCACCTGCAGCATTCGTTTCGCCTCGTGTGGGCCGATGCGCCCTTCTTCTGCGATCCCCATTCCGACATCATCGGCGTGTACAGCGACTATGCGCCGTTCCGCCGCTGGTTGCGCTGGCTGCCCGAGCACCCAGAAGTCGACGACGAAACATGCATCGAGGAGAACGGATACGCGATACGCACGGCTATGGAGGACGACGATCAGGCTGGCGGCACGGGAGAATGGGTGGGGCTGATGGGCTTCAGCCAGGGCGCCAAAATGTCGGCGAGCTTGCTGCTGGAACAACAGGCGCGCGAGGCCGACGCAAGGAAACGCGGGTATACCGTCGTCGCGCCAGGCCCCACGGGCATCCCCAATCTCACCTGGCGCTTTGGCGTGCTGCTGGCGGGACGAGCTCCCCTGAGTAATTTCAATCCGCAGCTTTTGAAGAGCAAGGCCCTCGTGGACGCGGGCAGCTTATCCGAGGGATTTCAGTTTTGCAGCGAGGTGGACGAGGAGGCGACGCTGAAGCGGCCGACGCTGCATGTCCATGGCATGGCGGACCCGGGGCTAAATCTGCACAGAAAGCTGTTGGACGAGTATTGCGAAAAGGGCTCCGCGACGCTGGTGGAGTGGGAGGGCGCTCATCGCGTTCCGCTCAAGAGCGGCGATGTCAATCGTGTGGTGGGTGCGATATACGACATAGCCGAGGCAACGGGAGTGCGAGTGTTGAGAACAGTATGAGCTGAGGTAATTGTAGAATTTTTGTGCTGTTGTGGTATTTGGGGGTTGACATTGCTAGATTCATGATAGACTATCTGTTCTTCGTCATTGCTTGTGTACGCGTAGGGCTGTTCGTGTGCAAGGTTGTATGTGTAGTATTCTCCGATGAGTTAGTATGTTCCAAGGGATCAGGACAAACAAGTCGCTGGTCCAAATATGGCCGTAACTGTTTGTAATTTGATATGGTGCCGTTTCTTTCAGAAGTCGCATATAACCAATCAAGATGCAGGAACCAAGCCCAGAGATGCAATCATAAGTAGCAATGCGAAACCCGCCACTGAAACAGCTGGGACGTTATCGCCTGGATAATTATCCGATCCAAGGCTCCGTGGTACTTTGTGTGGGGTGAGATGAAAGCGGGGAGACCGGCTCGAAATCAGTGAGCTGGTATAGACGACCGGGCCGGTTACCACCACCGACCGTATTGGGTCCGAAAGGAGCCAAGTCGCTATCCGGGTCTTGCTAAAAGTCCCATGATAGGCTCACGTCCCTGGTCTAGCGTATATCGCCAGATAGGCGTGTGTTATTCATCGGAAAGTCTGATAGCATGTTTGAAACTGGCCGGTATGGATTACAGTCGTCAAGTGGTTCTTGTATGTATTTCAGAAACAGAGATGATGGCGAAGGATATTTGAAGCTGTGAAGTAACTGCTACTTCCAGTGTAGTGAGTAAGAGCTGGCGAGTTATTGAGGTCGTACTTTGATATCCATCGGAGCCTGCGATATACAAGTCGGCAGTCATGCCATTGAGCATGAAATGGAACAAGCCAAGAGAACTTATATGTGCTCAGCATGCCAAGCCCATCCCTTCAACGCTAGAGTCTAGACCAGCCTTTGTCTGTGTTGCAGATGAGGATCGGTAGTGGGTAAGCGAGATCAGTGTGAAGACGTAGGTCTTTCACAGGATGCAGCTGTTTATGGCATACCGTATGTGTTCAGGAAAACACGTTCCCATTGGCTCACTTTCAGAATGGTGACGATAGCATGCACGCTGCGGTTGCAAAGTGGAAGAAGCCTGCTATCAGGATCGGCAATACTCGCCTGCCGTGGGGCGATGCAGAGGCGGAGGCGGAGCTAGCTGTGCTGAGTGGTGCGTCGTGGAGGAGGGGTTTCTGACCGGCGACGACGCTTGCTGGCTCGTGACGGCGAGAGAAAGTGCCACGAGTACTGGCAGATGGTTTCGTGTAGGTAATAGTATGCAACGCCATGGCTTGGGGAGTGTACTGGAGAACAGGCGAGCGGCGTGGGCGAATCGGAGTCGAGGCTGTTCCGCGCTGGCAAAGTCGGCGCCGCATATCTTCGGCTGGGCACGCCTTTAAGTACTGTAATGCCGTGCGCCCTATCACGCCCTCGACTCGCCTTGCCATGCCGCGACCGCATTTAAACCCGCTACGGCGCCTCTACAGTACGTGCCTTTGTCACGCACGCTGCCATTGACCTCACACTTGCCCAAGGACCTCCTCTGGCCGCGTCTGCTCGGGTGCCCATTGTCCGCCCCGTGAGCCCCTCCCTACACAAACTCCATACATCAACCGTCCGGCTCAACATGGGCGAGGCGTCACAGTACACTGGCAAGAGCAGCAATAGCCTGCTCGATGCTGCGACCATTGAGGGCGTGACGTGGGGCCATGAAAAGAACCCGGCGGCCTTTGACTTCCGCTCCGATGTGCACACGACGCCCACGCTGTCGATGCTCAAGGCCATTCAGACGTGCAGCTTGCTCGACGATGTCATGGAGGAAGACACAACCACGTTGTCCCTCGAGCGCTTCGTTGCCGACTTGACTGGAAAAGAGGCGGCGCTTCTCGTTCTCTCTGGCACAATGGGCAACCAGGTTGCGTTCCGATCCCACCTTACCAGTCCTCCACACGCCGTGATATGCGACCGCCGAGGCCACATTATCAACTACGAGGCAGGAGGTGTAGCGACCTTGTCCCAGGCCATGATCCAGTCTCTGGACGCGACCAACGGCACATATCTTACCCTAGAAGATATCCAAAAGTACGCAGTCATCTCGGATGACGTCCATGCTTGCCCAACACGCATGCTGTCGCTTGAAAACACGCTCAACGGCGCCATTATGCCTCTTTCTGAAGTCAAGCGCATATCAGCCTGGGCGCGCCAACATGGCATCATCATGCACCTAGACGGCGCACGCCTGTGGGAGGCGGTAGCTGCGGGCGCCGGATCCCTCAAGGAGTTTTGTGCCGAATTCGACAGTATCAACCTGTGCGTCAGCAAAGGCCTTGGTGCGCCCATTGGCAGCATCCTCGTCGGCACCACAGCTTTCATCAAACGCAGCCGCTGGATCCGCAAGTCGATTGGTGGCGGGCTACGCCAATCTGGCGTCGTGGCTGCTCCGATGCGTGTCGCTATCGAGGAAACGTTCCTTGGTGGAAAGCTGGCACAGTCGCACAAGAATGCCAAGCGGATTGCAAAGATGTGGACCGACCTTGGGGGGAAGCTGCAATACCCTGTAGACACCAACATGGTGTGGGTGGACCTGAAAGCCTCCAATGTTGATCTAGATAGCTTTATCGAGCTGGGGAATAAGTATGGGGTGGTGGTGCGCGGTGGCAGGTTTGTGGTGCATTACCAGATTGGCGAAGAGGCGATTGAGGCATTGCGAAAGGTCTTCACTGACGCGCTGACGGGCAAGGAGCCGGCTGGAAAGTAGACAAATGCAGCCACAATAAGAAATGTGAATGCAAATGCGTCTACCAAGTGACGCGACGAATCACGTGCCCGTGCCCAGCCACATAGCCACACGGATATCCAGTACCTGCATGGCTAGCGCCGCATCATGCCACCAGCCCCAGCTTTCCTGTACCGCCACGGCTTCCAAGACTACGCTATTACGTTGAAATTGACTACTCTGTTGCGTACAAACCTTCTCCACGGCACAATGACGTCAAGGGAAGCTCGTCATCGGCCCGGGACAACGACACGGCCAAGAGGGAAGCTGAAGAATGCTACATGAAGCCGTCCTCCTGGGCGCGGCGCGGCTGCCAGCCCAAGACGACCGCTTTGTAACTCGACCTGATTATGTATAGACCGACGCGCGTCATTTCTCTTGCCCAGAACACCTCTCGACAGACGTCATTGTCTTGTTCAAAATCTGCTAGACTGTGGATACGACACTGTATTTTGAGACCTTCATCTTCTTCAAGACTCTTCACTTCTTCCGCAACACTCCGATTCTCTACCACTACCGCAAAAATGGTGCCACCAATCGCACAGAACCGCACGCTCCTGTCAAACCACCCGGACAAGGTCCGCATGCTTGTTCTGGAAACCGACGAGACACACCCCGACACGCAGCATGAGACTGGTTCTTTTGGCGTCATACTGGGGGAGCTCCTCAAGAAGGCTGGAGATGAGCATGACCCGCAACTGGGCATTGAGACAGCCATGCAGTATGTTGTTGAGCCGGAAGGCGGCCAGGTGCCCAAGCCAGAGGAGATTTCAGACGACGTGCACGCCATCCTCATCACTGGTAGCTGCTGGGACGCGCATGGTGATGACCCGTGGATTCTCAAACTGATGCAGTTCATACGAGGTATATGGGTTACGCTGTAAATAGGTCCGCGCCAATTACTGACTCTCCTCCAGATGTCTGGCAAAACCGCCCCGATATTCGCTTCACTGGAATCTGCTTTGGCCATCAGATTCTCTGCCGTACCCTGGGTTCAACTGTTAAGCCGCAAAAGAACGGCGAGTGGGAGTTGTCACATCACCCAATCCACCTCTCAGATATTGGGCGCGACCTCTTCAATCTTCCAGCGACCGAGACCAAAATCCACCTCCACCAAATGCATCTTGACCACGTTGTAAACCCTCCCGAGCCTGGAGCAACAGACTTACTGCCCAAGGACACCAAGGTACATGTGTGGGGGACGAGCGAGCATACCGGTGTTCAGGGCGTGTATATCCGAAAGAGGCTATTTACCACCCAAGGACACATGGAGTTTAACGAGACGCTCGTGAAAAGGCAGCTAGAGATGAGGGTGGAGAGCGGCAGTGTAGACAAAAAGGATGCCAACGAGGCTGCAGAAAGGGCCGATTGGATGCACGACGGATTGCTGGTAGCAAAGGCCGTGCTGCGATTTTTCCACGGCGACGACGATCGTTTTGACTAGTACCGGGATGCGCTTTACTGTGTCCGTCGAGGGTGGCTATGCATCTTGCCAAAGCATATCATTGGCGTTTGGGTTCGGGGAATTTTGTACAGTACACGATGCATGAAAGCGACTCGACTTTTGACTCGGCCACGGAATTCCCATGCCACTTCTCCATGAAGCAAGCTTGCATGTGTATCACGATTGTCCTTCTCTTCTACCAGTTGGGCTTCTTCGGCCGCGGCACGTTACGCTGCTGTCTCCGGGGTATTGCTGACGGATACAGGCCTGTGACAGCAAACGGCGGCTCCCATGGCACGGCTCGACCCTTCCACGGCCTCGGAAAGCTTGTCTGGATGCATATTCCTTGGGCGTACGGGGTTTTCACGCAGGCAGATGCCGGGAATAGTTGGATTCGGTATAGTTCGCCCCGGTGCTGCTCGGCATTAGCTCTTCACGCCTTATCTCCGGGCGACGGCTGCAAGCAACATCCACACAGCACAAGATTCCTACCAGGGCATGCAGCGAATCTCGGCATTGGCATGGCTAGGCCGTGGCCGTCACCGGTGCCAGCTGTAGCCCGCGGTCAAGCTCGGCACACCGCTCTGGGCGCATGCATGCACTACGGCAATCGTACACTGTTCTAGGCTACTATTGATAGTACGAGATGTAGCATCACCTGGCGCCCTCGGAGTATCTCTGCGCTAGCGCCACCACGGATAAGTATGCGACTAGATGTATGCGACTAGATACGTCAAGTGTGGAGGCGTCCACCTGATGCAGTCAAAAGCTGTTTCAACCTCGGCCTCCCCAGCCAGACACTGCTCGCCTTTTCGAGACACCCCTACACCACCGCGCTGCTGTACTATCTACCGGCTCCCGAAGACTGGATTGCTGGATATCTTGGTCGGGACATCGCTGACATGGCTGCTTCTCCGGGCCCACCAGCGGACGACAAAGGCGACCCTGTCAACGACATGGAAAAACGCCAAGTGATGGACAGCGACGAGAAAAGCTCAGCTCAGAGTGCTACTAGCGAGGAACCGCCCGAAGAACCATATACCGTTTTCAGCAAGGGAATGAGGATATGGATTGTGGCACTGGTTTCCGTCTCGGCGTTGATATCGCCCTTTGGCGTCGCCATGTTCCTTCCGGCACTCAACACGCTATCCGATGTTTTGCACATTACTCCTGTGCAGGTCAACCTTTCGGTCACTACTTTCATGGTATGTGTGACTGCGCTCTTTTGGGATAAACTGGGCTGAACGACTTGAAACTGTTCAGAATCGTGACTGAAGTCGTCGCCCTATAGCCACTACATAAGCAACTAACGCTCGCAGATTGCCCAAGGCATAGCTCCAACTATTTTTGGTACCCTGTCAGACAACAGTGGTCGGAGACTGACATTTATCATCTGCTTCGTTATATTCTGCGTCGCCAATGTCGGCCTCGCCCTCCAAACAAGCTACGTCGCGCTCCTCCTCCTACGGATGCTCCAAGCCGTCGGCGGCACGGCCGCCATCGCCCTCAGCATGGCCGTCGTCGCCGACATTTCCACATCCGCCAATCGCGGTACCTACATGGGATATGCTCAAGCAGGCATCCTCGTAGGCCCCGCCTTTGGCCCTACCATCGGCGGCCTCCTCGACCGCTACCTCGGCTGGCGCGCCATCTTCTGGTTCCAATGCATCTTCTCCGGCGTGCTCCTCATAATCTTCATCTTCTTCTTCCCGGAAACGTGCCGCAAAGTCGTGGGCAACGGCTCCATCCCCGCCAGAGGCGTAAACCGCTCCGTAATCAGCTGCATCCAAGACCGCAAGCAGCGCAAAGCCAACCCGGGAAAACACATTGCGAGACCGCCCCGCCAAAGAATCGCCTGGCCCAATCCCCTCGCTACACTGAGCATCTTCGCCGAAAAAGAATCCGGACTCCTGCTGCTCTACAACGGCTTCTTCTTCACCGGCATGATGGTGTCGGTTGCCGCGATCCCAGATCTCTTCCACAACGTCTACGGCCTCGATTCCCTCGACATCGGCCTGTGCTACATTTCCAACGGCGTCGCCTCCTTCCTTGCCTCCATGACCATGGGCCGCCTCGCAGACTGGAATTTCCGCCGCCACGCCCACAAGCTCGGCATCCCCATTGTCCGCGGCAAGCAGCAGGATCTCAGCAACTTTCCAATTGAGCGTGTTCGCCTGGAAATCCTCATCCCGTCTCATATTATAGGCGTCGTCGGCCTGATTATCTTCGGCTGGACCCTGTATTTCCGAACGCATATCGCCGGCCCGGAAGTCGCTCTGTTCATCATGGGCTTTGGCATTACGGGCGCGTTCAACGTTACCAACGGGTTGCTTGTAGAGCTGCACCGCGACAAGCCTGCTACTGCGACGGCGGCTGTGAATTTCGCGCGGTGTCTGATGAGTGCGGGTGGCGCGGCGGCTATTCTGCCCATGTGTCGCGCTATGAATACGGGCTGGGCGTTTACGTTTATCGCGCTTGTGTACATCTTGCTGTTGGGACTCGTGCTGTGGATTATGCGCCATGGCATGACGTGGAGGCAGGAGTTGGCCGAGAAGCAGAAGCAGAAGATGAAGCTTAAAAAGGAAAAGGAAGACAAGGAGGCGAGGGAGAGGGATACGGTTTGAGGGAAAATCGGGGTTCTCGTTTATTTTTCTTGTTTGGACTATACTGCCGTCTTGTGTTCATAAAATACACCGATGTTGATATTCTGTGGCGTATCCAATGTATATAAAAACTCGTTTTTCCGTTTACCAAACCTCTCTCTTCTTTTTTTTCCCCTGAGTTGAGTGTTGATTGAATTCAGTGAATCGTTAGTTTCCTTCAATATTCCGAATAACCTTGGACAGTAGTTGAACATTAGCATGGCTAACTACCTTGCTTGACTTGTATATACATACATAGCACACATTGTTTTAGCGAGCTAACATCTTACAACTAGATGCTGTTCCGACCGCCAAGGTAACACGGAGCAGTATCTTTGCGTGCTCGATTCTATTTATGTCTTTTGTGAAACCGATAGGTGGTAGGAGCATGTCAAAAGTATTCAATATATTATGAGTAATTTATGGTACCCAGCTTCTTTTCACGATAAAAAAAAAGAAATAAACCTGTAGTTTACCCATACGGACTGATGTATAATTGTCTAATATGTAGTAGCCGCGATGAAGTACACGAATGATAGGCGCATAGCGTTTATCAACGACCAGGGAGCTATCGAGCTTTCCATTTGAGCCTGCAGGATGGCGCAGTTTAGGACTTGGCCGCACAGGGTCGACATATCTTGACTCTGCATATATCACACTCGTAAATCCAGGTGAAGGGCCCGCTGTGACACCGGTTGCACATCCAGACAACTAGGGCCGTGTCCGACTTGATAATCTTGAAGTGATGAGAGCTGTAACGACAGGGAATTGGGGGAGGAGAAGGAGGTGGAGAAGGGCTGTGTCCCAAAGTTGGTTTACTTGCAGCTACATCAGATGCAGGATCCTCCGGGGATGCCGCTTTATCCTTAGATCGCGGTGCTGAAGCTTCTTTGCCGGCTGGTATTCGTATGGGCTCAGGTTCAGGTTCCGCCTCAGGTTCCACGTCAGGTACAGAGATTAAAGTACGCTGCACCGGCATATCCGCCTTCTGAGGATCGATCTTGGTCTTTCGGTGAGAAGTACCCCAAAAACTCCACCCGCTGTCTGCAGCCGCCGCTGTCGCCGCCTTCTCTTCCTTCCTAGTAGGTTCCTCAAGCTCAGTCAAAAGCTCTTTCGTATCTTCGTCTTTAGCAAGGTCGAAAAACTCATCGTTGTTTGTAGGTTCTTCAGGAGGAGCAGCTTCTTCGACCACAACGCCCCTCTTCTTTTTCTTTTTCTTATCGCGAAACTCGTCAACAAGATCTTCATTTTCAAGTGTCGATAGATCTATGATACGTTGTTGTGCAAAACGTATACTCTCGACTAGCAACGAGCCTCTATCTTCGATGATTGAATCGGACGATTGTACGCTGGCGTCCGACTCATCATCAGATTCGACTGCGGGTGGCAGGGCAACAAGAGCAATATCTTCCATGTGTCGCGCGAAATGCGTCAAAATGGTATTTTTTCCGGTCCCCGTAGCACTTGAACAAAGAGGACATTGGACTTCTCCCCAGGCAGGCCCAAATTTGTGCTCCAGGTCCAGATGATCCGCCCACACTTGACGGCTGGAGAACGGCTTCGTGTTGAACTCACAATCACGATAAAAGCAGGTGTAAGGTTGCAAGTCAGCATACAGGTGCTTCCTATTTATAGTGAGTATTAAATCAGTGGCCGCGAGAGTTTGACTGACCTCCATTCACGGTTATTTGTCGCCCGCACCGACTTCCCACACGCAACACAATCAAAGGGAAGCCCTTTTTTCCCTTGCACCGGCAGTGGTGGAATCCGAACTCGTTCGCCACATGATATGCTGGTCATGAAAGAAACAGTCGATTCAGCATATGATGATTGTGTGTTTGGAAGCGAAGTACCGATACCCGAGTCGTGAAACTCAGACACAGGACCAATGGACTTGGTAGCAGAGGCAGCAGTGTTGTGGTCGCGTTCCTGCTGCATGCGGAGAAAACGCGACCAACTGATTTGACCCAGAATCTGCAGTAGCTGGATGTCAGCAGCGGGATACTTTGCTTGAATCAGGTCAGTGTGGTAGTCATGCGCAGAGCGAGATTCCACTCCTGTAAGGCCAGGCTTATTGTCGTGAGTATCATCTGGAGCTGGACATTCCAAGGCAGCCCCAAGACCCATTATACAATTCGTGTATGTCTTGACTCTGCGAACCATCGCATGTACTCGTCTTGAAGGGTCGTCATCTTCCACGTCTTCGTCCTCACCTTCATCCTCGCTTTCACTTGAGCTCTCGTCCCCAGCTTTCAAAAACCATCCTCTTTGACTGTACAGTTCTGAAGCTAGCGTACATTGATGTATGATGAACTCATCGTTGGTATGCGGTAGGACAAACATTGACGTCCCTGCCTTCTGTTAGCATGGTCCATGAGTTAAGTGAATTTACACTTACCTTCTAACAAGCATCCAAGCAAGTGGACAAGTATTTCGATAGCAGCTTGACGGACTTCTGTTGACCGCTCGAGATGATCGTCAAGTTTTCCTTCAGTCACGCCATGGCCATGCTCCCAGAGTTGCAACATGGAGTGACATTGTCGAAGCGTGCGTTTTTCAGCTGTTGCAATCCACGTAGAATTGGATTTTTGTATCAAAATGCGAAGCAGGCCTAGGCAAGTATCGGAAATGCGCGCAAAGATTCCATGGGATCGCTCTGGCGTCAAAGATGTCTCTTCTCGCCACTGCTCGATACGATCCTTGCTTGGATGTGGACTGGCCGGGGCTGAAGTCATTGTATGAACGCCGCTCGCAGCATGGAATATTAGATCGAGTGCACACTCACAAGGGAATGTGTCGATGTCTTATGCACAACACATCAGGCTGAAGCGGGGCTGTACATGGAGCGTGGCAGTACGCGAAGCGGGGCTGTGCAGAAGGAGGCGCTTCCATCTGAGGTATATTCAGCTGCGACAAGCCTGCAGCATCTTTACCATACTCTCTTCCACCATCATTTCGCTGTAAAATTCAATACGATATGGAGGTCGCTGGCCTAGTAGTTGGTGTGCTACCAATCCTTTTCGAAGTTGTTAAATCCTACTCAGCCGTTCGAGACAAAGTGCACACATTCCGACGTTGCAAACAAGAGGTCGAAGATGTTTCCATCGAGCTCATGGTCATCCGAGTGAGCTTTCTGAATGAAGTGAGATGGATACTGCATTCCATCCAGAACTCGAAACAAGCCAGGATTGATCTTGAGGACTGCGACGACCAATGGTGGACGAGTCGCGAGGCTGAGAATCAACTGAGCGCTGTACTTCGGGACAATTATGATGCTTGCGGGGCGATTATGCAACGGACGAAACGTGATCTCAAGGAAATAGCGGATGAGCTTGAGGTGTTCCATCCCTTGTTAATCCAAAAGTCACCAGTCAGGCCTAACCAAATTCATACACACCAGAAGTATGCGCTAACGTCATTATAGGGCGAGTCTGTCAAGGCAGCGTACAAGCGGTTACGTAGAAAGCTACAAATCACCTTCAATCGGTCAAAATACGATACATGCCTTGCCAGCTTGCGCGATCGCAACAGCGAGCTACTTGCGCTTCGGTCACAGGTTGTTGCTATCGAGCAGCAGGATACTCCTCTAGGGGGCATCTGCATCCGACACGCACCAGTACCTCTTCGTTTCAAGACTATACAAAGCACATCTCGACAACTCCACAAATCTCTTTGTAAGGCATGGTGCTGCGATCATCCCGCCCACTGCGCACATAATGCCAAACTTTGCCTCGATGCTGATGGAGTAGATGAGGTGACACTGGACCTCGCTATATCTTGTCACGAATCATTGCCTGCAAACTCCCCAAGGTAAAGGGTATTCATATGACAGTCAGAATCCTTTGCTTACTATTCAATAGTTCCCTGCAATAATCTACAATCTGGTTGTTGGTACAGTCAACGAGTCCATCCTCAGCGATACAAGCGAACGAGCCTAAGCTCCCAGACAAGTCTGATATCTGCTTGGAATTGGCAAAAGAACTCCTCAATCCTGGTGTATCGAATCCTGTAAGATGTTTGAAGAAAAAGGCGTCTTCCGATCTTTGCGGGAACGTAGCTCATAAAAAGCCCCGGCGCGTACACTTCGAAGCTACACCAGCACTACTTGTCTCACAGTTACCAACTCCGGATGCGGCTGGCACGCTATCGACATTTGGAGTCGACCTCTACAAGATGAAGAGCATTTGTGACTACTTGCGACAATCTTACCAAGCACAACTATCAGCGCCGGCGAAGCAATGCATCGGCTACTTAGACAGCGCACAGATGTACAAGCATGTATTCTATTTCAGAGACGCAACTTTGGAACCAGGACTGGATAGTGCAGCTGCCTCTACCATCTCTACCGTCAGGCAAGCACTCACCGAGGAGGTTTACGACACTCTCCAACCCGAGGATCGTTTGAAACTAGCACACAAATTGGCCGTCGCAATGTTGCAATACAACGACACCCCCTGGCTTCCTGACCGATGGCGCCTGGCAGATCTCAGCTATCTTGGCTCGAAACTATCCTTCAACGTTGAAGCTCTCAAGACCCTGCATTTCAATTCAGAGATATCGCAATCTGCTGCCACAGTCACGGCTGACAGTGCGATGGACGGTTTACAGCAAGCCACTGCAAAGGTCTCTGATGAGACGCGTTTTGGTATCACAAACACGACGCTTTTCTTCCTGGGCGTCGCCATGCTCGAAATCGCCTACTGGAAGCCGATCGAAGAGAAAATGACCGCTGCAGACGAGGACAACCAGGTCTTCGCCGCGCGTAGACTGGTTCTGGACCGCGGAGCCCCTTTGGGCCCAGAGTATCAGCGGATTGCGCAAAAGTGTCTTGAATGCAACTTTGGATTTGGGAACAAGCTTAGCAACAAGGGCTTGCAGTCTGCTGTGTACAACGATGTGGTATGCCAGTTAGATAGCATGGTCCAAAGGCTTGAAAAGCTTAGTGTGTAAGGTATTGGTTGAGTTTGGACCTTTTGTCTTACTATAGTATTCGGTATACAGTACTCGGTTAGCGAGGGTAGGCTAGTAAATGTGTAGGGCCAGCCAACGTGGGCGGGTGTTCGGCAAGGCCACTAAGCCTTAGGCAGTGGTGGAGGTTAGGTCACACAAACTAACAACGAGAGTTGGAGATAGTCAAAGTATATGTAGAGGCTGGGTAAAGCATATCGAGCTAGGTAATCCAGTCAAGATCTTAGCCTAATCTCTACTATAATACAAGGCTGAATGACTCTCCTACCTCTGGCCAAGTCTTCGTAATCTCTGCATCGGGCAAATCAACCCTAATTCTACGTCTGCTTCCATGCGACTGGCAACCTAGCCATATCCAAACTTCACCCGCTTACTAGCCTGCACACGCTTGGTATAAATGTGTACAGTTCCACTCCACGCATGATTAAACACCAGAAGCCTCTCATCAGTATAGAAATCGGTTAAAGAACAAAGCCAATGCACTATGCACAAGACAGGAAAAGCTTTACCAGATAATAAATATTATATATTGACCACTACGATGTTCTGCTATGCACAGTATGGTACAGAAGACGACCATACTAAGAAAGACCATTTACAAATCTCCAAGCGAAATTACAGTAACATTAAGAGTGTTTTCAGCCGTGCTAGTCGAACGGCTTCAACGCCCAGCCGTTCCAGTACTTGGAAGAATCCGGGGGATATGCCGTTTAGGAGATGATGATGTGGAATCCAACGGGGCAGCGTCCCCATCCGCCCTGGCTCTGGGTAAACTTCAGGGAGGTGTCGTCACTGCAAATGCTGCCACCAACGCTGGCAAAAGCTTGGCCCTCCTTGTAGTCGCAAGGACCACCGCCGAGGCGGTAGGCGTTGCCAACCTTGATGACGGGAGCATCCTTGAAGGGAGCCGCAAGCTCGGGCTGGTTGTTGAAGGTGGTCTGGCCGGGGATGGGGAACCTCTTGCCAGTGTTGCCCTGGAAGCTGATGTTTCCGGGGCCCGTCTCCTTGGGGCCGGTCCACTCGCATTCACCGAGCATGAGGACAAGGCTGCATGTCTTGCCCTTGGCCGAGGCGGGGATGTCGAACTTGGTGAGGGTGCACAAGTCGCCGGGGGTAACCTGGGCCGTCTGGCCGGCGGGAAGAGCCTTGTTGGGGTGCTTCTTGGAGACAACCTGGAGGAAGGTTGGGTTGAGGGAGCCGGGAGGAAGCTGGCCAGTGGGGGCAATGGGCTGGATAACAGGGCATGTCTTGCCACCACGAGGAGCCAGGGAGAGACCGTCCACACTCCAATCCGCTGCAGGAGCAGCAACCGCAAAGGGGAGAAGCACAGCGAAGAGAGCGGCAGACTTCATCTTGAAAGATTATAAACCTGTAAGTTTTTTTTAAAGGCGGAGGCGGATCGTGCTTGGAAGGAGGGAATGAGCGTGGTGTGGATGACGAAAGTTGGAGTTGATCTTCCGGTGACTTTATACAGGAAGCATCCGAGCATTGTGTTCCCTATTAGGAGATAGCTGATGTTCAGCCCCGCGCCACATCGCTTAATACGGTCCTGTATTTCCCAGGTAGAATACGAACGGCTCGCCCTGGTCCCGCTGGACGGCATCGCGCCTGATTATGCGAGCTAGCTGCTCCGAGTTAGACAGACGTCAGGTCCCCCAAAGCTTACAAAACACGCTGCAGTATGGCGACTTGAGCTCTGGCCCATGGCAATATCAAAAAGGTTCACCACCACGCCCGAGCTCTGCACTTCACGCAGCGGGAACGAGACGTGGCCCAGGTCTTTGGAATGCCGAGCCAGCCTAAGATGTTATGCTCCTGGGCTTAGAAGTCTAAAGAGATTAACATGACGATTCCCCATGGGCGATCACGACGCTCAGCCTTGCCAAGGCGGGCTCGGTAAAAATAAAGCAAGGCTTATCTGTGCTCGATGGCATTGGCCAGGGTGAGGGTGAGAGAGAGAGAGAGAGAGAGAGCGTTGAACAAAGAATCTCTCGCCCTGCCGTGTATCCTGCGTCCGGAGATTGATTTTTCTTTTCCCACTTGGCTTGTGCCTGACTCTGTGTCGCGACGCAGAGCTGAGGAGCTGAGATGAAAGCTGCCTCGTTGACCGCCCCCCTCTCCTCGTCGCCCCTGGAAGTCTGCGCTCGAGTAATGGTGGTTTTGACAGCAGAGAGACTAGCATCCATGTCGGGCGTAGGGCCAACCGTGTTTCCCCCTCTTCCGAAGCCGAAGCTAAGCTCACGCCTCGTGGGATCCGTCCCGCGTGAAATACGATGTGGCGTGCCAGGTCACCTAATCGATAATTAATTCTTGCCGAGAGGCGTTCCTGCGGTAGGGATGTGCCGACCATGTGTCAAATGAGCCCACCAAACCTCTCCACTGGGAGACGCTTCGATTCATTGTGATAAGCACTCTGTCAACGACTGAGTAAGACGGGCGGTGGGCCAGAACCTGTCAGAGTCTCACTAATGCCGTGAACCAATAACCATCAGATGCAGGTACCTAAGCGTCTATTTGCGCGCATATTCAATAGATGCTACAGGTCTTCTGCAGCTTTTGGCGCCCTGGTAAGCCTGACAGCTGCAATGCAGGCAGTCCCTTTTTCCTGGAAAGCTGCCTTGAAAACGGCGGATCGTCGCCCGTTTCCATCGTTCCAGCACATGCAGACCCACGACGAAGACACGCCAGAGGTAGGTATTGGACGGTGCACGCTAATAATTACAGCTCTCTACCTAGTTCGAGCGGACACCAGACTCCGTGGCAAGGTAACCCTACCCCCTCCCCCTGCAGCCATGTCAGGCCATTGCGTTTATGGCCGTCGTTTGACGCCGCGTTTCAGTCCGCACGCCTCGGGAGATCTTCAGCTACACTGTGGTTCTCTGCGATGAAGTGGCTTCACAGAAGGAAGAGCTGACCTCCCGGTGGATGGGGAAATGTGCGAGACCTCTGCACAGAACTCAGCTGCCAAGGGTGAAATTGCGATGAACTTTCTTCTCCGAGTGTCTCTGATGCAGCGTCAAGAGCACAACCTGCACATTAATGGGCACAAAGATGCTGTATCAGCTTGTTGAACCAGCAATCTCTCTTGAAAAAACACCCCGTGTGTTTTTGCTGCATGTTGTGGCACGCGCGCAAAATGCTTTTGCCGTCTTACTGCAGACACGTCGGCAGATGGTGCATTCGCAGTTCAACATTACTTTTTGAAAATTCCCGAGCCTCGACATGTGCTGCTGCGCAACCGCCCAAATTGGCAAAGATCGATGCAATCTCTCAACTATGTAAAGGTCTCCAGGACTCCACTCTCGTGTGATGAGGCTTGGGTGCATCACCGGAGACCATGAGCAGTATATGAGATCGTTCAATCTAAGATTCAACAATGCAATACGTCAACGTTATTTACTTCTCTTTCTCAGCCACCGATCACACTCAGGGCATCAGCCATGGTGGTCGCTTATAGAATGATAAAAGGCGCCACATAGCTAGAGTGAATAGGCTAGACTGTGCCTTATTTCTCTGCTCTGCGATACTGCTGTGGTTTTGTAATTGAATGCAATATCCAGCACATCGCGTTCAGAGAGGGTAACATTTGACTCCAGCAGATGATTTCAAAACTGCTTCTCACCATGAACATGAATAGCTTCTATACAAAGACGCAGTACTACAAGCCCTAGAGAAGGGCACTGACCACGACGTAAAAACAATTCCCAGCCACGCCAAGCTCGGTGGCACAACTCAAAAGGTAATGCGCGGGAGGCTTGTATGCCAAGGTCTGCAGAGCCACTGAGGTGACGAGCAGCTCGAAAAAAGACGGCTTTTGCACAGCCTCAGTCCAGACCTCGAGACCCTTTTTTTTTCTCGCCTATTATTCCAATACGCTCATCAAGCCCGACAGCGCACAAGGTCTATTTCAGGAATAATGGTGGTACCGATCGAGACTGCTTATTCAGCCAGAGTAGCTTTTGGCCAAATGGTAAAAAGAAATGCGAATACGAGTCAGGGGATAAGAGTAGATGAAAGTAGAGCTGGGCATGAAGGAATCGATGTCTTTCTTGCAGCGATATACCAACAATATTATGTGTGAACCTGGCGGGGGATATGAGCTCGTTCAGCTTTGTGGGTGTATTTTTCTTAAAGTGATACCTCATTTGGATTCGTGTGAACAGATAAAATCATACCCGCGATGTTTATGTTGTGAGTAGTTTCAACCCGCAAACGCTACGGCTTCTGCAGAGCAGGAAAGTCCTAACACGATATAAGATAGTAGCGTGGTACTATACTTCATACCTTACACATAATAAATAGCTAGTAACATATATAATCAATTGTCGCGGTATGGATCAAGTATCCAGGACCACCTGATCAAGCGACTATCAGAAGCACTTGATCAAAGGCACTGGGGGAGCAGCAACGTGGTGATTAGTTACTGGATAACTTCTTCTTGGCATGTCTATGTATTCCGATAGATTTGAGCTCTCTAGATAGCAAGAGCAATCTGATCAATTCTCTCAATCCGATCCATCCACGTATCAATCTCGGTCCTCCAACATCAATAAATGCGAAGAACCATAGTCTTCAACAAAAACCAGAGATTGATTAAAAGACAATGGATTTACTTTAGCGACTCTAGGCAGTGACACACAATTGTCTACATGATACGAATAACATAACAATACCCACAGCATCCGTCTGTGAAACGGATCGGTGGGCCTTGCCTATTGAACCCGTGGATGTATCTACAAATAGCAGCTTGAATTAAGATAAGAAAAACGCCCCATCAACTGTAGAATTTGCTTGCGTATTACTAGTTCGAGAATCCCCTTTTCAAGTTCCCCGTCCAAAAGAAAAGAAAAAAATCATACAATGTACTCGAAGATGGAAAGAAGAAGAAAAAAAGAAGAAGAAGAAGCTGTTGGAAAATGGCTGCGCGAAATGTGAGAAATCAGGCATCGATATTGACGAGCATGTATGGCGTGAAGATGATGTCAGCAGAGATTTTTTTTCAATTGTAAGATATAGCTTGTAACTCCACTAGCACCTACCGGCTTCCCCCCCCCCCCTTTTTTTGTTTATGATGATATGAATGCACTTGATTTTATCGTGTCTATGATATTGTTTGAATCACGAATAAAAAGGAAGCTGCAAATGATGTGACGAGGTTCGAAGGGTTTTGATTCAACATGGTTTTGCAATTTGTGTTTTCAAAACATGTTTCTGCATCATCATCGGGAAGTGAATGTACACATTCGATTGGAAAATGCCGAATAACGTGTATACACTGGACTTCCTATTGCATGTGCTGGTGAGCAGTGTCAGAGGCAATAAAGACAAGATGACGGGGTAAAACACAGGGAGCGTTGAAGGCGACATACACGTAGTAAATAGGCAAGGCTACTCTCCTCGTGTGTAGTAGATGTAAATAAACAGCAGTACATGACTACAAAAGCATCCATCCAGCGCTACCAAGGACGCTGAGAAATTCACATCTACCAATATCATCTAAACCTGAACAAAAAAATTTCGCAGAGAAAACACCACCTCCCTAGCACCCAACCCCTCCTCCAAGTCCCTTCTATACCCCCTCCTTCAATCCATATAACTCGTGAAAAGGTAAAAGTGAAAAAAAAAGAGTCATAACACGTCAAGAAAAGTTATTTTACACAAATACACCGCAAATATCCCAATACCCAACCCTTTTTCTCTCATCCCCTCCACCCAGTCCCCACGCCCGCACCCTTCCCCGCCGCCGCCACCATGCCGGCCCACACATCGCTAAAACCATGGTATCCATTGCCCTCAATCCCGCTTGTCAGAAACAGCCAGTCGGCCGCCTCCTCGACCTTGCCCACGACATAGCTGAGCACATCGTCGCTGAGCCTAGGTACGGAATGCAGAATGACGCCGGCGTTTTTCCGGGGTAACCTCGTTTTGGAGAGCGGCGTCATGGTGTCTTTGTCCAGGTACTTTTCAAACGTCTCTTCGAAGACGACGGTGATGTCGGTGAGGTTGATGAAGGAGATTGTGGGGAGCGAGGGCGAGGCGAGGGTTGTCGGTGGAACAAGGCCTGGGTTATGCACGATGAGGCCCTGTTTGAAACTAGTACTCGCGTTGTTTTTAATGGCGTGTGTTGCGCGCTCGAGGTAGGCGTAGGCGTCTGGCGAAAAGGAGCTGGGCGTTTCGTCGAGGAAGATGCCGTCGACGCGCATGTTTGCGGAGTTGGTCACGCGCGGCCAGCTCGAGTACGTGGCGATTTCGTCGAGAACGTCGTCGATGGGCTTGCTGGTGTAGTGCGTTGCTACGTAGCCCAGCGTCCGGATGTTGGGGTACTTGGACAGCTTGGGGACTTCGTCCAGGTACACTTGGTCGGGGAGAGAGCCCATGCATGGGCCTGAACAGGGGTTCAGGACCACGGTGAAGGAGACATCGCGGTAGGCTTTTGCTCTGGATGGAATTAGTATGCGAGTGAGAGTATAACGCGTTGATGGTTGTACTTGCGCTGCGTATAAAGGATCCCAAGCGCCCGCGCTAGGGTATATGTATAATGGAAGGAGGATAGACATTTGGCCACTACTTTTCCTTTTTTTTTTCTTCCCCCCCAAGATTTGGTATAAGAAAGAGGGGAGAGGGAGATGTGCGTCGAAAAAAAAATTTATGTCTCTGTGATATTGCAGATGGGGGGAATCCCACAAGTCTGACCATGGACTCGGTGCAATGGGGACGGGGGGGGGGTGCGAGGTTCACTACATGTTGTACCTGGCAGCGGGTGCTCGCCTTAACCCGGTGTTGGATCCAGCGTGCCATGCTATTTTGATACAAAATTTTAATCTAAACTGCACATATAGATTTGTACCACATACCGGTTTGGTGTTACGTCGAGCGAGGGCTACATAGCTAGACTCATGCCAAACCGAACTACGGCTAAAGTAGCGTGGGTAAACGAGACGATCTAGATTGCGGGAATTCTTCCGTCAAATCATTGGTGCTCAATTTTGGAAAACTTTGAGTTGCTATACCACGATGCACACCTAGATGGATATTTAGCTTCAAGCCCCATTTCTTGAGTGTGCGTTATTGAGGCGTTGGAAGCGTAATGATCGATAAATCCTTCCACTGCAAAGACCCATTCGACGAAGACGCACGAGCGTTGGGGTTCGTATTGTTGAAATAGGCGTACAGTTTTTGGTAAGTATGGTGCGTTGCCGAACCGAAAGGAGTACCTACCAAGACCCGATTTGGATGTGAATGTGAATTTCAGATACAACCAAACCATGCTGACGACTAGTAACGGGTCAACGGAAGATGAGTAAAGGTGGTACATCGCAAGGCTGACGGGATGACGTGCTCCATCCAAAGTGTGTTCGATGTATATTAGCTCGCGATCTATTTGATCCAGCCACGATAACTGGAGGCATCGGGCTTTGTCCCGTAATTCCTCGGTAACACAGCCTGGCGCAACCCGTGTGGCCCATCGTTTTTCCCTTCTTTCATCTAGAAGCCCAAGAGACGGCATGTGGCCCTTGGCAAATCCTTGCAAGGACGATTGTGGTGATGTTGCCAAGGGTCCATAGCCATGGCTGGCGAGGCCTGCCTGTGTAGGCAAGGTGGTTTCCGAAGTAGCAGCGCAGAGCTGGCTTTTCTTCGTGACGATGAGGAGATGAGATCCACATGGAAGCGTTGGCAGAGAAGGCTAGAACTCGAGTTTGCGCCAACAGAGGCTCGTGCAGCAGACGGCGGCTAGGTGCATACGAGCCATGTCTTTGATGCAGCAGTGGCGTTCAAAGCTTTCACTCGTGGCGTCAGGAATTTTACAGATACAGCTGAAGGTATATTGGTAGGATTGTGAGGTAAGGCAGGAAGGGGATTGATATTGATTTGAATGAGGTGGTAGTGGAAGTGATGAAGACTTGACCAGCCAATCAGGGGCTGGCGGCTATAGTTACTGGATGGGGCTGGATGATTTGTTGGGTTACCAATATTTCTGTACGACAGTTCTACAATGGGTATCTTCATAAACGAAGGAAGCAATAGCAAAATCCTATTAGCACAGGCTTCTGGAAAGACGCCTAAGACACTACTCGTAATTGTCGCCTTGCATATTTTCTCTTCTAGGTTCGCTTCCTTCCAAGAGCTGACAGCAGAAGACAGCAACGAGTTACTACGCCCAGGCCCTTGTACACAATAAATCCCATACCTATTTACAGAAACACCGAATAATCGATAAATACCAGTGTGGAATATTTTCCTGGATAAAATGTCCCAGGTATGCGTAACTTTGGGCAATTGATGAAATCAACAATCTGAGAAGAGAGAGAGAGAGAGAGAGAATCATCCGAGTACTTGGAGTCAAGAGAGTGCACAATGGCTCCACATCCGAATTGAATTTTACCCGTACAATCTCTACAAGACTTTGATACCTGTCTTCTTCACAAATCAATTAGATCCATTCACCCACACATGCTGAAAAACTAACCTGACAGACATCAACAATATGATTACATTTCACTAATATATATAAAGACCCCAGACACGCTAAATGCACGAGGAGTCCTACAACACAGCCCTAACACTCTCCTCTCCACCCCCCTCTTTCCTCTCAGCCTCCATTTCCATCTCTCGCCACCGCCTCTCAACATCCTCCTCACACACATACGTCAGCAACCAACTGCCCACGCCGCCCCACCTCCACGCAAGCGGATCATCACCCACGCTCAAGCCCCGCTGCTCATACTGCTCCGCGATAATTCTTCCCTGGCCATTGAACTCGCCAAATGCAGTTAGCAAGCGGTCACGCTCAACCTGGACGCTGCCATCGTGTACATGGTACAAATACTGCTGGCGATTTCCGCGGTCAACAACACGTTCGGTGCGCTCGCGCCGACACCGCTCGTACACTTGTAGTGCCCTCTTCTTTTCACGTGCAGATTTGTCCTTGATGCGCGCGAGACACAAACCCAGGACGTGTCCGTCTTCAAGCGACATGCCGGCGCCAGACGCGAGATACGGCAGCGTGGCGTGGGCGGCATCGCCTAGAATGGTAAAGGCGCCCGAGGAATGCGACCATGTGGGATCGAGGCCCGGGCGGATCATCAGGCGCCATTTTGCGACGGATTGGCAGAGGGCGAGCAGCTTGGGGATGCGTGGGTCCCAGTCTTTGTAGAGCGCGCGCATCTCCTCGACGTTGCCGGCGAGTGTGTTGGCGCCGGCGGGCATGTCGTCTGGGACGAGGAGAACCATGTTGAAGAGCTTGCCGCCGCGGAGCACATAGTTGACTGCGTGGGCGTCGGGGCCGATCCAGTAGTTGACTTGGGGGTCTTGGACGAAGCCTCGTAGCTCCGCATCTTTCAACATGTCTTCTGTGTTGAGTAGGAGCCGGTAGGCCAGGTCGCCTGTGAGAAGCGGCGGATCCTCGTGACCGAGGAGGATCTCGCGACACTTTGAGTTGATGCCGTCTGCACCGACTACCAGATCCGCTGCATGTTTTGTGCCGTCTTGACATATGGCAATGGCTCTTGTAGTCTGATTCCGCTCATCATTCTCATACTCGACATGCACGACTCTAGAGTTTGTCGTCAACTTCGCGCCCAGCTCCACGGCTCTCTCCAGCAGCCCCATGTGCAGATTTGCCCTGTGAAAGTCCCAAAACGGCGTGCCGCATTCCTTTTCATATTCATGGAAATCCATGTCGCTGATCTTGTTGCCCTTCCACCCAATCATGTTGCATAACCGCGGCGACGTCGCATGTTTGGAGAGGTACTCTTCCAGGCCCCAGGAAATCAGGACGCGCGACGAGTTGGGCAGACACTGGATTCCGGCGCCGATTTCGCCGATTTCAGGCGTAGACTCGAGGATATGGACGTTGTGGCCAGCTAGTAGAATCGATATGGCTGCCCCGAGGCCCCCGAGGCCAGCACCGACAATGATGACCTAGATGGACAAGTCGTTAATGCTAGTTCATGAACCAAGATTTCTGTAGAAAATGACGACTTACATCCAGTCTACTCGACTCATCCCGCTGCTGCTTCTGTATAACCTGAGGTTTCCCGGGCGCCATCATGTCACCCACTATTCGTACTACAAGCACCCACACACACGAGTTGGCAAAGCAGCAGCAGCAGCAGCAGTAGTAGCAGTAGTAGTATGTAGCAAGCCAGTCACCAAGAACAAGCTTCCAAGGCTTAGAACAAAGGCCTGTATGACGCACCACACACACCAGCGACGTGGTTATTCTTCTCCCCTCAACCCGAGTAAACAGAAAGAAGGAAAGAAAGAAAGAAAGCCAGAAAAAAACAATATGATAGTACAAGGGAGTCAAAGGAATATGGTCTCACCTCAACCATGCATGCATACACATGTCACCGCCACCCGTCTGTCCATGCAACCCACTCCCGCAAGGTAGCTATTTGCTATCGGCCATGACGCAGCGTGACGGGCGGGCTCCTGGCTAGCTCAACCGCATAAAGTTGGGAGTTGCCGGAGCTTATCTAGCGTGTTTTGCGTGGTGAGCCGGGCGTGGAAGTGTGTATGTATGGACGGATGTAGGTGTATGTGAGTGGCCTAACATGGGGGTCAAGTCAACACGTCGATTGGTGGGGAATGTATGCTTGAATAATGGAGAGATGGGTGCATGCGTGCGTGAATGTACGGGAGGCCGAGTGTGCTGGCAGTGCAAGAGTGGGGGAAAGCATCATGATGGGGTGAGGGGTAAGCGAGAGTGGAGTGGAGTGAGAGTGGGAGCGCCATCTGATCAGCGATGTTTACCGCGGTTGGGGTTCCGAGGGTTCCGACCATTCCGAGTGCTGATGACGCCTGTGCAGTACACCTATATCTCACATGTCTGTAGGGGTAAAAACAAATCTGGGTCGAGAGTTGATGCGTTGAGTAGCCTGTGATACTGTTTGCACGCTATTGTGGCATAGGCCCATCATAGTCGACAAGAGAATACGCCTTGCCCTCCTTTTGCAGCTTCAAAATCTCTCCTCGGGGCGCGGGCATCATTGCGCCCTCGGGCACTTTGTTGTTCTTTTTGAAATCATCCGCCATCTGTTCCATTGTCACCCACTCGACGCCCTCGTGTTTGTTGATGTGCTCGATGATTCTGGATATTTTTAGTGTGATTTCAACTTTTTAGCTCGCTCGACATACCTCTCGTGCATCAGTACAACATGCGGCCTGCCTGACACATCGGGATGAATTGTCATGGGAAAGACAAATTCGTCGTACTCTCGGTAGAAGTAGTCGAAATGGTCCATCCAGATCTGCTCGACATCTCGCGGATTGACCCAGCCATGGCTGTTTGCACTCTTCTTCATGAACATCATGGGCGGCAGATCGTCAATGTACCAACTACCGGGTATCTCGACGAGGCCAGTCTCCTTTCCTTTGATGAGTGGTTTCATCCACTCCTCGGCCTTTTTGGTGTAGTCAATCTTGGTCCACTGGTCGCCGGTGCGCAGCCAGTAGCAGCGGTGGTCTTCGTGTGACATGGAATGGTCGTACTCGATGCCGTAGGAAAGCAAGAGCTCGGTGCCTTCTGCAGAAGTCTCCCACCAGGGAGCTACTGAGCCGCGTGGGGGCTTGCCGTTGCAGAAAGCAGTCAGTTGCTTGTAGGTTTTGTCGAGGACATCACGCTGCTGCTCAAACGTCATGTCGGCGGGGTTCTCGTGCGAGTATCCATGGAGGCCAATCTCATGGCCTGCATCTCGAACGGCGGCGCAGTCTTCTGGGAAGGTATCGAGCGAGTGGCCGGGCTGAAACTGTTAGCGAAGCAGGTAGGATAGGAGTGGGTGGCTTTACAATGAACCATGTTGCTTTGATGTTGTACTTGTCAAAGAGCTTGAGCAGACGCTGGGTGCCTATGGTGCCAGCCCAGAGACCTCTGCTTATATCGCTCGTCGAGTCTTCTCCACCGTATGATCCAAGCCAACCAGCGACAGCCTGCGTGACGATTATTAGTCTGTTGAATGCATGTCATAAGAGGAATTCATATCACATCAATATCAACGCCATAGCTAACAAGCACTCTCTTTTTACCCATGGTGACTAGCAGCAGCGAGAGGACAGAAAAGTCAGACGAAGAAGAGAAGAGGGGGGTGCAGCGAGCAAAATGTAGTGGATGAGGTAGTGCAAGTGCTGTTGCACGTAGGACAGGGCATGGCTCACGATAGCAATTCGCTGGCAGAGCATTACCCCGCTTATCGAGTCGGGTGGTGAGGCGTGGAAGGTGGGGGGGGCGCTATCACTATCAGTCATTGGTAGCTGCTGCCAGCCTTGGTGTCGCGTGGGCGCGTTGTCACGTGGGCATGCTGTCACGTGATGGCGTGCTGAATCTCACGTGCTGAGTGCTCAGATGCTTGGATGCAAGGTGTATATGTACTAGATTGTAGTCGGTGGCTCCCTACTTAGACTGGGAGGCTGCATGAATCAAGCTCCCACGACAAGTCTTAGTTTCTAGGCAATCGGATGGGAAGCCGCGTCTGGGCCGTCCCTTAGCAGAGCATTTATGATTACATCGATAGCTTCGGCGGCACCCAGGGCCGTCTCCTCGTGCAACCGGCGACTCACGACTTGCACCCCTATTGGCATGCCGTGCATGGCATCGAGGTCAACAGCGTTCCAGTTCCACTCGTCGAGGACATTCCTCGGCTGATAGTCGGGCATCCGTGCAGCGGCGTCGGCGTCGAGGGCGCGGTCGACGGTGCCGGCGGGCACGACGACGACGGGATAGTCGACGAGATTGAAGACCTTTGTGTAGCCAACCCAGCGGCACTTGCCATGTGGGAGTGCAGAGTGGGGCATGACGGGCGCCAGCAGAATGTCCATGGGGGCGCCGGTGGCTTCCGACTTTGTTGCGTTCCACTGGTCGAGGTAGCGCTTCTGCAGTTTCAGCTTCTGCTTGTTGAGCTGCCAATAGTCGTAGACCGAGATGGCGCGGCCTCTGTGTACGAGGGCGTCGACGTGCGGGATCATGGGTTCCCCACCGGCGTCGACGTCGCGGCGGATGTCCTCACCGCCATCTGCCGTGTAATATTGGTCCTTGTGTCATGTCAGTTGCGTCGTGCAGGGCCAGCGGAAAGCATGTGCGATGGGCTTGCCATGAGATTAATGCATTCTTGGTGCAGATCGCCCGGGGCCCACGCGACAATGTCGTGGCCGGCGTCGCGGAGGCGGGCGACGGCGTGGTCGAGGAGGCGGGCGACGGGGGGGTGGCACCTGACTACGCCGTCGTCGCGCATCACGGCGATGACCAGGGGCGTTGCGCGGGCGCGCTGGAGCAGGTCGGATCGCCAAGGCAGCGGGCAGCACTTGGGGTCGGCGTGGCAGGGGCGGGCGTCGACGAGGGCCTTGGTGACATGTATCAGCGAGGCCATGTTTCGCGCCATCGGCCCGACGACGGACGGAACATGCTCCTGGCCGTCGGTGGACACGGCGACGCCATGGTAGGGCAGGCGCGAGCTGCTGGGCCGGAGGGCATACAGGCCGTTCATGTGCGCGGGGATGCGTACGCTGCCGCCAATGTCGGTGCCCCAGCCCACGACGGAGCCCTGCAGCGCCAGCAGCGCCGCCTCGCCGCCCGTCGAGCCGCCGGGCGTGAAGGAGGCAGCCCTGGGGTGGACGGTTAGGCCCCACAACGGGTTGTCGGTTTCGCACCACTGCGCACACACACACACACACACACTTAGCACGACAGGCCGCTTTCTGGGGGGCCGTCTGACATAATCCGACTCTACGGGACTCACCATGATGCTCTGCGGCACGTTGGTCTTGGCCATGATGACGGCGCCCAGGCTCTTGAGCATCGACACGAGCACGCAGTCGCGCTGCGCCGGGCGGAAGGCGCGCCCGACGTAGCCCAGGGTGCTGTCGTAGCCCGCCACGTCGAACTGGTCCTTGAGAGTCATGGGCACGCCGTGGAGAGGCCCCACGAGCCGCCCGTGCTGGCTGAAGAGCGCGTCGAGGTGCGCGGCTTGGCGCACGGCGTCGTCGAAGAGTATCTCGGTCAGGCTGCGCGCGCTCAGTCAGCAGGCGCTCAGTCAGCAGGCGCTCCGGGGCGCGGGTGTGGCGTGCAGGGCGACACGTGCCAGTTGGTCTGGGGGGCGCGTTAGCGAGAGCGCGCGCGGAATCGAACGCACACACACACACACACAATGCAATGGGCACACATACCTGCTTGTGGGCGGCGATGGCGCTGCACACACAGAAAAAAAAAGTGGCGTGAGAATGGTTCGATAGCCGTCGAGTTCCGCGGGCCTCACCGGTCCATGTAGGCACGCAGCAGCTGCGAGGCTGTTACCGCGCCTGTCGAGATGGCGGTTGCAACCGCGTCGATGCTGCTGGGCAGGGCAGCTCCAGCAGCAAAAGGGCCTCGGGAGCCCACGGCCTGCTGTCGTCAGCTCTCAACGCCATTGGGCTGGCCTGTCCGTGTCTGTGTGTGCTGCGCGGGAGTACCTCGGATCCTGCCGTTTCAGCGTCCGCAAATCTCTGCATGACTTCATCGCGCTGCTGTTGCTTTTTGCGCGCCACGGCCTGCCACGCTGGCTTTATACCAGACGCCATTGCGGGCTGCACAAAGTGGCCTGATGGGGATGGTAATAACAACAACAATAACAATGGCAGTAATAACAAGAACAAGACCAGCAGCAACACTGATGCTGATGCTGATGATGGCGGGCGGGCGGGCGTCTGCACTTCACCCGCACAAGAAGGGGGACGGCAATTAAACAAAACAACGTGGCTCCGAGGGGAGGGGCATCCCAGCATCCACGTGGGTGTATAACAGCCGTGTACTATGCCCATGTTGATGTTACCAGCCGGCGCCTTATCGGCCGCTCTGCATGCCAACACCACGCCCGATGCTGCGAACAGTGGGGGGACAAGGGCGACGAGGGGCGCGAGGGGCGAGAGGGGCGACAGTCGGCATACAGGGGGGGTGCCGACGTCCCCCCCTCCGCCTGCTCCGCCTGCTCCGCCTGCCGGGCTAAACGCCTCCACGGCCGTGTGCACGCCCACAACGACCCCTTGCGCTGCATCACCCCATGGCGGGCATTAACTTTTTCTTCAGCGCCTCGGAACCCTCACACGCGCGTCATGGCAATCTCGAATCGTTTGAAAATGGCCAGATGTTCGACAGACAATCGAACGCTGCCCCTCCGTCTTCCCCCTTGGATACCCCCATCTTTGCCCTAGCGGCCCGCCCTCACTGTACCCACACCAGCTACATAGCATGGCGCCCTCATTATGGACGCTCATGAAGCGCTCCTCGTCCAACAGCCCCCCCTCGTCCGCCGTCCGCCACAAAATGTCCCCCGGCGTCGCCTCCATCCCCGACTCGTCCGACTCGCACTCGCGCTCCTCGGGGAGCAGCCTCGAGGCCGCCGTGCACGCGCCCGCGTACCCGCGCGACGACGACTACTCGACCTTCATGAGCGACGTCCTGGTCGTCGGCGCTGGGCCCGCCGGCCTCATGCTTGCGTACGTCTTGCCACACCAGCTGCTCCATATTGCCCTCTGACCATAGCAGCGACAATCTGGTGCGATACGGCATCAAGACGCGCATTATTGATGACCGGCCCAACCGCACAGAAACGGGCCGTGCCGATGGCCTCCAGCCCAAGACGATTGAGACGCTGCGCCAGATGCGCATCGCCGAGCCGCTGCTGCGCAAGGGCGTCAAAATCTACGACATAGCCTTTTGGAAGTCGACGTCGGAGAAGCCGCTGCACCGCACTGGCCGCGAAATCCACTACCCGCCCGTCGTCGATCTGCTCGATCCCTACATTCTGCTCGTCCACCAGGGCATGGTCGAGGGCATCATCGAGGACGACCTGCGCGAACGCGGCGTCGTCGTCACCAGGAACACGGCTTTTACCGACTTCAAGTACACCCCCATGGCCATCCGCCCCCTCACCGTCAACTGCCACCAAAACGTCGACCACACCAAGCGGACCTTCAACACCAGATACATTGTCGGCTGCGACGGCGCCCACTCCAAGGTCCGCAAGAGCATCCCCGGCGCCGCCCATGTTGGATCCACCACCGAGTCCATATGGGGCGTCCTGGACGGCGCCCTCGACACGGATTTCCCCGACATCTGGAGCAAGGTGGTGATCCAGTCAGACGAGCTCGGCTCCATCCTCATGATTCCCCGCGAGAGGGGCCTGACCCGTCTGTATATCGAGGTGCGGCCAGACTCCAACGAGGCCGTCGGTGCTCAGCAGGCCACGCAAGATTTTGTGCAAAAGCGAGCTCAGGCCATCTTGCGTCCGTACAGGCTCGAGTGGAAGACGGTCGAATGGTTTGGCCGTTACAAGATTGGACAGCGCGTTGCCGCCCGCTTCACCGACGACCAGCAGCGAGTCTTCATCGCAGGCGATGCTAGCCACACGCACTCTCCCAAAGCAGCCCAAGGAATGAACACGTCCATGCACGATGCATGGAACCTCGCCTGGAAACTCAACTTTGCCATACGCGGCCTTGCCAAGCCCACCCTGCTGCAGACGTACGAGCAGGAAAGACAAAAAATCGCAAAAGACCTGCTTGACTTTGACTACGAGCACGCCGAGGCTTTCCACAAGGGCGATCCCAAAGCCCTTGCCGCAAACTTTGCCAAGAACGTCGCCTTCATCTCGGGCTACGGTGTCAACTACGATCTCAACATTCTCAACGTCCAATCAAAGGCCTACTGCCGAGGCACTCTGAAGCCAGGATACCTGCTGCCACCCGCCAAAGTGACGCGATACATCGACGCCAACCCCGTCGACATTCAAACTGACATTCCCGCGCTAGGCCAGTTCCGTATCTACTTTTTCACACACAGCATCCGAGCATCCATGCCCTTTTTGGAAACAGTATGTCACGCACACACCGGCAACGGCTCCTTTGTCGGCCGCCTCAGCGCTGCCGGCAACGCCTCGTATACCATGCAACCGCCGCTTGCCGCCCCCCACGACCAATTCGTCATTCCCGAGCGCTACACCCCCGTCAGCGGCGTTTTTACATATGGCCTCGTCACCGACGAGGATCGGAACAATTTCGAGCTCAAAGACTTACCCACGGTCCTGCGCGATTCGTCCTTTACCCTCTACCTCGACGACATCCCGGAAAAGGATACCCGCAAGCAGACGTGCATGGACAAGTGGCTCGATGGCCTCGACCCCCGCGAAGTCGTGGTTGTCAATATCCGCCCAGATGGCTACGTTGGCACCGTGCGCCGCTTTACAGAGGGAAGCAAAGAAAATGGCATTACGGCTATACAGTGGATGGACGATTATTACGAACGCTTCATGTCGGATACATGAGGTGTTTTTATCATGCCAGTTTTTGCTTTTGTTTAATCATGGGTGGTTTTTTGGAGATTTTTTGGGGTTTTCATGATGATCCCTCTCCTTTTTTTTTCTTCTTCTACTTCTTCTTTGGCTCTCTTTGCATGGCTTGGAGTTGGCGTGTCCCCCGGAAAAGTCGCTACGAACTAGACTTTCTTCCTTGACTCATGTTCCCCCCCTTTTTGTTTTGCTTCCATTCTCTCTCGCACTTGAAAGAAAAATTCATATATCCCACCCCCTCATTTTGAGAATAAAAAATTTTCAATTCCCCCCCTCCCCCTCACTTCTACTTCTACTGCTACTTGCACTCCCGGCTTTTTCGGTTCATGGCCTGACGTGTAAGAGTTAAGAGTAACGGCGAGAAACAAACAAAAGGAAGAAGGGTGAAAAAAGAAAAGAAAAGAGAAAAGATTTGTCAAGAATTGGCTATATGTACGTACAACACATACATACATGTACTTCTCGCTTCAATCCATGTTGCAGGTCAACAATAGCGTTGAAGCAGACTTTGCTGCTATTTACATGGGATATGGAGTCATGGATGTACATATGTATGTATCTATGTATGTATGCACGCACAAACCCTCTTACATCCATCCATCCATACATCCATTGATACATGTATTAGATTTTTTTTTCTATACACTACTACCACTACTACTTAGTACTACTACTTACTGCTGCCGATTTCCACAAACACCCCCACCCAGTGCACTAGCCAACAAAACTGCCCAACTACCTACCTACCTACCTACCTAACTAACTGACTAACAGCACCCCCACCTCCACACGCATTCCCCCCAACTAACCTCCACTGCACCAGTCCTCGCAACACCATCATGCCATCGTGCACCACGGCCCACCGCACCTTGCCCAGACACCGACTCACCACTGCCGCCAGCCCATTCACGCCCTTGCATGTTGCCGCTGTCCCGGGAAATACGCGCCCTGCACCTTGTCCTACTAGCGGACCTGGACCTGGACCTGGGCCCGCTGCCCCAGCAGCATATGCCCCTGTGTGCGGCGACCGCTGCTGCTGCTGCTGCTGCCTAAGAATAGCATTAAGGAGCACGTGCATTTCATGCGTGGGATCCCAGATGATATCGTCGTCGTCGTCGTCGTCTTCGTCTTCGTTATCCCCATGTGCATCTTCCTCTTCTCCTTCCTCTTGTTCATCTGGGAATCCCGTTTGGGCGTGCCGACGTGCATGGCTGGATAGTACTGGTAGCGGCTGGTCTGCGAGGAGCTGTGATGATGATGATGATGATGATGATGATGCTGGTCGAGCATACCACGCCCCCCAAATCACCAGTGCAGCTAGATACACGGCCCACGCGTGATGCCAGAGACGGCCGTTGCCCACGTCTGCTGAGCATGAAGATCCTGTGTGGATATCTACTCCTACATTTACACCTACACCTACACCTCCTGTTCCTACGGGATCCAGGACATCGACGCTATCGCGAACAAGCGCCGCTGCATGCCACACGGCCGATTGCACCGGTGTGGTTTGCTCTGCAACCCACTTCTTGACTGCGCGCTGGGACCGAGCGTAGTCGGAGCGGGCAACGGGCCGCCCCAGGATGTGGCGCGCGCCGGCGTAGATCTGGAGGTCGAGGAACGGCGCGTGCAGCAGAATGTGTGCGGCGTGGTACAGCGCGAGCGTTGCAACACGGTGCACGCTGAATTCGCGCGCTGCTTGCTGGCCCGCCGGTGTGTGTGACGGCGTTAGCTGCGTGTACTGCGTGCAGAACGACTCGTAGTCTGTGTGCCATGCTGTGTACGAGGCGGCGAGCCGGTCCCGCCAGTTACCCAGCGGGGGCGCGGCATCAGAGACGCCCAGGGAGGTTTGGTCGCGGCGCTGCATGTCCCAGGCGATGGACATGAGGCCGTGGAAGAGCAGGGAGCGGGAAAATGCGTTTAGCGATTTTGGAATCAGCGCCGCCGGTGGATTCGCGCTATTCTGCGATTGCTGGAGATACAGTTTCAGACAGGACAGGAAGACGGGCGGCGGAGAAGCGCATCTTGTTCTGCGGAGCTGTTGCCACGACTCTGCGCTGGAGGCTTCCCAGAGCACCTGGTCGCACGGCATGCTGGACCGCAGCTCAAAAGCCGACATGCAGAGGGATTGGCAGAAGAGGACTGCGTGTTGCGTGTCCCACATGAAGCAGAGGAAGGCGAGTCTGCACATCCACCTCTTAGCATCATGATATCTTTCAAAACAGCGAAAAAGATACAGGGACATGTCCATACCTCTTCTTCTCCTCGGCCTCACACCACGTCCGCCACTCGTCCTCCAGATCGCACGTCACGTCATCGCTCAGCATCATGTGCGAGCGAATCGTCTGGCAATCGCTCCTCCGAATCAGATTGATCAGCAGCCCGTGGAACAAGTGCGACATGTCGTGTTGTTTCTGGCCGGCTCTGCTCTTCCCAAAACACTCGACCAGCAGGATCGTCTGGAGAACCCACAGATCGGGTTTGGCGGAGAAACTGGCGCTGGCGAAGATTTGCGGACGCAGCACGTCGTGGATGCATACCTACATGGTTTACCGCGTTTAGTCACTGTAGAGTGAGTTGGGAGGGCATGACTTACAGCGAGTTGGTGTGCATCTTTCTCGCCGTATGTGGCGCCGAGAAGGAGGACAGAAGCAAGTAGGAGCGTGTCGACTTTGGAGGGGTCGAATGTCGACATGTGGATGAGGGGGTAGGTGGTGTTGAAGCGGGTGAAGAAGAGGTCGCAATATGTCTGCAGGCATGAGAGCGAGAGAAGGGGGTCGTCGCGCGTGACGGTGCTGCCGTCTGGAACTGTGGGCTGCATGATGTTGATTAGGTCGAGGAGTTGCTGACGGGCGAGCTCGTCTATCACAGGGAGGCTTCGTGAGGGGTTGAGCAGAGACATTGGGCGCTCGAGAATAGGCAGGCTGTGGCTGTTTGCGTGGGCATTGTCGATTCCAAACTTATCGGGGTGGGTGGGCGGTTGTTCTGGCATAACAGCGTGTGATATGCTTTCAGGCTGTTCACAAAACGAGGGTGGAATTATTTGCACAGGCGAGTGATGTGACATCGGCTCGGACAGCTGCCGTGGAAGTGATCCAAAGCAGCCTGTGTTGGACCCCTTTTCAACACTGGTGTGATCCAGGTCAATGCTGAAGATGGTGTTTGCCTGCGGTAGCGAGTTTTCGTCAAACGAGACAGGAAACGGCTCCTGTACATCTATCTGTTGAGATGTGTCGTTCTTCGACCAGTCCATGTCAAACAGCCAGTTGTAGTTGCTCATGGTCGTGAACGGAGCGTTGAACGAGCTGGCGGTATCCGGATTGAAGATATCGTCAAAGGACGCATCGTCAAAGACGGCCGAGGGGAATGATTCGGGTTGAGGTTGTGTGATGTCGGTAGACCAAAAGCGAGGATCTATAGGCGAAAAGGTGTCTTGAGCAGAGATAGATGTAGGATCCAAGGCCACAGGCTGATCATTACTGCCTATGCCCGAGTCGTGATCTTCCAGCGTATTCGGAAGCGAGGGGTTGTTTGAGGATGGTGGAGAAATAGGGAGACTTTGATCGTGTGCGGCGAAAGACGCCAAGTCCTGCAACGACTGAAAGACTTGGTCTTGCAAAGGCGAAGTGAGCGGTGCAGTGTTGGCCACGCTCACTAGTGTAGGTTTTTTAGTCACTATTTTGCCTTCTGCATCTTTCCACATGCGTTTTCGAGTATTCAACACTCCGCATCCTTCTGCGCCGGCTTCTTCGTCTTTTTGGCGATGTCGGGCGATGTGACGGTCTGCATGTACTGGTTAGTGAACGCAAGTTTAGAAACAAAATCAAAATCATTTCTGCTACACCCAAATGAACCAATGCAATTACCAAAAAATCAAGATATCTGTAAAACACCAAGAATGTATCATCCGCATACAACCACATCCCACTCACCAAGCAAGTCCCTCCGCTTGAAATGCGCCCTACACCTCTCACAAGTCCACTCCCCACTCGAGTGATTCAACACATGACGCTGCAAATGCTCGGCACGGGTAAACGACCGCGCACAGCCTTCATTCTGACACACAAACCTCTTGCCAGCAGTCCTGTCCACCTCGCGCCTCTTGCGTCGCTTGGTAGTTGGAGAGTGGGAGGGCTGGTGCACCGACGCAGTGGGTGGCGGTGGCAACGGTGGCATGGCGCTTATGCTCCTCTTAGCGGGTGGGTACTTGGAAATGAGGCCGTGAAGGTGGAAAATGGGGATGCGATGACGCGCGAGAAACAAGAAAAGTGAAGGATGGGGGGAGAGAGTAAGAAAGGCCGGTACTAATGATGGTACATGGCCCTCCCGCGTCCTCTGACCCCAATTCCTTCAAAAGCAAGACACACAGATAGACGGATTGACTAATCGTGTCGCCGTCATGCCGTCCGCCGTAACTGTGTCAGGGCTCGGTGTGTGCTGTGCCTTGCCTTGCCCAAGCTGCCGTATCGGCATGTTTGCCTCCGAAAGGCTCGATACATAGGTACGCGTACCTATCGCGGCCGAGACGTTACCCGCGGGTTCCAAAGAGTCGTGCTCGTCTGTCTGGCCCGCCCATTTCCGACGACTGCTGACTGACTGACTGACGCGCTGACTAGTTAGCGGGGCGGGGTAGATGCAGCTTAGTTGAATATGGTGCAGACGTACATGCATGCACGCATGGATACGTTGGGAAAAGGTCGTTTTGCTGCAAGAGTGGGGGTTGTGTCCGGTGTGGCTGGGGTAGGTGGTGAGTTTGACTTCTCACGCACCTTGGACAGCGTTTCTGTGCACTTCACGCTGTTGGGACGCGGGTGAGAAGATGGACGAGGGTGAAATGGTGATGCATCGAGATACGAGTCGTGCGTCTATCGCCGCTATCATGCCCCGCGACCCAGCCAATGGGAGGCGTTGCTCGCCAGGTCGGGAAATAGCCTGCATCGGGATATAGCAGAGGATAGAATGGGGATTAGTATACAAGGGCCCACTGCGATAAATGCGATAGCCGTCTCTGGTATCAGGCCTGTGGAGAAGATACTTCTACGTGTGGGGAAATATACGGTCCGGTATCTAATGACACATCCGCCGCCTGAGTTTTAGTCACTCAGTAACTGTGAACATCCAACGACGGCAGGGAACGTTGAAATGTGCTGCTAGGTTATGGTGTGCTTGTAAACACACTCGTAATCATTGCCATTTGACACAGAGTTTTCAACTCTACATTAAAATAATTTTCAGCTACAGCATATCAAACTCCTAAAATGGCCCATATCGGCCTTCATTTTGATCCACTACGACACAGCAACCAAGAACCCCATCTCCCCCTCCTTCCTTACTGTCTTTGCCCTGTCCACAAGCTCATCTCCGACTGCTAATCTCAGCCGTTCACATGTCGCCGGACTATCCATGTTCCATACATCTCCCTCGTTAACCACCTTTCCATTCATTTTTCTCGCCGCTGCAACGGCTTCTCGTAGCGCAAAAAAGACTGTACTGCCTAGGAAGAGCGGTGGCTCGCCAATACCCTTGCTGCTCTGTACAGTCCTCAGGTGGTGCCAGTTCAGTGGGTTACCGTCATCGTCGTACCGCAGCATACTAGCGTTGAAGACTTGTGGGATGTCGCTGAAGCCGGGGATCTTATAGGTGCCTGGACCGCGGGTAAAAAGCTGGCCATTGCGTGTCCAGAGTGATTCTTCAATGGTAAAGAGACCTTGGCCCTGAATGAAGGCGCCTTCGATCTGACCGTAGTCTATTGCTGGGTTGATCGAGTTGCCGACATCCTACGTAATTAATTAGCAGTAATGGCGAGACGAGTTGGACGACTTACCATCAGAATGTCTGACCGCAGTACCGTGTGGTCTCCCGTGAGAAGATCAAGTTCCACTTCTGAGCAACATGCTCCTTGTGTCCAGTAGTAGTACATTGGCTTGACCGTCTCTAGGTTCGTGTCTCCCCACATGTATCCAACCTTGGGCATCTTCCAGAAGCCATTGGCCGCAAGGTTGACGCGGTCGACGTAGGCTGCTTGGGCAACTTCTTTGAGTGTAGCGTCTTTGCCCAGCTTCTCTCGAATCGGCTTCAGCCGCTCGTTGAGCTGATCGCACGCATCCTTCACAGCCATGCCGTTGAGATCGGACCCCGACGATGCAGCTGTAGGCGATGCATTCACAATTTGGTAGGTTTGACTGTCTTGCGTGTAGATGGCGTCGAGAGGCGTACCGAGCTCTTGTGCAGCAATCTGGCACATCTTCGTGTAGAGACCTTGTCCCATCTCGGTTCCTCCATGATGTAGCAGCACACTTCCATCGCGATAGATCTTTACATAGGCAGATGCTTGGTTGAGATGCAGGGCCGTTGCAAAGCTGAGACCAAACTTGGATGGTATCAGACTGATGCCTCGCTTCCGCCACTTGTTCTTCGCATTAAACTCCTTGATGGCTGCCTTTCGATTCTCGTAGTCGGAAGACTTGCTCAGCTGGTGCAGTAGCATTGGTACATGCCAGTCTTCGTCAATTTTCTGGAAGAACGGAGTATGTTCTCCGGGCTTGTATAAGTTCCTCCATCTCAGCTCATCGACATCGATGCCCATGCCTTCGGCAATGTTGTACATGATGGTCTCGGCAAAGTACATGCCCTGTGGCGCGCCGAAACCCCGGTACGCCGTGTTGCTGTGGATATTGGTTCGACATACATAACCACGTAGGAACACATTTGGACACTGATACGAGTTATCAAAATGCGTCAGGCATCGGTCCATGACGGCCCCGCTCATGTCTTGCGAAAAGCCAGCATTGTTGTAGATGTCGGCCTCAAGAGCAAGAAGCTTTCCCTCTTTCGATACGCCAACTTTCCACTGCGCTTTGAATGGATGTCTTTGGCCGCTGAGCAGCATGTCTTCGTCGCGATTCAACATGATACGGACCGGTCTTTTTTCCTTTCTCGCAGCAATGGCCGTGTAGACAGCAAACGGCACACTTCGAGATTCTTTGCCGCCAAAACCACCACCCATGCGCTTGACACGAGCATTGACACGATTGCTTGGTATTCCAAGCACCGCGCTAACAAATTCTTGCACCTCCATGGTGTTCTGCGTCGAAGACCACACGTCAATAGCGCCATCTTCTCCAGAGGGTATAGCCAGTGCTGCGTTTGTCTCGAGGTAGAAATGCTCTTGACCGCCCATCCTGCACACGCCTTCAAAGACTCTATCGCATTCGGCAAAGGCATCAGCCATCTTGTCATCAATGGCAAGACCCTTTCTCAAAAACTTTCCGTGTGGGAAATAGCTTTCAGCTGCGATGGCTTCGTCAATGGTCAGGATAGCTGGCAGCTCTTCGTATTCGACCTTGACGGCCCGCGCAGCTGCTTGGGCTTCCAGCGCCGTATCAGCGTAGACCATTCCAATGATTTGGCCATGCGAAAGAACCTTGTCCTCGGCAAAGAATGGCTCGTCCTTCTTGATAGAGCCCCATATGTTGGCATTGGTCGGAACACTGTTTTTGTCAATGTAACCAACAACACCAGGCATCTCGAGTGCTCGCTCCCAATCGATGCTCAGAATCTTCGCATGCGCCTTTGTCGACATGACAAGACCGCCGTACAGCTCGCGATCTAGTCGCGGCATGTCGTCAATGTACTCGGCTTCACCGGTACATTGTTTTAGACCGGAAAGATGAGCAACTTGTTTCCCGACCACGCGCTGTTCGTACGGGTTGTAGTCATCGCGAGCTCCGCTAGATATCTCGCGATGAATTTCATCTACAACCTGCTGATCGACGTTGCCAAGTCCAAACTCAGCAGCAGCCTCGTGCCAGAAGCGGAAAAAGAGCGAAAGCGTGAGTGTTTTGCGGTAATCAGCCATGCCGCCTGGAACGCTATACGGAAGGTCGTAGTCCTGCATCAATGCCGTGAGCGCAGCATCGAGCGTCTCTGAATGGAACCATGGCTTGCCGAGAAGGGCGCTCTGCGTCTTTGGTGAATCTTTAGTCACTGGCGCCATTCCACCGAACACGATCGAGGCATCTTCAACGAGGCCATCAGAATCAAGCCGCACTCTGAAGGCTGCTGTGACGATTGCAATGTCGTCGTCCTTGCGCTTTGCTTGTTTGTATGCCTTGAGAACCTCCCGTGCGCTTGCTGGTGGTAGAGGTATCCGAATGCGGTGCAGAGCTGCATCAGGGGGCAAGGTCGTAGTTCTGTAGGCTACGAAGAAGTCGGACATGGGAAGAAGAACACTGCCATCCTTCTTGTTGACAGCCTCTAGTGTGGCACCTGCGGCTAACAGCACGGGGTTCGCGTCTGATATTGGTGATGCAGTTGCAATGTTACCCGCCAGCGAGGCAACATTGCGAATCTGGCGACCGGCAAAGTATCGTAGTTGCTTTCGGAGTGCCTCTAGAACCATGGCACGTTTGCCAACCTTGGCATACACTGTCTTACAGATGTATTCGAGCTCAGTGAGCGACGTGTTGGCTGCAATGACGAGTTCCTTGGCCGCGTCGAGTTCAGCATCCATGGGAAGCTTGGTGTGCTTCAGCTCAGGTATATCCGAAATGTAAACGGACACGGCAAAGTCCGAGTTCTTGAAGCGGACTTCTACCTGGACCTCACTGGCCCCACCAACCAACTTGGCCGATGGAAATGCGTCCTTGAGTTCTACTAGCTGCTCAAGCTTGGTAGGACGGAACCAGATTTTCTTGTCGTTGCCGTAACATATCGGCTGGGGTTCATGCTTCCACAGCGCTGGTGGGAAGATGAGCTCTGTATCTGGCACATACTCCAAGAATTCGACTCTAGGTATGCCCTTTTCTGAGGTTGCTGCAGGTGCAAGTGTGGCAGATGTTGCAGTCTTGGATCCCGCGGCTCCGTCCTCGTGGCTTTTCAGGGGCTTTGCGTACTCGGCACCGCTTATGACAGGGTCTGCTTGAGGTTCTTTCTTGGCGTCCAAAATGGCAGCAACATGCTCATCTTCTGATGCCGACGTGGGCTCAGTTGGTGGTGACGAGGTATTGGATTTGCTGTTGGTCGAGCTGCTGTCTGACGGTGTGTCTCTGCAACAGCCGCCTGGGCGGCCGCAAGACACCTTGGAGGGCCCTGCACACCCGTTGCGGGTCAGGTCAATGACGTCTCGGTCGGGCTTTTCGGCGTCTGCTGTGCTGGGTTCATCGTCCTCGGCCAGCTGGCCCTTCAAGTCGTCGGTGACAAAGGTTTTGGCCGCTTGCAGAATTGGCTTGTACCCCGTGCATCTGCACAGGTTGCCGTCCAGGTGGCCCTCCAGTTCGATATCACGGGCACTGAGATGGAACTTTTGCGTGTCTGGGTTGTATGCATTCCGCACAACAGCGTACAGACTCATGACGATGCCCGGAGTGCCTAATTCATTGTCAATCAGCCAGTCTATCAAACAATCACAATTGGTATGCGCACAAAATCCACACTGGCTGCCGTGCAGCTTTGCAATCCGCTCCTGCAAAGGGTGCGGGCGGCTGACACTGCCGATGCCCTCGACGGTGATGACATGCTTGCCGTCGACGCCCACGAGCGGGAACAGGCACGCATTGACTGATAAATGCTTGATTCTCCTCTTCTCCGACTGGGCATCTGGGACCTGGAGGACGACGGTGCATGCGCCACAGCCGCCTTCGCCACAGCCCAGCTTTGTGCCCTTGAGGGCGGGCTGGGCGCGGATGTAGTCGAGTAGTGTCCAGTGAGGATTGGGGTTGGCGATGACGGTCTTTCTGCCGTTGATGAAGGTGGTGATGTCGGGCGTGCGGTAGGTCGAGTGGATCAAGGGCGTGAGAGCCTCGACGGCCGACGGCGCGTGCGGCGCGTCGGCGGCACAGCTCTGCGGCGGCACGGGGAGAGCCATGGCTGGCTACGTACGAGTAAGCAGCAGCATCAAGGCTGCACAAAGGACGAGGGTCACCCGGAGGGGCAGAAGCGATGCTCTTTTCATGTCGTCGCCGGCCTGGCGCTTGCTAACCCCTCAGCCGTGTGCAGCATCGACGCCCTCCACGTAATGACATCGCTGATTGGCCTGATTGCTGAGGGCGAGGGCAAACCTTCCTCTGGCGGTCCATGCTGCTCGTCCAGAGCGCCGCCTCCCCCCCACTCTCGTCCGTCTGCCACCCATCTACACAATTGCACACGCACACGTCAGACAGCCGCCCCCATTCCTGCATCTGCAAGCGCCACCCCCCTGCTGCATGCCGTGGCCGCCGTGGCCGCCGTGGGCGTGCAGATGATCGCCTCTGCTGCTAGTGCCAGGTACAAAGAACCCTGAAGTAGCCATGGACCAGCTGCATCTTCGCAGAAACCCCTCTGCCACCTTTCCGACGACGACGACGACTCCTCCTCCAGGATGCCTCAGACAGACAGCTCGGCCGGCTTCACGCCGCTCAAAGACACCGCCCTCTTCTCCCCGCTGCAGCTGGGCCCTCTCCAACTCCAACACCGCATCGTGCAGGCGCCACTGACACGTCTGCGGGCGGTCAGGGAGAGCGATGGTGTTTTTGTACCGCAGGAGCTGCATGTCGAGCACTACGGCCAGCGTGCGAGCAAAGGCGGCCTGCAGCTGACCGAGGCCACTGACATTGCCAAATACGTGGGTAGCCGGCATACCTCCAGGCACAAGCACTGATGCAGTCTAGGCCAGCGGCTATCCGGGCACACCGGGTGTTTTTTCTGAATCCCAGATTGCGGCCTGGAAAAAGGTCACTGATGCAGTACACGCAAAGGGCGGCTACATCTTCTGCCAGCTATGGCACACAGGACGAGCAAGTCCGCCCTCGTTCCGAGCTGGAGCGCCAACCGTGAGCTCAAGCGATGTGCCCATGACAGGCAGCTGGCTTGACGGCGTAGCATGCGCCGACCACCCTCCCAAGCCATTGACGGTCGAAGAAATTCATGAAATTACCAATACTTGGGCGGATGCGGCGAAGAAATCACTCGAGGCTGGATTTGATGGCATTGAGATTCACGGCGCCAACGGATACCTGATTGACCAGTTTCTGCACGACAACGTCAACAAGCGGACAGATGAATATGGTGGATCCATTGAAGGGCGCAGTCGCTTTCCCCTAGAAGTCATACAGGCCTGTGCCAAGGCCATTGGCGGTGATCGCGTCGGCGTCCGCCTCAGCCCGTACAACTATTTCCAAGATACCAAGGACAGCAATCCCAACGAGCACTGGGAGTACCTCTGCGAGAAGATTGCCGCACTGCCGGAGCAAGAGAGGCCGGCATATGTCCACATGTAAGCTCGGCCAACTCCAGCACATGATAGCTCTAACAACTGCTAGGGTCGAGCCACGCTTCGATGAAGTGCTAGACGAGCAAGCCAAGATGGACGCTCTCTCTGCATACACGTCCAAAGGTGGCAAGGGTGTCGAGGCCGAAGCCACCGTCAAGGCCAAGGGCAACACACTGACCAATTTCCGCAACATCCTGCAAAAAGGAGGGGTCAAGTTTATCGCAGCAGGTGGTTTCACCAGAGACAATGCCGCGCCCAAGGTCGAGGCTGGTGAAGCCGACCTGATTGTCTTTGGCCGCTGGTTCATCTCGAACCCGGATCTGCCAAAGAGGCTTGCCGAGGGTCTAGCGTTGAACCAGTATGACCGTGATACGTTCTACGGCGCCGATCCGCCTCAGAAGGGCTACACTGATTATCCCTTCTACGAGGCTGCAGCCGCCGCTTGAGTTGATGGTGTTGTGCATCAGTGGCGCGGTTGATTACTGGCATTGCATGAATAGAAAAAAGGACTATGTCTACAAGAAAAGAGTCTGGGTCGTGGGAATTAGAAGCTAGATCCAAGTTCAGCTTGGTTATGATGAAGTAGATGTGTTATGACTGAAATGCCTTATCCACACACAGATCATAAGACGAATATGCTACTTGATATCCTGTGAATCAACAGGCAATTCTCCAATTACTCAGCAACTTACTCACTGATGGTCTGGATCAACATATTTGCTAATAGTCAAAGCAAGCAAGCACACTTCGTCAATGTCTCAAGAAGCTACCCTCTCACCGGAACATGGGCTCTAATGCATAATTCTCCGCAAACACTATTGAAAGGCATTCACCCCGCCTCTAACCAGCACTCGTGATACACCCAACCCAGCACCAGCACCGTTTGCCATCGGAGCCCGCCGAACCGCGCCTTGCCGCCCCGCGTCAACCCTCGGCCCCACGTCCCCCCTCATCAAAAGCACACTGCGCGACGCGTCGCCATTCCCTTTTCCTTTCCTTTTCCTTTTCCCTTCTTTTTCTTTTTCTTTCCCTCTTTTCTTTCCCCATAATGAGCGCCACCACCATTCCGACATTCACCCCTGGCGAAAGCGTCAAGGAGGAAAATGGCTTGATCCACGGTGTCTCGGTGGCGGAGCTGCAGGTCCTGGGCGAGCAGTGCTTCGAGGCGCGGGAGCGGGCGTATTGTAAGTGGCATTGCAAAGATTCTCTTTGTATATTGTAGTTCTGCAAGAACAAAAAAGAGAGCAAGAGGAGGAATTGTGTGGTTTAATATGTTAATATTCATAGGCCCATACTCATTGTTCCGCGTCGGCGCCTCCCTCCTGCTCACCACATCGACCCCCTCCGCCCCTTCAGCCACGCACACCATCACAGGCGCAAACATCGAAAACGCCTCGTACCCCGTCGGTACATGCGCCGAGCGCGTCGCCATGGGTACTGCCGTCATGGCCGGCCACCGGCTGGGCGCCTTCAAAGCCGTGGGCGTCACCACCGACATTGTGGATTACTGCTCGCCGTGCGGCATGTGCCGCCAGTTCTTGCGCGAGTTTCTGGCACTTGAAACACCCATCTTCATGTTCAACAAGGAAGGCAAGTGGATTGTTAGGACCATGGGCGAGCTGTTGCCCCTGAGCTTTGGGCCGGATGTCTTGCCCCCGCGGGAGGAACTGAGGAAGGGACAGGACGCGGATAAGGCCAAGACGGCGTAGATTGGAATGTCTGGGTTATGCATTCACGGTGTTGTGGTGTGGTGTGAAAGGAGTTTGAGCATCTTGGGGCGTTGCTGCATATGCTGTGTAAAGGCATAGATGAGGTTGTTGGTACATGAATTAGACCAGTATGTACATAGGCACGTATGGGCAAGACGGCGTTATGCTCAGAATACATAATGTATGCCACTTGAATTTCCCATGTCAGCTGTATAGTCCTCTCACTCTCCCGTCTCTTCTGTCCCGCCAACAACCCCGCGGGAAAGCCACACACGCCCGATAAGCTCCCCCGATAAGCTCCCTCCATCCGCTTCCCACGCCGCATCTCCGCGCCCCGTGGACATGCACACTGATGAAATATGTCCTGCTCGCCAGCCCAATTAATTTAATCATCAATGATATGAGGGCTTGTTACACGAGGGGCGCTCGAGATGCGCGTCCCATCTAGCCTTTTCTCCCTCTCTTTCCCCATCTCTCTTTTCTCTTGACTGTACGTTTGTGTACGTAGTTCAGAGTCCAGTTGTATATTGTATACATTCAGAGCATTCGACATGAGTGAAGGGAATTCAAGCACAGATGCGGGAATGCCAGACTCGGAGCATTTCTCTCCGTATAGGGCGGATGGAAAACTTGTAGGTTTTTTCTCTTCTACTGTATCTTTTTTCTTGCTTCTGCGGAACGGCAAGGGGATAAGGCAAAGGTCGAAAAATAATAATAAGAAAGTCAAGACATTGTTGGTGCAGAAGGACATTCTACAGAGGGGAAAGAAGGGAAGAGAGCATCATTGAATATGCGATATCCCGGACTGACAAGACAATGTATTGTATAGTATGGATTCGTGTGCGTAGTCACCGGCGCAACACAGCCCGTAGGCAAAGCCATAGTCGCAGAATTGGCCGGTACGTCACCCTCTCTACTCTGCCACTTCCTCTTTTCCAAACTCTTCCTTACCGAAATGCTCTCGAACTAACAATGCAACACCCAGCCCACGGCGCAGCCTGCATCTACGCCTGCACCTCTCTCAACGCCTCCCCCGACCCCGATCTCTCCACCACAACAGCCGCACACCCCAACACGAAAATCATAAGTTACCCATACAACACGGCGTCGGAAGAAGCCACGCTCGCCCTCATCGACGACATCCTAAACACATGGGGCCGGCTCGACGTCTGGACCTCTTCGACAGGCCTGCTGGGCCCGCCATCGATTACGCAAACAGGGCCGAAAGATCTCTACGCTGCCTTTGATACCAACGCCGTGCCTGCGTTTTTCGCGCTGAAATACGCTCCGGCGGCAATGCAGAAAACTACGCCAAAGGGTAACTATGCGAATGCTGCGCCCAAGGATGTTGCGTACGGGTCCATCATCGTGGTGACGAGTGTCGCGGGCACGTATGGCGGGTGCTGGGCGCCAGCTTTTACTATGGCGTCGCATGCGGCGCTGGGCGTGGTGCGGTCGGGCGTGCTTGTGCTCAAGGGGACGGGCGTGCGCATCAATGCGATTACAGCGGGCCAGATTGATGTGGGCGTGGATCTGAAGGAGTGTGGCGTCAAGGAGATGGCGCAGGGCCAGTTTCCGCCCGCGAGTCTGCAGGCGGCTGAGGTGCAGAAGCGGACGATTGGGCTGGAGAGGGCGGGCAGGCCTGAGGAAGTGGGTAGGGCAGTCGGGTTCCTGGCAAGCGGGTTTAGCAGCTATATTACTGGGGCTGAGTTGAGGGTCGATGGGGGCGCGGGCGTCATGAATCCTATTACGGTGCCTGTGTAGAGTACGGGATTACAGTACCATGCATCAGCTGTTTACGCACCCTAATGCTGCAATACAACCGGTGCACCCTTCTCCCAGTTCTCAATGCTTTCTCGAATATTGACCCAGTACCGCAACTTAACCGCCTCGCTCTTGGCCGCATCCAAGTCATCCTGCTTGAACGCCGAGTCGAGTATCTCGGTACTCTGCGCTATCCGCTCTTCATTCCGCTCCCTCATCTCCTCAAGATCCTCTTCACGCTCCGCTTCCTCGATACTCTCGCGCGCCTCCAGCACCTCCATCAACAAGTCGGGATCCTCCACCTTGGCCGTCTCGTCGTCGGCGACCTGGATGCCCCGCAGCGAAAGCAGATATTGCGCCCGCAGCAGCGGATTCTGAAGCGTCTTGTACGCCTCGTTGATGCGCGCCGACGTTGCTTCGGCGCGCTTCTTGTTCGCCTGGGGATGCAGGTCGGGATGCGCGCGCGCCTGCAATTGGAGAAACTCGCGCTTCAAGGCGGAGAGGTCAATGGCAAAAGGTCCGTTTGGCGGGGGGCCGTCTGGCAGCGTCGAGGGGAAGAAGTCGTAGTGTGTTTGCGGGACTTGTGGCGACTGGTTTGTACTGGGTGTTTGTGTGCCAAACGGCTTTTCCACGGCATTTGCGCTGCTCGATGTCGACTGGAAGCGTCGAAGCGATGCTTGGGGTGCTATGCGGTGCGCGCAGAGGAGACATGGTGCGGTGCTTTGGCGCGTGCGGAACGGGGACGAGGCGGCAGATTCAGAGGCGAGAGATGCGCGCAATCGGCGCGTTGCACATGAGCGTAGGGAGCGCATTTTGGGCTGGCGTGTGTGTACAGGTATGTAGGTTTGGAGCGGGGGGTGTTGAAGCGTAGAAATATCAAAGTTGCGTCCGGATGCGAGAACCTCCGCGCCTCAAGTCCGATCGCCTACGTCATCCATCGCCATCACCTTGCGAACATTTGTGGCATGAGTGGAAATTCGCTCGAATTTATGTCTGGTGATCGTGACTATTACTCTAATTTGTTGATCGAAACAGTTACAAAGTGCAAAAACTTCTCGTGTATGCACTGATCAAAGTCGGCAAATGCAGTGTTGAACATTATTCATGGATACAGAAGAGTGTACATGTCTCGGGTAGAAGCATACTGATGATCCGAGGAACGCTTTCCCCGGAATGGTAGATTTTGTCATCTTTCTGCCTCTTCTCTGCCGTCGGCTTCATGCTTACACCCTACATCCGCGGACGCCTGAAACAATATCAATCAAGGTTGCCATAAGAAAGCTGGATACCATGCTGCAATCAATTGCTGTAATTTCGCTAGCATGCAACACTTCTTTTTGTGTTTCTCAAATAGGGTTCTATACTCTGCTCATTGACAACCGCAGGACGGCTAGCTTTTGTGGAATCAAACATTGATGATAAATGAGAATACTAAACTAAATAACACACAAAAATGCGAGGCTAAAACAGCATCTTACGAAGATAGGTAGCCACTGCTCTCCTGGTTGATGCATGTATAATGACATGTTATACACATTTCCATTTCGTTCTATGAAAAATACTCAGGAGTACCTGTCTGGTTATTTCACTCAAAGATAGCTACGCACAGCCAGAGCTTACAGACTACTGTCTTCCCAAGCTGCAAAAGACAGCATTTCACCGCAATCCAGCGCAGTCATCCACGTAGAACATAAATGGGCAAAAAGAAACATGGTTGAACTGTGTGCACAGCGATTCATGGAGCAAAAAGGGGTCTTACCGCGACTCGAACGCGGGGCCTCTCGCAAGCAATGCTCGGGTTTACCCTAAGCGAGAATCATACCACTAGACCATAAGACCATTATGCTAAAGTAGCTTCAGATAAGAGGACGGGGACTTAACTGCAATATATTCGTGATTGCGGTGCAGAATTGATGAGGGAAAGGCCAGCTTCGGCGCACTGTCCAAGTGAACCATGACAGCTACACCGCGGAGGTTTGTGGTGGTGGTGGGGTAGATTGAATCGCTCACCCAGCACTCTGCCCCAGGGTAAAGCCATGCAGTTGTAGTTTTGCAAACTAGCACTAGAGTCTCGGGTAGTGGAGGGGACGTCTGTTATATATTACACGTATGCACATGCATGCGTCGGGTCACTTGGACTTGTTTGCCACAGCCGGGCCGCTCCCGATTCCTACGTACGTCAGATGCGCCATGGCGAGGGCCGTGCCTCGATGCTCGACATGATGATGAAAGACGACTGACGACAACTTCTGCCCCATTCTGCAGGCTTCCACTACTCAATGGGCTGGGGGCTTCAGATGGCGATTGCTACATGCCCACCTCCACCCTCGACTAGCTGATACAGAGCCGTTGCAAGGCACAATGGTGCGTCTTTTGGTCCCCGAAGGTAGGTATCTCGAGCTCGCAAGCGGCGCAATAGGTAGCTGGCTGACTGGAGGCTTATATAGGCGAGGGACAACTTGCGCTCACGCGAAAGCGCCCCTGGTCACTGCCTGCACAGGCGGATCTTGTCGCATCGCCATTCAGGAGCTCTCTCGCGGCTGTGGGCTTCACTGGCTTTCTTGCACTGTGCGGCCGCTCCAGTCCCGGCACGTTCATCAGGACTGTCGCCATATTCAGCGTCGCGGATCTGTCAGTGACGGCGGCGGGGTTGTATTCGCGGCGCGAGCTGAACAGGGGCGTGTTCAAGATGGAGAATATTAAGCCAAAGCCTGGGAAGCTGTGGGAGCGGACCAACTATACCTCCCCCGAAGACCGTACAATGATTGGAGGGGCCATAGGTATGTTGATGGCCTTGAACCCCCGCGCTTTACCAGGAGCCTACGGAGTCTCGCGATTCATTGGAGCAGCGACTCTTGGATGTGCGTTTGGCTCCAAGATTGGTCAACTTGTTTTCGTTCGCGTGTCTGAGCCACTTCTCACTCTTCTCCATGCAAACGACAGCGTTTTGCGGATGCAGGCATACGAGAAGTTGCAGCACGACAGCGAAGCGAGAGACTCGCTCTCCATGGCTGGCAAACTAGCGCTCAAGTACTATACATCTCCATCCTTGGGGTTTTTGCGGTATCAACTTGCTCTCATCAGGGGAACAGGTGACATCTTTGATGAGCCCCAGCAGACCAAGTCATCGACCCAGTCCCCTCACGGCCATGAGTCGCGGTCGTCGCTGCAAGCAGAGGCAAACAAATACACTGTCGTCCAAGTAGAATTCAAACAAAGTGAGCTGGCAGGACCAGACATCGAGGCAGGCTATCGCGCATACAAGGACAGTCTCGATTCGCGAGACGAGGGCAGCATACGAGACTGGCTGGAGCGCCTCCAGGATCTCAAGAAGAGAGTAGGTATCGAGATACAGTTTGTGTGGAAGCACCTGGCGCAAAGAGAGCATGAATTCTACCTTCACGTCAAAGAAGACTGGGTAAAAGACGCTACTCGTCGCGAGCTCCAACTCCTCAACAACATGGCTGCAGATCTGGTGACGCGGTACGCGATACTGGAATACCACGAAAAAGATGCTCAGAAGCGACTCGAGCAAATGAAGCAAACGGATCCTCTCTCGCCAGCTCCCATCACAGCGTACGAAACACCACAGCATCCCACCGTGGTTGCGCAGGACGACTACAAAGGCCTGCAGATTGTTACCGAGCAGGTGCGAACTAATTTTTCAAGGCAAAAGGAGCTCTTGGCCCATCTCCAACAGAACAACTATTATTTCATGGCGTCGCATCCCGACGAGGGAACACCTCGTTCTGAGCACAGCAAGCAGCTTCAGCGGAACTCGAGCGATATGTATAAGAATGTTGTGGCTACTGGGCGGTTGCTTGAGTGGCTCGAGGAGCAAGAGCGTGAGGCTGATGAGCAGGTGAAGAGATAGGTTTGGTTGAGCACCGACGTATATGATAGCAGACTTGTCTTGTATCGACACGTTTTATGGTGTGTGGAGAGCCGTCCTTGCCAGCCCTCGCACCAAATGATGATGCTGCTGCTGCTGCTGAAAGGCTCAAAAAAGCGTTAAGTAACAATTCAACCTGAATTTATTCACACTATCGAATACCCTATACCGGCGCGTCCTTGTCCTGCACAACCCCAAACGTCGCGCCGCCCTCTTGCAAAAACCTCTTTTCCTCTTCTGTACTCTCTCTGCCCAACGCAGCATTGCGATGCGGGTACCTACCGAATTTCTCCAGAACATCCCTGTGTTGCTTGGCCGCCTTGTTGTATCCCCCGAGAAGCATCTTTGTCCCATTGTATCCCTCCAGCTGCTGCACTTCGCCCTCCAATTCGGCGATTATAGCATCCGTGAAATCGTGATTGGCTATGTCCTCCGAGTGCTGGAACGGCATGTAGAACCACGTTCGGTGTGGCGAGGAGAGGCGGAACACCGGGTGGAGATCTGGTCGGGAAATGGGCGACGACGAAGGGGACAACAGAGCGCGCACAAGGCTCAGCGCCATGCGATCGTAATGCTCGTATACGAGTTTCAAGCCGTCGTTTGTGCGATACAGGTTCCTGGGTATCTGGTCGAGCAGCAGCGTCATGCTGAGCGCTGTCCAAGCCGCCTCCTCGCTGCTCTTGTCGCCATTGTGCTTCTCGGTGATGCGCTGCAGCTCGTCGAGGAAAGGCTGGGCGGTTGCATCTGGGAATTCGCGCGGCCCAATGGCTTCAATGGCGTGCGCAAACGCGGCGCGGCAGTGCGAGTCAAACGCGGCGCGCTCAGAGGGCGTCTGCATGAACCAGCGCTTTGTGATGCTCATGTCGAATTCTTGGCCGCTCGTGTCGACGCCGGCGAACCATGTCTCCACCAGGCCATCGTAGAGGGCGCGGTTGAAGATTTTGGGGTCGAGTTTGAAGCTGGACGTCGACATTGTGTGCTGCAAAGCTGTTGTCGCGCGGTGATTGAATGGCTGGAGGTTTGACGGGCGAAAGCTCGAGAGAAGCAGGCTGGATGTTAGGGAGCGCAGAGGCGTGCGAGCTGTGAAGCGGGTGAGCATTTTCTGGGTGGTTAGCTGTAAGATCAAAAGCGGCCATCTATAATTTTGCAGAGATCGAGCCGTGCCGGCCGCACGCTGGTCTTGGCCATTGTTGCTTGCGCTGGTGCTGGTGGAGATGATTTCGCTTTCGGTGTCTTCGGAGGCCGATAAACTGGAGTTGCTGACTAAAAGACGGCGTGAATTGCGACCAAGAAGTGCTGTGATGAACGAGGTTTGATTCTCTCAGGTTCCAGGCTTCCAAGAGTACGTAAATCTCATCGTCCACCTACGGATGACTTGTTGTTGTCCCGACACCATCCCGGAGTGCTCGTGGGGCAATCGTGTTACTTACTTAAGTAAATAGGAGGAGGCCCGAAACCTATCGACGGGCATCATGCACGCGCGGTTGATGTGACAACGCAGACATGGCCCCATAGCGACGGCGTAGGCCGGATGGCCAGGAGTTGGAGTAAAGATGGCGAAAGAGAGACAGCTGCCGTTTCGCTCTGTTACTCCACATTCCCCTCATCCATGCGCCTGCGCCATGCACCGGGTTCATCTCCCCGATCATGCGGGGAAAGCCTGCATCGTCTATGTATATCAAACACCATACATCGTAAAGTTGCGCGATAGTTTCCAGAAATAACCACAAGGAGAATATTCACGCAGAGACATCGCCATAATACAGCATTGTCGCTGCGCTTCATGTCATTCTCTCCAACACACCTCTCAGCCGTCCCAGCCCCACATGTACACCCTTGTCCTCGTATTCTTGCTCCTTGCGTCCTTCGTCCTCTACACACGGTATAAGAATAAACCACCGCCCGGCACAAAAGCTGCCCCTGGCCCCGCTGGCCTCCCAATCCTCGGAAATGCCCATCAACTCGGCCAGCAGCCCCACCAGCAAGTCACGGCATGGGCTCGTGAGTTTGGCGAGGTCTACAGGATCCGCCTGGGCTGGAACGACTGGTACATGATATGCTCGCCCGATGCGTGCAAGGAGATTCTCGACAAGCAGTCTGCGTACACCAGTTCGCGGCCGCCCGCCCCTGTTTCCCAGGATGCTTTGTCTGGGGGGAAGAGGTTCTTGTTTATGGAATATGGTCCCGAGTGGCGGAAGTTGAGGAGCATCAGCCACAAGCTGCTGACACCGGCCGTCAGCGCTACCTTTAAACCGAGCCAAGAATTCGAGGCCAAAATGCTGCTAGAGGAGATTCTGAACGGGGCAGACGTGAGCAAAGGAAATGGGGTTAGTTACAAGGCGATCAAAAGGTACACGGTCAGTGTTATCATGACCAGTACCTATGGGCGGCGCATACCAGAGTGGGTGAGTGCACATCTGAAACGACATGTCACACTTCAGCTGAGGCAAGCAGGGTTGCAACGAAGTGCATCAGATCTACAGCATCATGGAAGACTTTTCCAACGTAGCAAAGCCAGGCACATACCTTGCTGACACACTTCCCTTCCTTGGAAACCTTCCCCCGAGCCTGCAGTGGTGGCGTAAAGACGTCAAGCCATACTTTGAGAAGCAAGCTAGCCTCTGGATGTCTTTTTGGAGCACACTCAAGACCCAAATGGAAACCAAGAAAGCGCCCGAGTGCTTTGTCAAGCAGTTCATCGAGAGTGACTACGAGAAGCAGGGTATCAGCGAACTGCAGGCTGCGTTCCTCGCGGGCAGTATGATTGAGGCTGGAAGTGAAACAACATCTGCAGCACTCAACACAGCGATCCTTTACCTTTGTGCAAACCCTCATGCTAGGCAACGAGCCTTTGAAGAAATCCAGAGGGTGACCGGGTCCTCTCGATCCCCAACGTTCGATGACGAGCCCATGCTGCCATATATTCGCGCCATTGTCAAGGAAACACTGCGCCTACGTCCCGTCACCAATATCGGCACACCGCACTACACCACGGCGCCCGTAATATACAAGGGCATACACATTCCAGCCAACTCGGTCGTCTGTCTCCAGCAGTACCCCATTCACTATGATCCAAGTATTTTTGACCAACCCGAGCGCTTCCACCCAGAGAGATACCTCAACCATCTCCACGGATCAGGACACTACGCTGCTGGCCCTGCAGCTAGCCGCGACCACTGGGCTTTTGGTGCAGGCCGTAGAATCTGCTCTGGCATGCACCTGGCAGAGAATAGCATGTTCATTGTGCTTGCAAAGTTGCTGTGGGCTTTTGACATTCTGCCACCAATCGATAACACAGGTAAGGAGATTGAGGTGGATACCAGCGATGCGGCTTTTAAAGCGACGGGCAGTAGCACAATGGCAAGGCCTTATGCTGTGAGATGGAGGGTAAAGTCTGAAGCGGTCAAAGATACAATTTTAAAAGAAGCGGCTGAGGCGAGAAGGGATGGCTATGTGCTTAGAGGGGTACGTGTAGGTGAGGAGGGTGTTGAGGTTTGAGGTTTGACGCTTCCCTGACATGGTTTTACTGCTTTCACTCAGATGAATGCCTTGCGTCACTATTTGCCCTGCTTCCGCGTTTGCAGTCTCCACTTTACTGGATGCGCCCGCCTCTTTCCACCTAAAATCCATGCCAGCATTCCGTTCTTCGTTGCAACTCCTGCATTTACTCAAACACAATAGTGTGCAAGATAACCTCACATCCAGCTGACACCTCGTCACCGTTTACCAGCACGATGGCGTCTACAGTGAGCCCATCCAGCCTGCGATCACGCGAAAACGATAACACGCACCACCAGCCTCCAGATGGCGATTCTCACCATGGCTCTGTACGTCCACTTCACCGCCGTGCCTTGGAAACGATGCCACATGACGTGCATATCCCTCTGCCTCTCTCGTCCATACAGTACTCCAAAGACGAACCGAATCGAATGTTAAACGCGGATGGCACGACCAGTCTCTATCTGCAAGACTCAAATTCGAACCCGCTGGAAAAACCGCACTGCAGATATGGCAACGACCGCGAGGAAGGCTATGGAGACAATAATAACAGTACGCAACTGAGCGACGTTGACACTGCATTCCCAACCTTACACCAAGCTGAACAAGGCGATACCATTGAAGACGTCATGAACATACCCGGCACAAAGATCGTACCTGCACCCGTACAAGACTTCAATGCATTTTATCCCCGCGACGAACCGACGCCAGATGAGACCCGACAGCTGAGACGTCGGCGTGGAGTGATCGAGGCCGAAATACGAGAGCAGTTACTGGAACAAGTGGATGCGCACGCTATTACTGCAGCAGAGGGATTTACCAAAGAATTCACGCCTCAGGACGATGCGCGGGATACCAAAACGGAGTTTGATACGGCTGATGCTGTTGGTGCTTTTCAAGAGGTTCAACCACTTGTACTCGAAGAAACACAGACGACTTTACTTACACTCTATAGTCTTCTGAGCCATTCCACTGCGGCTCCTCCACGCCAATCTCACACTACTTGCGCCGAGCCTCGGAGCCGTCTCTCACAAGAATCACATGCACATCAGCCATCCAACCGATTCCCCACGCCTCACTCGACCTCACCGCAAACTTATCCTCAGACAAACCCAGCACACCACTGCGTCGGCACAACACGACTCCACCACCACCGCCACCGCTGTCCATGCGCCGCAAACCCGCCAAACCAGCAGACGAAGCCGAAGACACAGACGCAGCATACGAGGCGGAACTACATGAACTCGAGAAATACAGAGACCTGGATCTCGCGCCCCTCGAGCCCGTCATGCAGTGCGACAACATTGCAGGCGACCTGATTACACACGGCACGCCGGTGAAAGCGCGGGACGTGCAGATTTCAGTGAGGCGTGGTGAGTGTGGGTTTCTAGGATGCCGCTTTGGAGTGAACAGAATAGGAAGGGGGTAAGTATGCGCCGAATACGAATTAATCTTTACCTTGCGAAGCGGTGCTGCAAAAAAAAGAGGAAAAGAGGAAAAGAGTAGGTAGTGTGTATGAGATTCAGAAAGTAAGGAAGACTGTGAAAAGAAGAGTGGAGGGGCAGAGAACCCGAATGAAAAGGGGGTGGTGCCAGTACTCACTGCGTAAGTAATGCTCATTCATGAAACTAAATCAATTACTCACAATCAAATCCAAATACGTATCAAACATAGCACTATGAATGAGTCTTTTTTTTCAAAGAAAAAAGAGCAGGAGGAACAGTAAGATTAAACGACTCCAGAACGACCTCTATATTCATCGAGCCGAACCACACTATTGTTACTCTGCTGGACGTCCTTAGTATATAACATAATAATGCTTGTTCCTTTAGTGATGTTGATATCTTTCTCCCCCCCCCATTGCTTGTCGCTCGCGCTTTTGAATTGGTACAAGGAAATAACAATCAATAACAGACAATAAAAGGACAGATGCGTTCTAGCAAAGCGCCAACCCAATGCTGTGTTTTGAGCTTCGTCTGTGTGTGCGACGAAGATGACGACGGCAACAACGATACTAGCGCCGTCATCAGAGTATCCCCCTTTCTCTTCTCACTACTACTCCTCGCCAACCCATATTCATGCAAGACTGATTCGAGCATCCAAAGTCTATCATTTCATCTCCATCTCCTCCCCCACAGATCTTGCAACAAAGTATGCGCACGAACGTGTGGAGAAGGAGACACGAACCGTCACGCAAGGAGACTTTCCTTGACATCATCGCCCATTGGAATCAGTGTTGTGCTGCTCGTGCGCATCCTCTCTCGATCTTCTGCGTCTCGCTCTTGCATTTCGTTGTCGTCATCATCGTCGTCATCATCATCGTTGCTGTGCGCCTCGTAGTCTGTCAAGTCGTCGCTCATGATGTGCAGTATCTGGCTAAAGGTGCGGCTCTTCCAGCGGCCCATGCCTTCCATGAGGTCTGCACAATGCAGTAGCGTGCGCCGCGCAGCTAAATATCCCGCATCGAGCGTGATGCCTGTGATGCTGAATAGACCGCCGTGACGGATAAACTTGACTACTTGCGTTGTATCTGAGAAGCCAACAGGGGACTGCGGGGTGTCGATGAAGCCGAGTTGGCCAACAGAAAGCCAGTCTATGAATTCGAGGAGCTCAATACATGCGTCGTTTGACGAGCCATTGGTGTTGGGAGGTATGGAGTGGGGCGGGACGGTGAAAATATACAGGCCGAGAACGAGAGCGGCGTGGAAGAGGGCAACGACGCTGTGTGGATTGACAATGTCGCTGACTTTGCGGTCAAAGAGGAGTTTGTAAATATGGGCAGCATGCAAGACGCTTCGCCGCGCGCTGGGCGTTACGCTCCATGCGGCAATGTCTTCAAGGGCGTTGACGGCTGAATCGGGACCTGAGCGACCGGCTGCGAGCTCAAAGTAACGGATGTTGGCGCCGAGAAGCATGCACGAAGAGTGCCAGAGAACGGCCGAGTTGAGGTCTGCGGTGCGGACAGCGTCGATTGAAGAGCTGGAGAGGTTTACTAGTAAGGGGAGGATATCACGACTTCGTGCGTCTTCGGCGTAGACACGCCAGGGCTCTAGTTGCTTCTGATTCCCTGTCGCGGGGGCTAAGCGGTCGTTGCTCTCTTGGATGCGTAGTAGAAGAAGTGTTAGCAGGGATCGAAAACTGTTCATGTCTAGTTTCAGCCCAGGCGTTGGATGAAAAGATGGCGTTATTTTTTGCGAGTGAATTCTTGCTCCTCTTTGGACAAGGTTGAACCATCTTGCGCCGCTATTCGCATGGTATAATGCGTAATCACACGGAGGTAACATATGAACGGTGTCGGGACGGATCAAGGGAGGCGTTGAGAGGTATCCTGCCCAGTAACAGTCGACTTCTACGAGACCGAATATGATTCGTTTGCAGCACTCAACCTTTGTCCATGCTCTCCACTTGGCGTCGATATCGATGATTTCGTCCAAAAGGGGCTCCAGCTTGGCGCCTTCATTCACAGAAAAAAGGCCTTGACTTTGCGCATACTGTGCTTGTTAGTCACATGGAGATTGTGGATGCGCCAGTGGTTACATACACCCATGAGGTCTGCGTACATCTTCTCGGCTTGCGCAACGCGACTCTTTCGCTGAAGTGTATTAGCACACGGTCACATGAACCTTTTGGCGTACTCACTCCGTTGATAGAGGCTAGGTTGAGAGCCATCAAGCCGGTCGCAATAATGCGCACTTGCTTATGTGGTGGGTGATTTGTCGTTGTCAATGATTGCAACTCTGCTATGGCGAGTTGCAGAACAGCCTGTGTTCCTTTCTTAGCAGGTGTTGATGCTTGTTCTTTGGTCGTCTTACCGGGACGGTCCGTGTAACGAACTTGGCGGCGCCCGCTGTTCCTAGAATACTAAGGCCAATCAAACACATGCACAGCAATAATGGCCGAGATGCGTTCTTGGCGGAGAAGGTTGGTATGTGAATGATGGGAAGGGTGGGGTGAAAGTAGTAGAGATACATCTCCAAAGCAATGTCGAGAATCTCGGCTGGCGGGAACTGGAAGCCTTCGGCGCTTGGGCTTGCAGCAGCATCGCCGCTTGAGGATGCCGTGTCGCCAAATGATTCTGACCGCGGGGGATTCGCTGTTGGTGCATTGTTCAGTGCGCTCTGTAGCCTGCCCCTGCACTCCTCATCCATACCCCATCGTGAAGTCTTGCGTTCTCTTTCACTGAGCGGCGTTTCAGCGGTCCCAGAATCCGTCTCGGAGAGGATGTTTGTGCAATCGCACGCGATAAGGCCCTGCCAGAGATCGGGCATCAAACGCGAAGACTTGCGAACTCGAGATGGCCAGCAACTCTGCACTCTTTGGAACCGCTCCCTTGGTACTCTGCTTGCAATGGATACGCTACTGCCGGACGGGCTAGCCTGGTTTTCCTGCAGTGCCCGAAATGTCTCGGGGTCAAAGAAGCCATCGACGCCCATGTTGTGCTGGCCATGCGACGTGGGCATGTCGTTTTCCAGCGGAAAGAGCCATGTCTGCAATGCGTCGGCCGGCGTCCGGTTGGGGACAGGGTTGTTGCTCTGCACAAGTTCAAAAGCCCACTGGTCCAAGCTCGAAACGTGTGCCGCAGGAGAAAATGAGAGGACTTCCATGGCCGGATCAATTGGCGGGCCCATGCCGTCATGCTGGTTGCGATTTTGCGCGGGAGCCGTTTCTGCGCGGGCAATGAGCATGGGCGAGGGGGAGCGCCATGGAGTGTCGGTTCCAGGTTCGAGATGCTGGGCGGCATTGATTAGCGCTTCAATGCGGTCTTCGCCGGGTGAGGCCGGATGCAAGCGCGACGACGGCTGACGGCCATGGGCAGTCGAGGGCAGGTGGGCGCTGTAGCGATGGTTGACGTTGATCTGGGGCATTGGGGGCTCTGTCCTGGTGGCCATGGAGGAAAAGCTGGCGTCTTCGCGCATCAAGGGTGTGGGCATCTGAGTCGGACCGCTTCCGGAGCGTGAGGCGGCTGATCGCGACGCCTGGCCATCGTCCAAGGAGTTGTGGCGCAGAGGCTGCTGCTGCTGTTGCTGTTGCTGCTGTTGCTGCTGGGCAGAGGCATTTTGCTGCTGCTGCTGCTGCTGCTCACTGTTCTTCATCCGGTTCATGGCATTCTGGGCATGGCCTTTGCAGTGCCGGAACAGGACGTCGCTGATTGGAGGTTGGATGGGGCTTCTTTGCTTTTTCGTCCTGCTGGAGTTCTCACCTGCGCGAAAAGTGCTTCTTGCATGTCGGGCACTCGTAGGGGCGCTCCCGCGTGTCTGGCAGCAGAGGTCAGCTGGCTGGCTATACACACACACGGATGCGGTCGTGGCCACGGGCTGGGGGCATACGTACGGGACCGCTCATGCCGCTTCACGTGCTCGACTGCAGGGCGCGTCAGTAGAGGATGCAGCGGGGCGCGGGCAGCGTCAACATACGCTTGGTGAAGGTGCGGTCGCACATGCTACATTGCTTCAGGGCCATGTTCTCCTGGCCGTCGTCGTCGTCGTGGCGTCGCGAAGGTTGCAGGCCAGGCGAGTGATCGGAGGACCCTTCGACCACCGGCGTCGGCGGGTGCTGGCTAGCCTGCCAAGCCCTGGCCGACTGCGGGGGAAATCATCCCGCCATGACTCGGCCTGCGCATTATAGCCTCATGTCGCCTTCATCTACCACGCACACACGCACACATATACACCCGCAATACGCCCTCCTAATTGCGCCGCTCCCACCTGCCTGCCGCCCGCCGTCGCAGCGACGCGGTCCCGCGCCCATATGACGCGCCCCTGCTGCCGCTGACACAGCCCACGGGATGAGCTCATCACTCGTGGCTACCCATCGCCCTACACTACATCCGCCGAAGGATTGCATCCGCTGCCTAATCTCGCCCCAAGGATTCTGTCCTACCAGCTACCTCGCCCTAACCCCCAGATCGCCTGCCGGGTGGGACTTGGAGGCGTGCACCAGTGGGGCCGCCCTGCACTGTTGGCCATATTGCCTTCAACGAGCCTCTTGCTCTTATTGTCCGCCTCATCCGCCTCGTTCACGCGCCAGGAGTGGCTTGCTCCGCTACTATCCATCCATCCACTGCTGCTTCCGCCCGCGGTTAGCCACATGGCACATCCGTACATTACCCGTTACGGCATCGGTGGCCGGAAAATTACGCCTCAAGCACATGTGCACGCTATTCCACGACCTGCGTTTGTGCCCGAAACCCAACACAAACCTACCTACCTAGACTCGGCCATGGACAACCGCGGCCGGCTGCGACTCCAATATACACCACACGTTCAAGCTGTCGACATGTCACCTGAGGAAAGGGCTTGGCAATTGCATGTTATGCCACAACTGCCTTTGTCCAATGCTAGCCACACATCCAATCAGAAGAGCACGCCTCAGGGAACATGACGTCCAGCACAACTAAGATTTGTTCGCTTTGCTACCTACTTTTGAGCAGGTGTACCGACATCAGCCTATCTTACCCAGGCAATTTCATGATTACTATGCAGAGATCTGCTGGGCTTCTGCCTTTGTGGTTTAACCGAACAGCCCCCAACCGGACAAGATCATCGCCCATCGACCCTAGGAACAAAGCCAAGACAATATCGGTTTTTCGACATATAATACTATGTCACGGTAACTTAGCTAAAGGTCGCTCAACAGCGTCAGTGCACTCTAGTCTTGTATGGATCTGTCACACCATGAGCCAGTCCGTGTGTTGTGAGGGTAGGGCCTGGCCAAGCAACTGGATTCAGGCAGCCCAACGAGATCGGCCTAACCTAGGACGTGATTCCCAGTTCGTCTCTTTGCCCGACATGATTCACAGTCGGTACTCCTTGACCGACATGGGCCCTTGAGTACAGAACCTGATATTTCTCCGATGAACCATTGCGCGGGAGCAGCCTGCAACGACATGTCATTACCAGTCCCCATTTGGGTTTGAGATTGAATTCATATTTTAGAATCAATCAACACTCCTGCTGCTATCATGGCCGGGAACCGGATCCGCTCTATCCTTGGGTAAATGCAATGAATAGGCGTATTGGTACAGCCTCGCCAAAGGCATTCGCATCATCATGACATCTTGAGATTCTCAGCAACACCAACCTGAGCGATCTCGAGTAAGCACACGATCAACGGCACCATTCTGGTTCCGCTGATCCTCCCGCATGATTGACGAAGAAGAACATGGTTAAAAGACATTTTGTGAGAATATAGTAGACTCGCAGTCATGTCTCTCCGGGCCTCCTTCCCGCAACTCTTGTCTCTCCGCCTACCCCGCAAAGTTCCCCTTGTACCCAGCACCACTTGCAAGAAATGTCTCCGGCAAAAAGACAAATATGCAAAACTCACAATGTCGCACCCGTTTCTCGACGGCACCCTCGATCAGCGGCGCATCGGACCATCATGCAAAGCGCACGCGTTGGGAACTGCCAATAGTGGGGCCGTTACCAGTGGGGCTAGCGCGTCAGCAAGGGGGAGGAGAGGGGAGAGGGGGAAGAGGAGGTGGGGCCAGCGCATCGGGTTGTACACGTACACGCTGACACGAACGGCAAGGTTCATTGCTGAGAAGAGCCGAGCGGGCCAAATTCTATCCAACTGGCTGGAAAGGGGTGCAGCAGAAGGACAGAAGGAAAAAGAGACGTGTGGAAGACATGTGATGCCGTGTTTGGCCGAGGATCCAACCCCCGAAACGGGAGAAAGAGAGAGAGCTGTGGTGCGCAGAATGGAGAAGGGATTGACGTTGAGGCTATTCACAGTCTTCAAAATGCCTCCAAAAGGGCATCTCTATCCCGATCGATGTGACGACCTGGTCGTCTACGCAACAACGCCCTTTTCCCTCAGCTCCGTAATCTCCTTCTCGCCGTATCCCAGCACCTCCCTCAACACCTCATCCGTATGCTCACCGAGCAACGGCGGCGGCATCCGAATCTTGGGCTCCGCTCTTGAGTACTTGACGGGATGATTGACCAGCTTGACCTTGCCCAGCGCCTTGTGCTGCACTTCTTCAATCATGCCCCTCGCAAGCACGTGTTCGTGTTCCACGGTGGCCTTGATGTCGTTGACGGCCGCATACGGCATTCCCGACCCCTCAAAGATGTCCAGCCATTCTTTTGTCGTCTTTGTCGCCAGCACGGCTTGCACCATGGCGTCGAGCGTTTCGCGATGCTGCACGCGGAGAGCGTTGGTAACGAAGCGCGGGTCCGTCACCCACTCCGGATGCTCAAGCTTGTCGCACAGGATGCCGAAGAGACGGTCGTTGCAGCCACCTACGGTGATATTCGTATCTTTTGTTGCGTACGCGCGATACGGCACTACTGTAGCTGTGGCGCTGTTAACTCCCATCTAACTACCACCCACAGTCTGCAGGGAAAAAGTGTGAGTGCACGCGTATATAGAGAACTCACCATGAGCCGTCCCCCACCGGCCACTGTCCCCCTTGCCCGTCACCAAGGCACTACTCGCAATGTTGGCCAGCCCCGAAACCTGCACATCACTCAAACTCGCGTCAATCCACTGCCCCAGCCCTGTCTCCCGCCGCGAATACAGCGCCGCTTGGATCCCAATCGCCGTGTACATTCCCGTCATGATGTCCGTGACTGCAACTCCCACTTTGACCGGAGGTCCCTCCCGCTCTCCCGTAATGTGCATCAGCCCCATTTCCGCTTCTACCATGACATCGTAGCCTGCCCGGTCGCGGTACGGCCCTGTTTGTCCGTAACCTGTGACTGAGGCGTAGATCAGCGACGGATTGAGCTTTGAGAGCGTTGCATAGTCGAGTTTGTATTTTGCGAGTGAGCCTGGTAGGTAATTTTCAACCAACACGTCGCATTCACCGACGAGTTTGTGTAGAATTGCCGTTCCAGTGGGGTTGTTGAAGGCGAGGCCTACCGAGCGCTTGTTGCGGTTTACCTGGTCAAGGAGCGTTAGTCGAGGAGAACATGGACGTATAAAAGGTGGGACATCTTGGTTTGAGTAACCAAAGACTTACGGAGAGATAGTATGCGCTTTCGCCTGGGAATTGGCGTTCCACACCATCGGTATACGGCGCATTTGGTGGGCCCCAGGATCTGGTATCATCGCCTCGTGTGGGGTGCTCGATTTTAATGACATCCGCTCTACGAATCACCGTTAGTAGCCATGGATGGCTTCACGAACCCGACAGAAGGATTCGTCTTACCCAAGATCTCCGAGTATCTGTGTACAGTAAGGCTGTGATTTTGTTAGTCGGGACAGACCCTCTCTAACAGCAGTTCAAGATGGGGATATATCACATACCCCTGCGAGCACGCGCGTCATATCCAGCACTTTGATGCCCGCCAAAGGCAGCTTCTCGATCGCCGCTTTACCCCCCGCCTGACTCTGCTGCGATATCTCTCTCCTGCACACATCCCATCTTACAGCGGCTGCCCGACTACCAGTCCAATGTCGAGTGCCGGTACGCGGTATGAGCCTAGCCAGCGCCCGCGGAGTATACATGATTGTCTATATTAGCGAATCTCATGGTGAATCCGATACCAGGGCCATGTTTAAGGAGAAGAAGAAACCACAACAAACTTGGAAAAAAAAATCCCCATCCATACTGCGTGCCCCACATGGAGGAGGGCCTTTGTGGGGTCCCGCGGTATTGTAGGGGAAGACAGAGATGGGACGCGGCAAAACGTGAATGCACAGACGTCTACTAAGTATCACTTTTTTTTGTGGCACACTCCACCACCGAGGGTAATACGGAGGAGAAAAGAGAGAGAGAGAGAGATAAATTTCATGACATACTACTTTAGCTGGTACTAGTAGTTAGTGGGAAAAGAGAAACCTGCTACTACTACTACTACTGCTGCTATTGCCAAGACGAAGCGGGAATCCATTCATGTTTACTCCAAAAAGAAACAGCGACGGGATATACCATAATTCATACTAAAACAACGCTTAAAAACGAGATTTTTACTTTGAATATATCATGAATGAATCACGGAGCGTCGATACCATGTGTCCCGTTCGTCTTGGCGTGTCCACGCAAGTAGGGCTCTAGCTCATCCCGGTGCACACCGTCCGTATTACTCGTGTTTGCGCCGTGCGAGAAGCCGCCAAAGTAGTAGGGGGCCAGTCTCTGCTTCTCGGCGATCTTGTCGTCCTTGATGCGAGCGAGGAGCTCCTGTGCCCGCTTGTTTGCGGAGAATCGGTCCTGCGAGATTATGAGATACTGGTGTGTAGTGTGGAGAGCTGAGAATACTGACCGGAAGGTTGTCCCAGACTTTGTAGTCTGTGCCGTGTGTATCGATTGTGCCACAGCCCTTGCGAGCGTACTCGGTGAAGAGGAAGAGGCGGCTGGATTCAATCATAATGGTCAATTGGTCTGGAATTTGTTAGCGACTTGAGCCCGCTATCACCTTGTCGTCGTCTTACCAGTCAGAATCTTCTCAGGCTGACTCTCGTGGATCCGCATGCCATGCTGGTACCCTTCGTGGAATCCTCCATGAGGCGTATGGCTGCCCTCAAAGCTACCGCCACCAGGCTGGAAATCGTCGCTTCGGCCAAGACCCTTCCCGTAGATGCAAGCCAGGAATTCCGAGGCAGAGTTGCGGTGGAAGTATGGTAGTCGGAAGGTGTTTGTTGCAACGTCCCAACGTGGGCCAAACCACAAAAAGTCGCACAACGGTGTTAGTGGGTCGCGGGATTTGGCGGTGAGGACTGTGAAGATTGATGGGTCCGTATGGTCAATCGATGTGCTGTTCTGGGACGAAAACTTGGTCAGGTCGTATTTGTAGGGGGCGACGTTGCCATGCCATGCCACGAGATCGAAAGGGCTGTGGTCCTGCTGAATGGCTACGAGCTGGCCGTTCGTCTTGTTGACGATTTGCCAGCTCACATGCAATTCATCGTCGATGGCAGCCACTGGGTACAAAAAGTCACGAGGATTGGCCATTCCATGGCCACCAAGGGGTCCGAGATCTGGAAGCTCCCACATAGAGCCCCACACCTCAGTGATGTAGCCTCGTGCTACCTTTGTATCAGGGGCGAGGTTGAGGCAGAACCGGATTCCTCGCTGTATGACGCAAATCTCTCCTGGTTGCAGAAAAATCTTTCCCATCTCAGTCTTGATGTCGAGATTGCCCTGCTGCGCGCAGATCAAGAAGTCGCCGTCAGTGTTGCAGAATGCCCGTCGTTCCATGTTGGAGTTGATCATGTAGACATAGAGTGCAATGCCCTCTCTGATGTTGGGGTCGCCGCTGCCACACAGTGTGTGCAGGCCATCCGCAAAGTCGATCTTCTCGTCATCCTTGGGTAACGGAAATGGCCGCCACTCTGCTTGCTCGGGAAGCGTCTCAACCTTGGGGTTTATAGACAAGAAGCAGTTTGTGATATTTGACTTTGACTCGATTGGAACGTAGCCCTCTGCCGGAGATTAGTTGTGGCATCAGACAATGTATACAATACATACGGTGAGCAGCGGCCGGTCTACAGCGGTACATGTATGTGCTGAAGTTGTGTGCCCGGGGTGCTGCAAACGCCGAATAGGTGATGCCTTCAGTGTAAAGTCCAAATCGAACTTCTTGGGGGTTGTTCTGCGCAACAGGCAATGTGCCTGGAATGACCTCGGACTGGTGCCGGTTTCCCCATCCTGCCTGGTAGTCGTACGGATCATTGGCTCGCGTTGGCTTTAATCTCTGGAGATCCGTAAAGTGAAACGCCTTCTGTGGGTCGGTGACGAGCTTGCGTTCTTTGAAGTCTTGCATGATGTTGGATGTTAGCGTGTGTGCAATGTAGTGTGTACGGATAGCCAACCATGTCGAGAGCCTGTCCTTATATCAGGATATCCATGTCGGTGGATCGATCGCCCATCATCTGCCGCACCACCTGGTGTTCCGGCCTGTCCACAATGTGGTGGCGGGGCCCGACCAAGTCAACAGCGGGGTCAGCTCTTCGGTATCTGGAGTACCGGAGTCATGCCAGACCCACAATCGGTGAAGGGAGGCCTCCCTAACCGGGCTAGTGGGTCCCGTCAGATGAAGCTCCCTACACAGCGCCACAACATGGGCCGTCTTCTTCACTTGCGGGGTGCTTTGCTCACCTTGACCAAGAGGGAATTGTGGGATTAGTGCTGACTCAGAAGTATGCTCGAGGAATTACGACTAAGGTTCATGCATTTGGCTAATACTGCTTGACGACTAGTAAGGAAAATGGCTTGATTCATCTAGATGCAGCTAGCACTTCGTCAACCATGAGTCCGCACGAGCCCAGGTAGTTCTTGGCGTCACACAACGCGTTCAACTCCTCGTTGGAGATCTTCTCAGTGATCTCAGTCCGTGTTTGCAACGCCTCCAACAGACTGGTGTCGTTCTCGATACTCTCCTTGCATGCCTCGTAAACCACGTCATGCGCTTTTGAGCGACCCACATGTGGAGCAAGGCCCATCATGACAGCCTCAGCCACGATAAGGCCTCTTGTGGAATAGAGGTTTGTGAGCATTTGTTTAGGGTTCACAACCAAACCGGAAAGCGCAAAGTCAGCCTGGTTAAGTGCGCCCACAGCAATCACAAAACTTTCAGGGACAGCTACCCATTCGAGATGCCATGGGCCAGAGGCGCGCTCGAAGTCCGACACCATGCCATCAAGCACCAAGCCCGCGTTTGACCGCAGGATTTTAGAAGCTGCCAGTATCACTTCGCTTGATATGGGATTCCTTTTCTGTGGCATGGTCGATGATGCTCCTCGGTGTGGCACAAATGGCTCCGAAACCTCGGAAAGCTCATTTGACGACATGATGATAATGTCGAGAGCGAGCTTCCCTAGAGATCCACCAACAAGGGCAAGGTAATTTGTGATTTCGGCAACGCCGTCTCGTGCAACATGCCAGGTGATGGGAGGATCCGTCAGTCCAAGGTCCTTTGCCATTTCTTTTCGAACACGGATGCCGTCGTCGCCCGAGCCCAGGGAAGCCAAGGATCCTGCAGCACCTCCAAACTGAACCATCAACGCGCGATCCCTTAGCTGCTCCAGCCGCTCGAGGTGTCTCTGGAAGCCAGAGAGCCAAATGGCGCATTTGTGTCCGAAAGTGATGGGGAGAGCATGCTGCAGGTGGGTGCGGCCGGCCATGGGGGTATCCCGGTGCTTTTTAGAGAGGTGCTCAAGGTTTCTGATGACCGAACGAAGAGTGCGCTCAACAATCTGAAGGCCCTGCTTCATCTGCAACATGCTCGCCAGGTCCATGATATCCTGCGTCGTGGCTCCCCAATGCACATAACGTCCAGCCTCATCCCCACACGATGCAGACAGTTGGCGTACCAGTGGGAAGATGGGATAGCCCACGATTTCAGTCTCGCGACGCAGCCTGTCATAGTCCAACTGTGCTTCCCGGGCTTTGGATGTCACCACCTCTCCAATGTGAGACGGGATGACATTGCATTTTGACTGGGCCCTGGCCAAGGCGGTTTCTGCGTCGACGCACCGGTCGATGTATGCTTTGTCGTCAAACACCTTTCGGATCTCGTCGGTGCCAAAGAGAGTGCGGAAGATGGCCGAGTCAATTGCGCTGACGCTGCCAAGCAGTCGCCGTTGGGGTCGGAAGGGGGTCAGACGTGGTACTACACGCAGTGGGGCACGCCGAAGCAAGAACATGATGGGCAGTTTTGGAGCGGCGCAAACTCAAAGGGCCTCGAAGAGAGATAAACCCTTGAGCAAGAGCCGCTTCTGCAGACGCTACATGGCGGCTCCAGGCGGCGGGCGGTGGGAGGCGGTTGTGTGGGAGGCCGTCGTGTGGGACGCTGATGGTGCTGTGGCAGTGTGTCGTGTGGGGAAAGGCAGCGCCAGTGCCGGGGAGAGGAGGCGGGTCTTGGCTTCGGAGTGCCGAAAAGGGCTAGCGGGCGGAGCTGGGCACATGACCCCGCGTCACGCGTCAAGCTTGTTCCCTACCGCGTCATCTCCACCACCACCACCACCACCACCACGCCACCACCATCACGAGTGCCAAGGTCATCGCCATTATCAATTGCCGGTCTTCATTTTCCGCTATGACTCTCGAACAAACAACGAGGCTACGCCTAATCCAGTGCTGGCACACATGCTTACTATGCCAAGCTCCTTATCCTGGCGTCGCAGCTCTCCGAACAGCGTCGCAGTCTGGCGAGCCCCAGTGGCCCCAGTAGGGTGTCCAAGCGCTATGGCACCGCCATTGGGATTTACTCTATCTTCGTCCAGTCCAAGTTTCCGGATGCAAGCAATCGTCTGGCTCGCAAACGCCTCGTTCAGCTCAATCACGTCAATATCCTTGAGCTCTACGCCCGTCCACTTGAGCAATGCAGGTATGGCGAAGACTGGGCTGATGCCCATTTCATCTGGCGCGCAGCCTTTGACTTGCGTGCCTACAAAGCGGCCCAATGGCTGAAGCCCACGTTCTTCTGCCCATAAACGTCGCGCGAGTATGGTAGAAGATGCGCCGTCGGAAATTTGAGAGCTGCACCGTCAGCCTTGTGTCAGTGATCCAGAAGGGCAGCTTACGAGTTTCCAGCAGTGCTTTTTCCATTCTCACCAAACACAGGCTTCAGCCCGGACACTTTCTCAAAAGTCAGTCCGTGGCGAATACCGTCGTCCTTGGTGACTTCAAACTCTGCCGGCTGTCCAGTCGCCTCATCGATCCTCTGAACCTTTACAGAAACAGTCTCCCAATCGAAGCGACCTTCCTTCTGCGCGCGACTGGCGCGACCGTGACTTCGTACAGCGTATTCGTCTTGCGACTTTCGATCGACATTGTATCTTTCTGCCACATTTTCCGACGTAATGCCCATGGGCATAAGGCAATCGTGGGCATCCTTGACGTTTGATCCCAAGAGAGTGGGCGAAACGTCTGTCGGGATGCCCCGCGAGCTGTAATTCCTCGACATGCTTTCCACACCGCCAGCAAGCCCCACATCTATCTGGCCCACCATGATGGAGTGTGCTATGTGGGTTATTGCTTGCAAGCTGCTCGAGCACCGGCGATTGACCGTGTGGAACGTCGTCGAGTTCGGGAAGCCAGCATGATTGAGTGCCATGCGCCCCGTCTTTGCGAAACCCAGTTCAGCAAGAACATTTCCTATCATGACGTCGTTTACATCGCTCTTTTCTATGCCTGCCCGTTGTACAGCGGCCTTCATTACCTGTTGTTGCTTAGTTATCTCCCGAGGTACATTAGTGATAGAACTCACTGGCATTAGAATATCCTCGGGATGCGCATCTTTGTATCCACCCTTGAAGCTCCGATTGATTGGTGATCTGACGGCAGAAAGCAAGACGACATCATTTGGGCTCTTTTGAAGAATGCTCCGCGCAGCTTTTGTGAAAGTCGCCATCTTTGCAAGTGCCTCCAGATTGTCGCAGATTTACCACGACCAAAAAGGCGCACTATGTAGTGCATGCTCCAACCATAGTGCCGGGATCACCGGTTATTGCCGCGGTGCCAGCTGTGGCGGAGTGACTGTCCGTGTGGGGCGACGCCAGACCGACCCCTCCATGGCGGCTTAAGTATGCAGTGCGACGCTGATGCATAGCGCAGCAGGCCGGCACCAAGACACAACAGCCCACTCGCAAAATCCTTTCACGCACACTGACACAAACGCGCCGTTATACGATGGCTGTCCCGAACAAGTACCAGGATGGCCGCGTCGACTCGTCTCTCAGGGGAGTGTACAGAGCCTCGCCTATCAAGCTCATGATCTACGGAAATGGTAAGCGTGTTTTTGCTACATGCTTAATACAACCAACTAATTCTCTACCAGGAACAAGTAATCAGCTATTAGACGTCATTGAAGAGCTCGGTGCGACCAAGGCTTTCATCATCACGGGCCGATCGCTCTACGAGAAGACACCGGTGATCAAGAACATCGAGAAGACTCTTGGATCTGCTCATGGCGGAACATTTAGCAAGATCAGACAGCATTCGTATGTATACTGCCATTCGTGTTTGCCTTAGACACCAACACCATGCAGGCCAATTGAAGACATCAGAGAGGCCACCTCCCTGATGGCAAAGTCAGGATGCGATATCCTTGTATCGATAGGAGGCGGATCGCCTATCGATGCAGCCAAAACGATTGCGTACAGCATTCACGAGGAGACAGGAAAATGGATACCCAACATCGCCGTTCCAACCACGCTCAGTGTGGCGGAGACGACACAAAACGCCGGATACACCAACGAAGAGAAGCACAAGATTGCGGTTAGAAACCCAGAACTTGTGCCAAAGGGTGAGAAGCGAACCAACCCAGGAAGCTTGAGCATGTTCTGACCGGCACCAGCGGTGGTTTATGATGGAGATCTTGCTTTGTATACACCTATGGACCTCTGGACTAGCACGGGAGTATGAAACATACCTGCCACTAGGAGTATGTTTAGTGACGCCGACTGACGTGACTTCAGATGCGCTCGCTAGATCACGCGGTAGAGCTGATGTACCACCCACCTGCGTCTGAAGTTCCCACAAAGCGCTTGGCTCTGGAAGCTGTCAAGGACCTTTTCACTTACCTTCCACAGTCGAAAGCCAACCCGAACGATGCCGAGGTTCGCACAAAGCTGTTCATTGCTTGCTATTCATCGCTTTTCCCCTTCCTCTATGCTGGCGGAGTTGGTCTCAGTCACAGAATCGGCCATGCCATAGGAGCCACATATTCTATTCCCCATGGTATGACTAGCTGCCTCAGCCTGGCAGCCACGATCCATTCCAAGGCCAGCGACCCAGAGGAAGCGAAGCAGATTGCCAGAATCATTCCATACATTGGCAAGCAGAGCACTGGTAGCGACGAAAAGGACTCACACATCGTTGCTGATGCCATTGCTGGCCTTGTTGAGGAGCTGGGACACAAGACTACGTTGACAGCTGTAGGTAGCTTCAACATGCTTGAGTGATCATTACTAACACCGTAGCAGTACAACGTCCCAAAAAGCGATGCCGAGATAGAAGCTATTGCGATGCGCGCACTGCTTTCCAAAGATCACAAGGAATTCGCTAGCTGTAGGTTATTCAATCAGCTCCCTTGATACTCAAAGACTGACACATGCTGCAGGTCAGGACATTGTGCGCAGTCTCTACTGATGTATTCGCCAAAGGCCGACCAAGGCTCATTTAGCATCGAGATAGTGTAGAGTAGCTATGACAACCCAATCAAAACCACATGCTGTGGCAATCATACTTGCACCGTGCAATCCAAGCAGCTTCCGGTGTGCGCTGGCATATGGAGCAGCCATGTCCCTGTCTCTTCAGTGAGCGGAAATGTTTTCCACGGCAGCGGCGGAAACCTTTTCCACCTCCGCGGTCCGACACGGATGCAGCCAATCATGTCACATGTTGCCCGCAACCTCCGCAGTCAACTCGGCTAAACTCTCTCCCACGTCCGATTGTGGAGACTTGCTTACCCGCCACCAGAGCTGGAGCGGCATTTGCATCGGTCTACCCCAAATGGCTAGTGACAGTGATGATGCATGCCCTCGTGCTACCTGTGTGGGGAGCGTCATCTCCGCACCAAACACCTGACCACCACAATTTCTTTCGAGTTTTTAACATTGACGACCCAAGACACCAAGGTCTCACGGCGGGGCTGTAGCGATCTCGTGCCTACATTCACAAAGTCCACTACATATCTCGAACGGGTTGCACAAAGTGAAGCAGACTCACTTGGACGTCAATTCGTGGCTCTCAGCAATCAAACTCTTTCACGATGCAAAGATCTCTCCTCTTTGCGGCGCGTCGCCGCGGCCCAGCCACGGGCATGCGCTTCTTCTCCGCCAGCGCATCACGACCAGCAATCAACAAGATAGTCTCCTCCGCCGAGGAAGCTATCAAAGACATGAAGTCTGACTCTACTCTACTGGTCGGCGGCTTCGGTTTCTCTGGGGTGCCAAACACCCTCATCAATGCTCTCCGCGACCGATCCGACCTCACAAACTTCACGGTTGTTAGCAACAACGCGGGTATGCCTGGCGTTGGACTGGGTCAGCTTCTGGAGACCAAGCAGATTGGCACCATGATTGCGAGTTACATTGGAGACAACAAGGTGTTTGAGCAAATGTACTTGAAGGGCCAATTGAGTCTGCAGTTGACTCCCCAGGGTACCATTGCTGAGAAATGCGCTGCGGGTGCTGCGGGTGTGCCAGCATTCTACACACCTGCTGCATACGGAACAATAGGTGTGTAGGCTGAACGTACAAGAGATCAAGATTTCTATGACTAACAGAATGCAGTGCAAACCGGTGAACTTCCCGTCCGCTACAACACTGACGGAACAATCGCCAAGATGGCACCCCCAAAGGAAACCCGCGAGTTCAATGGAAAGTCTTATGTTATGGAAGAGGCCATCTTTGGTGACTACGCCTTTGTCAAGGTTGCCAAGGCCGATCGTCTGGGCAACTGTCAGTTCCGTAAAGCACAAAACAACTTCAACGAAGCCATGGGCAAAAACGCAAAAATGACAATTGTCGAGGCAGATGAGATTGTCGAGGATGGCGAGATTGCGCCAGAGGATATCCACCTCCAGGGCATCTATGTCAAGAAGGTCATTAAGAGCACTGTAGGCAAGGAAATCGAGAGGAAGGTCTTCTGGAAGAGTCCGGAGGAGCAGAAGAAGGCGCTATTGGAAGGTGGTATGTTTCAGGTGGTGGTAGCAGATGAGGCCTTCAGTCACTAACCATGCAGCAGGATCGTCAGAAGCATCACAGAAGCGCGAGCGTATCATCAAGCGTGCGGCACAAGAACTCAAAGACGGCATGTATGTCAACCTTGGTATTGGAATGCCGCTTGCAGCACCCGCTTTCCTGCCCGAGGGTACCGAGATTATTCTCGAGTCGGAAAACGGCATTTTGGGTATGGGTCGGTACCCCAAGCCTGGAGAGGAGGTATGTTCACGAACATCCCACTGTGTGCAAGTTTGGAACTGACGTAATTACAGGACCCAGACCTGATCAATGCTGGTAAAGAAACCGTCACACTCATCAAGGGCGCATCAACATTTGGAAGCCACGAGTCATTTGGTATGATCCGTTCAGGACGGATAGACGTCGCAATGCTCGGCGCCATGCAAGTAAATCAATTTGGAGGTAAGTCTCCATTTCTTTCACCAAAGATGCAACCTAGATTCTAATTCCAACTTAGACTTGGCCAACTTCATGCTTCCTGGAAAGGTCAAGGGCATTGGCGGCGCCATGGACCTTGTCGCAAACCCCACTCAGACCAAGGTTGTCATTACAATGGAACACGTTGACAAGAAGGGCAACCCCAAGATCCTCAAGCAATGCACATTCCCCCTGACAGGGCAAAAGTGTGTCAGCACAATCATTACAGATCTGGCGGTCTTCGAGTGCGATCGCGTGGAAGGACTCACACTGACGGAGCACGCAAAGGGCGTTACAGTGGATGAAATCAGGAGCAAGACTGAGGCACCGTTCAAGGTCAGCGAGAACCTGAAGGAGATGAATGTATGATGCAATGTCGAAACAAAAAGCGTATGATGAGTTATCTTCAAGTTTATGCTATTTCAAATTTTACGATGTACAGTCGCCATTGCACTCCTAGTTTGAAATTATCCAATTCGTGTTCGTGACGGAACAACAAATTCCGTGCACCTGCTTGGTGATATTTAATCCACAAATTCCCACGACCCATTCTCACTCTTCTTCCCCTTATCTTCATGACCCTCGGGCAGTGTGCCCCCAACATGCAAATAAATGCTACTCCCATCGCGATCCCTACAACGCTCATCGCCCGCCGCCTCTTCCCACACCTGCACCGCTCTCTCCGCCATACTGCACTTTACACCCACCTGCCTTGCACTCTCAACGCCCAGGCCTAGATCCTTGATCATCATCTGCGTCTTGAAGCCAGGCTTATACCCACTGTTACTCGGAACCCAGTATTCCGTCTGCACATTGGGGATGGGCATTACATGGTCGCACATCCATGACTGCCCCGTGCTAGATCTTATGACGGCGTAGAGATCCTTTGGGTCGAGGCCGTGGCCTACGCCGAGGGCGAGGGCTTCGGCGGTGGCAAGCAGAATCGTGCCGGAGAGGTAGTTGTTTGCGATTTTCGCGGTGAGGCCCGCGCCCAGGCTCGATAGGTAGAAGCGTTTTGAGTCTGGGCCTAGCATGGAGAGTGTGTGGGAGAGACGGGTGGATAGGGGGCTTGCTGGCGAGGACGAGGAGGACGGTGCTGGGTGTCCGATTAATGTGGCGAGAGTGCCGGCTTGCGCGGCGGGGACGCCACCGGAGACAGGTGCATCAATATATGTACCTTTTTGTGCGGCTGCGAGTGCGGTCCCGATTTCCTTTGTGGTTTGCACGTCGATGGTGCTGCATTCGAGAAGTAATCTGTCGCTGTTGTTCCGCGCGGCAATGACGCCCGTCTCCTCGTCTAGATAGACTTTCCTTACATCTACCGCGGCTGGGACAATGGATAAGAGGGTAGCGGCGTTTTCGGCGGCTTCTCGTGCGCTCGAAACGATCTCTATGGGCCCGTAGGATGCGTATTCGGATTGGAAGCGCGTGCAGGCTGATATATTGATGTCATTTATGTAGAGGGTTGCGGATGGAGACATTTTGCAGCGGATATTGGAGGCCATTCCGTAGCCCATTGCTCCTAGGCCTGCATTTGCTTGTCAATTGGTGTTTTTTTTGGATTTGGTTGTGGAAATGTACATGCCGATGAATGCGTAGTTATCCTCCATCTTGTTGGACATATTGCTTCCTTGACACGCGACTCTCAGCTTTTGGTACTGTAATCACAGCAAATGTCGATTTGGAACTCTGAATTGCAATACTTTCGCCGTTTCCGCTGCCTGCCTACACACAAGCTTCCTGTTGAGCTGTACCCAACCCCCGCATCCAAGTTCCCTAAGTACACTGCCCCACACGCACCCCTCACTTCCCCAACACAATTTCCCCAACCGTCCCAGCCTCGGCGCAATACATCCGCTGTGTTGCAACCAGGATGTCTGCATCAGCAGAATTCCGATAATGATCAATAGATGGGTAATTATTAGATAATTACCACAAGACAGAACGGAGTATCATGAGGTAACTGAGTAGTTTTTCGCATTGAATTTGCATTTTCTTTTTGACAAGTCACTGCTAAAATAAGTAACATTGTCAAGAACCTAGTATTCATTCCAGACATGCCAGCCTCGTCACCCCTCAAAGTCGGCGTAATTGGTCCTGCAGGCTTCGGAGGCTCATACCTCGCCGTCGAACTCCTCAATCGAGGCCATACTGTGATTGGGATTTCGCGCAACCCATCCAAGCTGGGTAAACATGAGCGTTACATTCCTCGCTCTGTGGACATAGACAATGCACCGATTGAAGAGATAGCAGAGACATACAAGGGAATTGATGTGTTGGTGTGTGAATTTGGGCCACATACAGCAGGCGTGGGGGCGCTGCTTTATAGTATGTTTCTGTTTCCTTCTTGAATCTGATTCTTGAATAATTATCGTGATACTATAATGATACCGTTGGAGGAGTTGGCCGTTCTAACCAAAGAAGTAAAACATGGGAACTTTCAGAGTACAAGAGCTATGATTATCCAAAGCTGACATGATCCGCCTCAAGTGCCCTTCCTAGAAGCGGTCCGCAAAATAATCCTAGCATACAAGCTCCAGCCCGCGCGCTACTTTCTCTTCGTCGGCGGTGCCGGCTCGCTCCACATCCCCGGCACCACGCTCCCCTGCGTCGACCACCCCGACTTCTTCCTCGCATACCGCCGCACAATCTCCACCTCGCTCGCACACATTGCGTACATGGAAGAGCGGCTGGGCATCCTCGGAACTAGTCTACGGCGGTACCGCACCGCGCGCCTGGCTTCGCCCAAGAGCGCAGAAGACGCCGCTGTCATCGCAGAGTACGAGAAGCAGATTCGGCAAAAGGACACAGCGAGCGACTTTATCAAGGCGGGACGCACTGCGTACATGTTTTTTGAGGACAGGACGTCGTTTGAGTGGAGTTTTGTGTCGCCGCCGGCCTTGTATCGGCCTGGCAAGCGGGTTGGCAAGTACGAGATTAGTGTGGATGAGATGGTGTTGGTGGGGGAGCAGAAGGAAGGCGACGATATGTTTGAGGGTAGGCTGACGGGCATTAGTGTGGCAGATATGGCGATTGCCATTGCGGACGAGGTCGAGGCGAGGAACTTGGTGTGGAAGCATTGGTCGGCGTGGGGTGATATCAGTGAGGATGTACCTGCACCGGCATATGCGTCGTTGGAAAGTGTGGAGGGGGGCAGCAAATAGTGTAGAAGGTGGAGTTGAGCTGGTGACGCTTTGGCATGCAGCGGAGATTTTGGCCTTGCAACTCGTAGCGTTAGATTGTTTGGCTGAGTATGGTTCCCATCATCATAACCTGAGAGTCTGTAATGACAGCACATTGCCTAGAACGTCTCTTGCTGGACAAAATTGCTCTTCTCCTACAATTCCTACAGTTCAGGATAGCCTGTGCTGTTCCCATTGCCCTTGAAAGAATTTTTCAAACGTACCCAGAATTGCGTCAAAGCCAATCTTCTCACCAAGCTTCAACAAACGATCGTCCCTCGAAAGCTTCACTGGTGCACCATCTGGGACCCACCTACTCGTCACTCCATCAGCGCTGGGTCCATATACCTTTCCGCCCAGTTTGTCCTGCTGCACAGGTGGCCACGGATCCTCGCCGTTGACAAACTTGATAAAATCTTCTGCGTATTCTTTGGCAACTTTGAGCTGCGCATCATCCAGGTGTTCGTTGAAGTTCTGGAACAAGTATGCTACGTCGAGGATATGGCCAGCTTCACCCTTGAAACGGCCTTCCCACGGTATGCCCTCATTGAAGTGGTAGAGAAACAATTTTGCATTGGGCGTGTTTGGCCAACCCTGGGCAAATGCGCGGGCGGGGGCGTAGAAGCAGATTTCAGATGCAAAGCGCAGGATGGCAAGCAGTGCTTCGTCATCTGAAGATGAAGGAGTGATTTTATAGACCTCAAGCAGTTCTTGAACCAATTCTGGGTGGGCAGATAACGACTTGTTGCACGCATCGATGAACTTCTGACCGATACCGGGATTACGGGCATCTAGGACTGTGTACGCGAGGATGTTTGCCTAATTTTTGTCAACATTCCCTTCATCATGTAATACAGAGAGACGACAGACATCGAGTTTAGACTCTCCAATCATCAAGGCCTTGCACCATTTCCGGCCCGGGAACGGGAATGCGGGGTGATCATCCTTTGACGAAACGCTCAGAAAGCTGGGAATGCCGGGAACGGTATCGCCGTCGACTGTAGGGAACATGGGCGCTGATTTTGGTAGTTTCTGCCAGAGATCATCGACTGGCAAACTTAAGAGTGCTTTGATGCGATCTTCTGGGGATAGATCGGCTAACCCAAGTTCTTTGATAATCTGTTGGTACGATGACTCTGCGACAGATTCTGGGATTGGCTTGAAAAGTAGTATTGCTCCTCCTGTGCTCAGACACCGCTTCATCAGCGGCTCTTTCGAGCCGAGCAACATTGACACCGAGTCTGGGGGGTTTAGTCGGGCGTCCAAACAGCAGAAAGGAAAACGTACAGCCGCCAGCACTCTCTCCACATGCTGTGATCTCGTCTGGGTCACCACCAAAACCAGCTATGAATTTTTGGATCCACCGCAATGCAACACGCTGGTCGTGAAGGCCATTGTTCGCTTTGTATCCCGCCTTCCGTAGTTCAGCTGATGTCATGAATCCCGTGGCGCCTAGTCGGTAACTGATTGTCTTAGCAAGCGGGCTACGATAGAACCGTTGCGCAAACCTACTTGATTGTGATTCCGATCATGGGCTTCTTCTTTTCAACCGATAATTTCACAATGGCAGCAGCGTCGTAGTGCGGGTACCAACTGCTTCCAACAACAAACCCGCCTCCGTGGATGAATACGTAGACTGGTAGTTTTGCATTTGCGTCAATTGAGCCATCCTTGTTTGTAGGGACAGTAATGTTGAGATTCAGGCCTTCAAGATCCGAATGCTGCGGAACATGTGGGAGTGGTAGAGAGTGCTGGATGAAGCCGAATTCGTCGTTGATGGCGCCGACGGGCGATACGGGAGGAGGTCTAGACTCAGTCAGTGACTACTGTCGGGCAGAAGGATAATCACATGTTCCGCACCCGAATTGAGTAGCGTCTATGTTTCCTGCAGCATATTTGTCTAGCAACTGAGGGGCAGCAAAGCGGTCTTCAACCGAGGCATATTTGAGGCCGAGAAATTGGGCTACGCCGTCTCGCTGATTTCCAGTCACTTTGCCGAGCTGCGGATGATGCAAAGTGGCGGACATGGCTATTGCTGCGAGAAGGTGGGAGGAAAGAATGCCGAAGGAGAGAGTGTTGGAGAGCGTAGCATCACAGTGTCAGGTGTATCGGCATCGGCTTCGTGAAGGTACGCGGTCGGATGGGAGCGGAGCGATGTTGTTGGGGTAGAGGGCAATTTACCCCGCTCGTGCACGTGTTGGCGAGAGAGGATTTGGTGGGGCTGAGGCGAGCCGCCATACAAGGCGCTCGGAGACGTGGAGGATATGGCCTGCACATATGCAGCATGGCTGCAATATGGCGCTTGATTGGCGTGGGCTGGCCCTGGCCGGTACTTTGGCATTGATAAGCACGCATGGCATGGCGGTGATGTAAATTCAACAGAGAAAGTGACTTGCGTCTTGATATTCCCAGTTGGTAGCATCATGGGACTAGCAAAGGCCGCTTTGCCATGCACGGAGGCTTCCGTCAGCCTCGCATTGCTTGATGGCGGCAGCTTCATCGGCGACCTGAGCATGATGCATGCTGGGCAAAAGGGCACTTTTCGCATGTACAACTGGGCCTTCTACATCGCGCACAAGGGAAGACATATACTTTGGGACCTAGGGCTCGACGGGGTTAGTGCTCGAGTATTGGCGAAACTCTCCTGAGTACACCCAGCTGAACCTCACAGGACCGGAGCTGCTACACGCCATGGGTGAACAAGGTGCTGGATGGCTGCAACCATGTCGGCCCCAGACGTAGCATTGTGCAGCAGTTGTGCGAAAGAGGTGTTGCAGCCAAGGACATTGACACCATCCTCTTCAGGTATGTGCTGGCGAGAAAGGGAAATAAGACGCATTAGCTAAGCACGACGCAGTCACGCTCACTGGGACCACTGCCGACCTATCAGTGACGTGTTCCCAAATGCGAAAGCGTACTTTGGCCCGGGCACCAAAGCAGCATGCGAGCCAGGCCACTGGAAAGATGCCAGTCTGCAGTGGGATGGGCGCTTCTTCGATCCCGACCATGCGACCGAGGACTGGGAAGAACTGCAGGGCCCATGGAAGCCCTTTGGCACGTTTGAAAGAGCCCTCGACTACTTTGGTGATGGCAGTTTCTGGGTTCTGGATGCCCCGGGACATATGCCAGGCAACATGGCTGCGGCAGCGAGACTGCAAGACGGCGCCTGGGTAGTGCTTGGGAGCGACTGTAAGTTGTTTTTTTCCGACGCCGTGCAGAGTCTCGACTAATTGCCCATGGGTGAGCTAGGCTGCCATTCGAGGTAGGGTGTTCCTGGGTGCGCTGCGTTGCTGTGTGTGTGTGTGTGCTGACAGAATAGGGACCTGCTCGAGGGAAGGCATGCAATCGCCCATTTCCCAGGACCGGGGGCGAAGCCAGTGTCGCTGCACACCGATGTTGTGTCGGCGAAAGACACAATGAGCAGGCTGAAAGCCTTGGAAACCGACCATGGGGCTCACATAGCGCTCGCGCACGACGCTACGTGGCTCAAGGAGGGCATCGACGGGGTGCTGATGTCGCTGCTGGACGACAAGATGAAGGCGGCGGCGCGGGAAAAGATTGTTTTTGATGGGATCCCTTAGAGGATGAGGATGCCGAGGATGCCGAGGATGCTGAGGATGCTGAGGACGATGGCGACGATGGCGAAAATTAGGCCCCGGTGGATACCTACTAAGTACTTAAGTAATAGGCAATGCTAGCAGACTGCAGGGGCCGCAGCTTAGGCAACACGCCCAGCACCGCACCGCACAACACCACGCATTGGCGTCAGCGGCTGTCCGTGGCCGCCGCTCCGTAAACTCTATATCCTCTTCTCTCGCGCATACTTGGACCAGCACCTCCCTCTCGCCCGCCCCCAATGGCGCTCGGCGGCCTCCCATGGGCCACAATGGCCTTTTCAGGCGTCCTCGCAGCCCTCAGCTACGGCCTCATCCGGCTGGTCCAAGTGCGGCGCTTCTACAGAGACCTCGTCCGTGAACATCGGCCATCGCAGGCGTGGTGAAGACATGTGCTAACCTTTGGTGCAGCCCAAGCCGCCCCACAGCTTCCTGTTTGGCCACCTCAAGCTGTTTGGCGAGGCCTTCGCCATGCTTCCCAGCTACGGCCACTATCAAGTCGCCGTTACCACCATTGCCAGGAAGTACAACATGCCCGGGGTCTTCTATCTCGACTTGTGGCCCATAGCAGACGGCCAGATGGTGGTGACAGACCACGACGTCGCTCTCCACGTGACGGCCCACCGCAACCATCCGAAGCATCGTATGGAGGGCGTCACCATGGATCCCATGCTTGGAGCTGGCAACATTGTCAGCGTAGACGGACCGCGCTGGAAGCATCTGCACAGAATGCTCAGCCCGGCCTTTTCCATCTCGCACACCACCGCCATGAGGCCGGCCGTGGCGGATGAAGTGCTCAAGTTCCGGTCGATTCTGCACGAGAAGGCGCAGTCGGGAGAGACGTTCCGGCTCGAAGACTTCACGCAGCACCTGACGTTTGATGTCATTGGCACTGCGACGTTTGGGCGCTCGCTCAATGCCCAGGCCGACGGCAGTCCCGCCCTACAGCATTTCCACAACATGTGTCGCGCCCACAGGACGACGCGAGAGTCATTCAACCTGGTCCGCAACTTTTTTGTCAATGCAAGGCGCGACTCGGAACGGCGCAAACTGGACGCCAACATCGCCGAGCTTATCAAGGAACGATTCGAGATTGTGAAGCGTAAGTGCAATCTCGGTCCACGTCACCTCCATTTGTTTCGTTTCGCATAAGTCGCATGCTGACGTTGGCGTAATTTCAGGCGACAAGCTGGATCTCTCTGGCAAGCGGGGACTGGGCATCATGGACCTTATGCTACGAGACTATCTCGCAGGGCCCGGGAAGAGCGAGAGCACCAGCCTGGACCCTCAATTCCTCCAAGACGCCGTCACGCAGGTCAAGACGCTGCTCGTCGCTGGCAGCGGCACAACATCGGATACCATCTGCTTTGGCACCATGCTGCTGAGTGTGCATCCCGACGTGGTTGGAAAGATGCGAGAGGAGCATGACCGCGTGTTTGCACCGGGCATTGAGGCGAGCTACGAGATTCTCAAGGCCCATCCCAGCAAGCTCAACGAGCTGGTGTACACCAAGGGTGTGGCCAAGGAAATTCTCCGCTTCTATCCGATCGGCAACACTGCACGCGAAGGAATCGATACCGTTGCCTACCGGGGCCAGGAGTGGCCAGCCAAGCATCACATGATCTGCCCTGTTCAGATGGCGATACACATGGATCCCAAGCTGTTCGCAGGTGAGGCAATTCCCGTGCCATGGCTCCAAGCGCCGACCAGATTCTGACGTGACGGGCAGAGCCCCTCAAATTCGATCCCGAGCGGTACATGCGCGAGGATTTCCCCCGCCATGCATGGCGCCCATTTGAGCGGGGGCCTCGGGCGTGCCTGGGCCAGCCGCTGGCCATGGATGAGGTTTTGATAGTCCTGCTGCTAACTGCTCGCGAGTTTGACTTTGCCTGCACAGACGTCAAGCCCAACAAGACGCCTAGGCTAGAGTGGTTCGACCTCGACTTGACGTTTGGGGACAGAGCCTTCCAAGAGTGGTTCTTTGAAGCCCAGCCACGCGACGGCATGCCCATGACGGTCAAAAAGTCCCAGTGGCCGTGCTGAGAATGGCCAGGCTGCCGAGTCATGCGTCGATGCTTGCACCCCAGCGACGCTGTGCTTAAGCATCACCCGACGACTTACTTGTATTGCCGAGCATTGCGGCAGCGCGCCCGGCCCACGGCATGCAGCATGTATCAACTCTAAATCAGGCACATTGCCCAAAACGGCAGTGCAGCATTCTTGTGCTACTGGCCACATGGCTTACCGCCAGGCGCTTTTATGCCACGGGACGGCGTGGCAGCAAGATGAGATTAGCATGTATGTAACGTCATGCATCCGGCTGCTCCGTCTCCCCTGCCCACATAGAATATTCTTCCATCGAACCACTGCGCCTCCAATCTCGCATTGCTGCTCGTCGACGGCCTGCCTGTGTCTGTCCACACATTGTCGGTGCACGCATACGTCGCCCGGCGTGCCCTGGGGCTTACCGGTCCTCGGAGGCCCTGCTAGCAGCTGCTGATGGCTATTCAGGCTGAATACTCGTCCAATTGTCGAGCAAAGCCTTCCACCACAACCCGTAACCCCTCACGCTCGTCTGCTCGCGCCGTGGGGCTCCGCACGCGGCTCGGTTCACGGCTTGGCTGCGGTATGCCTCCAGGCCAAGCACGGCGCGTGGCTGCTTGCACGCCATTGGCTCGCATGCCGGCAATAAGTGGGCCCGCCCCCGGCTCGGTCGACATGGGCCATGACGTATAGACATCGTGCAACTTCATCTTACCATCCGCTGCGTCGTGTAGCTGTCGAGCTACGGCTATTTACACCGCTATAAGACCCAGCCATGGCGGCGACTGCTGCTGCTGCTGCTGCTGCTCCATCGACGAGCATCTCCTTCGACCACGACCGCCGGCGCCATGTTCACCTCGCCACGCCCGCTCTCGGCGCTGCTCTTCGCCGCCGGAGTGTATGCCCAGACGCAATTTGCCTTCCCCGACTGCCAGAATGGCCCCTTGAAGAATGAGACCATCTGTGACACCTCGGCATGTCAGTTCCCCCCCCCCGTCAAGCTCGCCAAGCTTTCTCGTGGCTGACTGACACTACGAATAGCCCCCGTTGCTCGTGCCAAGTCGCTCGTGGCCCTCTACACGCTCGAGGAGAAGATGAACGCTACCTCCAGTGGTGCTCCCGGCGTGCCCCGCCTGGGCGTGCCCGCCTACCAATGGTGGAGTGAAGGCCTGCACGGCATTGCCGGTCCCTTCACAAGCTTCAGCAAACAAGGCGACTACAGCTACTCGACGTCGTTCCCCCAGCCCATCTTGATGGGCGCCGCCTTCGACGACGACCTCATCACCCAAGTCGCCAAGGTCATCTCCACCGAGGCTCGTGCCTTCAACAATGCCAACAGGACTGGTCTCGACTTTTGGACGCCAAACATCAACCCCTTCCGTGACCCTCGCTGGGGCCGTGGCCAGGAGACGCCCGGAGAAGATGCCTACCATCTGTCGTCTTACGTCCGAGCTTTGATCCATGGGCTCCAGGGCGACGCAACCGACCCATACAAGCGTGTCATTGCCACGTGCAAGCACTACGCCGGCTACGATATCGAGAATTGGAACGGCAACCAGCGCTACCAAAACGATGTCCAGATCTCCCAGCAGGACCTGGTTGAGTACTACCTCGCCCCCTTTGAAGCTTGTGTCTCGGCCAATGTCGGTGCTTTCATGTGCTCATACAGTAAGTCGCCCCACATATTTGCCGGGTCTGGAGCTACAGCTAACGCTACTTAGACGCTGTAAACGGCGTACCCACGTGCGCAGACCCCTACTTGCTGCAGACTATTCTTCGCGAGCACTGGGGCTGGACGAATGAGGAGCAATGGGTTACGTCTGACTGTGATGCTATCCAGAACGTATACCTACCCCATCAGTGGTCTTCGTCTCGTGCAGGCGCTGCTGCCGACTCACTGAATGCTGGTACCGATGTTGACTGCGGTACCTATCTGCAGGCCCACCTGCCCGAGGCCTTCAAGCAAGGCTTGACAAATGAGACTGCTCTGGACAAAGCTCTTGTCCGCCAGTACTCCTCGCTCGTTCGCTTGGGTTACTTTGACCCGCCTGAGAAACAGCCATACCGCCAACTCGGTTTTGAAGCCGTAGGCACAAACGCCTCCCAAGCACTCGCACGCAAGGCGGCCGCCGAGGGTATTGTACTTCTCAAGAACGACGGCACTCTTCCTCTCAATCTCCAGTCCAAGACGGTTGGTCTTTTTGGTGACTGGGCCAATGCTACTCAGCAAATGCTTGGCAACTACGCTGGTGTCCCCACGTTCCTGCACAGTCCCTTCTACGCTCTTCAACAGCTTGGCGTCAAAGTCATCTATGCTGGTGGGCTCCCAGGAGGCCAGGGCGACCCGACTACAAACCGTTGGCTTCCCCTCTCTGACGCCATTGCTTCTAGTGACGTGCTCATATGGGTTGGCGGCATGGACAACGGTGTTGAAGAGGAAGATCGCGACCGCTACTATCTGACTTTCACTGGTGCCCAGCTTGACGTGATTGGCCAACTCGCCGACAGTGGAAAGCCCGTCGTCGCGGTTGTGACTGGTGGTGGCCAGATGGACACTACCCCACTGGTCAACAACCCTAAGATTTCCGCCGTCATGTGGGCCGGATACCCCGGCCAAGACGGTGGCTCTGCCATCATGGACATTGTCACTGGAAAGGTTGCCCCCGCCGGACGTCTTCCTCAGACCCAATATCCTTCCAAGTACATCGCTGAGGTGCCCATGACTGACATGTTTATGCGCCCTGGAGCCAACAATCCCGGCCGTACCTACAAGTGGTACAACGGCAGCGCTGTCTTCGAGTTTGGCCACGGACTTCATTACACAAACTTCTCGGCTGAGATCAAGACATCAATGAAGCAGAGTTACGCCATTGCAGACCTCGTAAAGGGCTGCAACACCACCGGAGGCTTTCTTGAGCGCTGCCCTTTTGCTACTGTCGACGTGGCCGTGAACAACGATGGCAAGACAACCTCTGATTACGTTACATTGGGCTACATTGGCGGCGAATTTGGCCCTGCACCTTACCCCAAGAAATCGCTCGTTTCATACACGCGCCTCCATGACATTGCCGGTGGCTCTTCCGCCACTGCTAAACTCAACCTCACACTTGCTTCTCTTGCTCGTGTCGATGAAAAGGGAAACAAGGTCCTATACCCTGGCGACTACACCTTCATGATTGACAACAAGCCCCTGGCCACGGCCAAGTTTTCGCTCACGGGCAGCAATGTGATGCTGAGCCAGTGGCCTCAACCACCTCCCAACCGTAAGAGCCAGGGTGTGCAATACATTGGAGATTACTGGAATGGAGGATTTGGAAGTGACCAGGCAGTCGTGTAAGGTTTTGCTGCCGACAAGTATCGTCATAGCTACTAATCACTTCTTTTTTTCTTGTGACTATCTTTCAATTCAACTTTTTTGTTTTTCCAATCTTATCGCACGTTGACATGATATATATAAAACTATATACAAAAGACCCGCGTGCGGAGCCTCGCATACCATGTCATCTCTGACTACAACTTGCTAGCATAGCCCCCAACGTCCTTGGTAAGCATAATCTTTAACGGCTCGCTCAGCAAATCCTCGCTCTCCAGTAACCTGCGTGTCTCAACAACCGACTCACTCTTGGCATGGAATTCCAAGGCCGCTTGGTCTTCGTACCTGTAACAGATTGATGTTAAAAAAAACCAATTCTTTAGAGTATTCACCAGCATTGGCAGATACAGCTAGATTGAGAACGAAAAATAAAGAGGTAAGGTAGAGAAGAAAAGAGTGAAACAGGATGAGGAAGAGCAAGGAAAGGAGAAGACGTACGTCTCCAAGACTACAAAAGTAGGCTGATCTTTGGCATTTACTTGGCGTTGGATTAGGTAGCGCAGCGCCCCAGGTTCGGTTCTGCGCACCCATTGTGCCGACGCTTCGAGGACCTCTTGGAGCTGTTTTTTTGTCGCCTCATTAGTCATTCATTCGGAAGTCGGCATGCTCCATGGGCAGCTAGGGTGGAATTCATGTGTGTGTGTCTAAAGGGAGTATGAAAGGCTTGTTTTGCGTACCCTGTCTGCTTTGCCGGGCTTGGCTACTGCCATTGCGACGATTTCGATGGGGGCCATGTTTGTGGTGTTTTTTTCTTGGTCAATGTTCTCCGCGATATATGGTTTCTTCTTGTTGCAATGGGCGAAGAAGAAGAAGAGGGAGTGAGGTGGTGATTTGAAGTGCAGCTAGAATGGGGGCTGGAGCGGAGAAGTGGGTTTCGTGGTGGGGTGGGATTGGTGGAGCCGAGATGCCGAGGTAAGTATCAAACTGGTGTTCTAGATTGGTCTTGGTGATCTATTCAAGCTTCGTTCCCTGCTCTTTCGCCTTGCCATCTTCTAGGGAAACGTCTGGTGTACTAACTCGATGCTGTTTTATTCGTTTCTTTCCTGTGAAGGCTGCTCTGGAATGTTGGACTTGCGTATGTTGCAATATCCTAATTTCGGGAATCTGACTGAGCGAGAACCACTCACATGTCGAGATACGGGCATTCTTGCCAGCGAGCCTAGTAATTATACATTGTTCTTGGGAGTCTGGTTTCTGGCCGCATATGAGATGACGGCAGCTGCATCGCAATGGCGGTTGCGTACATCAGTGAGGCTACTCATAACAAACGATTGGCTTACACCAAGAGACACCACGTGGTGCGGGATCGGTGTGTGTGCATTCCCACGTGGCTTTTATGCATGTCTTTGGTATTAGGGTGTATCGTTTGTCTTAGTGTCTCTCATAATAGCTCTATTCAATACCCCGCTCACTAGTGGCTATGGGAGTTCAAATTGACCTTTTGTCAAGAAATACACATATTAACATCGAAACAAAGCTCGACTATTACGACTGACTAACTAGAATACCGACCAGACACTGCGTTGTAACTCGTTTAGAAATACCCATTAGTTCCCGAGCAAAGACTCCCCGCTTCAATGGAACATGTCGTGCATAACAGCCCTCACCGTCTACAACATGTAAAGTTAGAACGTCTGCATAGACGTGCAACATATCCAAAAGACTAACTTGGATTTACATTTCCTAGTTTCGTCATGGAACATCTCGAACAGGATCGTAAGGTAGTCGTGTGGCAGCCTGAGACACACGTGTTGCTGGAGTACTACTAGACGAGCCACCCTCTCCCGAAGCTTTAGCCTTTCTCTTTTCTTACAGTGCTTTAGTGTCAATTATACCAGATGATATATAAATCCACATACCCTCTGTCTTGAGATTACTCAGCGCAAGGCTGATCCGCCACTTAACCACATAAAGATCCACTTCAGGGCATCCCTTGACGCTTAGTTGCGCATTGATATTGTCAAGGATCCTTCTTCTCTCTTCATTGCCAATGTCTCTCCATTTTATGCTACGATCGCTCATCCATACTCTCCTCGCTTCGTTGGCCGTTATCCTCTGTCTTCGGTTAGGCGGGCTGTCTGGTTATTGGGGGCCAAAATGGCGGTACTTGCGAGAAAGATGTCCCATTGCGCAGGGGGAAACCCGGCTATTTGTTGTATCTCGCGCGCAGATGGATCCGGTACCCACTGCATGATGCTCAATGGATGGTGTGGTATTATGTATCTCGTCTGGACTCAGCATGCCTTTTGATGTCGCCAGCTGCTTGGTCATAGCGTGTAGGTGGCCTATCATGTTGGTGTGTGGCTGATTCAGCTGCTGCCTTACTATCCTCGTTGAATGTAAGCGCACCTTGGCCCTTAACCATGTAAGGCTTCCGCTCGGTGATTACCTTACGTTATGAGTATTTGCATGTTATCCTCTTGGGGGAGTCGATTGAACTTTGAGCAAAGACGCTATGGAATATGAGGCGCCTAGTTTCGATTGATAAATTACTAACAACCGGGTACAGTTCAAAAACACTAAATATTGATTTACAGATGAGGGAAAACCTGCGACCATCCTGTTGTATCATACACTCCTCTGGGTACAATTTTGATACTGACGAATGATTCTCCTACAATGTATATCCGGCTAACAATGTAACTCACGCCACACAGAAGACAGAGAAGTGTGCTGATCATAGCATTAAGGCGTCCAAGCCTCCGCTCATTATAAGCAACCCAGGTCCTGTCGATAAGGGGAAAGGCACGCGCCAACAAATTGGTGACCAGCCACAATGCGGCACAAAATGTCACCCATACCGAGCTCATGCGCCAGAAAAGTTGTTCCAGTGGCGTGGGGAAGAAGTAGTTCCAAGCAGCGACATGTATGGCACCGTAAGCCATAGAAGCACCTCAAAGAACCATCCCCATGATTAGAGAGTGGGTACGACGGAGTAATCCATCATTTGGCCAGTCGAAAGCGTGTGGTTGTACCAGTTCAGTCACATAAGGTAGCGTATAGGGTCTTTGGCCATGTATTCTCGAATGAGAATTGAAGTGCGTTTTTAGAACGGGATATAGTTGCATGGCCTGTTCTGCAAGGCTCTGCAACCCCGAATTGCTTTCCATAGCCAATGCATGTGATGCCTCGTCGCCTTGTTGGTCCGAATTCGGGGTGTCAGGACGCAATCGAAACAGGCCACTAGTGGAGGACTGTGCTGTATCCAGTCCATCGCCATGGAAATGTGTGCTAGTCGATACCTCGTCCTCTTCTTGTCCAAAGTACGCTAAATGTTCCAATGCTGACGTAGCAGGTCTGAAAATGGCTAACATGCCCTGCGGTGGCTCCCCACTCATTCTGCTCGCCAGATACATGTACGCAATTAAAGGCAACCAATCTCCTTTAATGATAGTTGGAGCGGTTGCCTGGTGAGGTTTATGCCACCAAAGAATGTACATGACAAGGGCGCAGACAATGTGAGCAACGACATGAACTTCGAGCAAAGTAGTTGGCAAACCAATAGATGTTCTAGTGATCACTTGAACAATCATCCATCCTGCTTGGAGGCATACCAGGAGCTGGACAAGACCATCTGCTTTATTCTTGTCCTTTATATCCTCAATGGAGACGTCGACGATATGTCCGCAATCTGCGAGTAGCGCGGCACCTTTCTCTGTCAGAGTGAGGCGTCTAGCATTGTTGAACAAGATCGAATATCGATTGTCGGTACTGTCCAGTTCGATGGCGAAACCACCCATACTTGCGTAGAAGCCATGAGCAATAGTCCATGGTTTTTATGGTTATGAATACTGTGCTCGGTGATTACGATACTCTAGCATCGATTAGTCTTGATAACACGCAAGTATCGATGCAGCTACCTTATCATGGGCACCAGTGCCATTGTCTCGCTTCCGTTTCGCCTCTTCTATCTCATCACAGATCTGTCTTGGAGAGGCCAACTGCCTCCAAGCCGTATAAAATATCAATTCGGGTGCGAATAGACCAAGAACACACCACTGAAGCTCCCTCAGTGGTACTCGATAGTTACCTGCAGCCTTGCGCGGTATGTTCAGGTGCACAGCCGAATATACGCATAGACCAACTGTGGCGAAGTAGCTGATAAGCAACGAAATGGTATCGCGTTGATTATCTTCTTTCACGAAGCCTACGGTATCCGTTGTGTTCACTTTTCCAGTATGGATGGCTGAAACTCTCTGAATGAATACAAAGAAGGCGAGTGTGTATGAGGTTAACAACATGGTCGGAGATGAGCAACGTGGGTCAAATCGAGACATCTTGAGCGAGCAGTTGTGGGGGGTATCATTTCTAATATTTCCTGTCCGGTCTCAATCTATAGGTACTCTGCGACTGTACATCCTGCTCGTGTTGTTCCGCGGCAAAGCAGAAGCGAGAGCCTCGCTAAGTGCAGGAACATACCGCAATAGTCTTACAAAAAAGGTAACGAGAAGATGGCGTTTTGCATGAAAAGCCAAAAGTTCATGGGCGCCTAACGAATGGAAGTGATGAAGGGATGCCAGCTGTAGGCATGTGTGCTGTGCCACAGCGTTATGAAACGTGGGGCGTAATCCCTCTCAACATCAGTTCCAACTGCATGCGCAAAAGGCCCCCACTCGCTGCAGGATATATCTAACTATCACTAAAGCGATACGCCCCCAAAGATATACACGCAGGATTGATTGGATGGTATGCATGAATCCTAGCATGGAGGAGTAGAAGGACTCCTTTCGGACATGGGGCGCTCTGAGTTGATCCGTGCACCGACCTTCCGCATCCCCCACGAGTGTGTACGGCTGCCCTGTTCCTGCTTTTTTAGCATATCAACCCGGCCTTTCTGTCATACAATTTCACGATTTATATCATGAGTGCTCGTTCCCGAAAGTCTGCAACAATAGCAACAGTTATTGCGGATCAAAGAGTATGCGGGCGTTGATTTTGTCTTTGTACGAATCGCTGACCCTGGTAAGGCTGATTCACGGGATCGCATGAAGGACAATGATTCCAAGTCCCTTCTTACGTGGGATGAGATACGTGCGATTACACCCTGAAACTTATTTACGTCTGTCTAATCAAATTTGTAGCCGATTGGTACCAGTACGTCTACCTACGTGTTACTGCTCTGGACGTGAGCTCACCGAGAGAAGAGACAATGAGTATATCTTGTCTAGTTATAGGTGTGGTGTTCCAGTCATCTTTGAATGCACTCTTGCTGATTCTAAGCGATGTAGAGTTGTATCTAGGTCCTACAAGCGATCATTGGAAAGTATCTGGTGCATCCATAATGAAACAGGTAGACTGACGCTCATCATCTGCATCGAACGCGTCTGATACATCCCAAGCGAATATTTATTCGCACATCATAGGTTCTGTAATCTTCTTCGCTCTCCCTGTACCCGTTTACTACTATCTGGAACCACGATATGCGAATGCAAGCACAGCAGACATGGTGGTTTTCTCAACATTCTTCTTCGGTGTCGCTATATGCTTTGCTCTGTCGGCCGCGTAAGTATCCCTAGTCCCTGTAGCTGAGTATTCGAGACCTAACAGCCATTGCAGCTTCCATATCTTCAACAACCACAGCGAAAGTGTCCATATTTTTGGAAACCAGCTGGATTACGTGAGCAACTTGTACGCTTCTTCGATATTCAGCAACTCACCCATCTAGCTCGGTATTGTCATCCTCATGTGGGGCTCTACCATTCCTTGCGTGTATTACGGCTTCTATTGTACGCCCAATCTACAGCAAACATACTACACTCTAGTGTCAGTCTTGGCATTAGGCTGCGTATACGCAACACTGCATCCTGCTTTCCGCCGCCCAAGATACCGTCCGTACCGTGCAGCCATGTATGCTGGTCTCGGCCTCTCCTTTGTCATTCCCATTATTCACGGAATCAAAAGATTTGGTTGGGAAACGCAGATGTGGAGAATGAGCCTTGACTGGATGGCATTGATGACAACCTTCAACCTCACTGGAGGTGCATTGTATGCTATGCGAGTAAGTGACACTCTATCTCTGGATCGATCCGCTGTTCTGGAGAGAGTATGCGAGCTGATACAAAGACTAGATTCCCGAAAAATGGTACCCGTATCGATTCGACGTGTGGGGTGCAAGTCATCAGGTCATGCATTGCTTGGTTGTATGTGCTGGTATCGCACATTTGTTTGGGTTGCTGCGAGCTTTTGATCATGTTCATGGACACGGAAACATTTGCGCTCCTTGATCCAAGCGTGGCTCTGATACGTATGACGAGAGACGTCAGCACAGGAAATGTGTTTTTTTGAAGTCATCACACAAAATCAGTAGGCTTACAAGCAACGTTGAGCAAATGTATGCGTGCATCCTTGTCAAAAAACATCTTATTGGTTGATAGAATTTCGCATTTTTGCAGGTGCAAGGACCCTGGACCTTAGGTCAGAAATCCCTGTGAAATACTGCGATGGACGAGTATTGGGAATGCAGCTATTGGCTCGTTCAACTAATGCCACTAAGGGAACAGGGACCATTCTCCCTGTAATTTCAGAGACTGAAATGCCAACTTACTTACCATGGGTTTGTGTTTAATAGAGTGATTTGATAAAGCTAAAAAATACTGTAGGTATCAAGCGAGAGGGTCGTGCATGGCGTTGGTGAAAAATGCTGAGCACTGCGTACTCGGCCAGACAAAAACATGAAGGAGCCGAAATATGGACGGATTGTAAGCTTGATTAAAAATGATAAGAAAGTCTATCGTATGTGTAGATCATGACACATTCAACACGTATATACAAGGAATGTAACAAAGAAAACTCATAACTGCAGCCGTTACTGCTCATCGGGCTTGATCCGATTGGAGATGACGCCTGCCTTTTGCTCGTCCGTGAGATTTTTATTGCGATAGGCATGCCAGTATTCGTTGATCTCAGCGGTAACGTCGACTTTGGCATCACCATTTTTCCACACGTCCATATTCTCAATGGCGTCAAGCCACCACACCATGCGTTGAGATCTGCCGTCATCGCCAGCAAAATGCACGGCAAAGTCACCCTTCCTAGCACGGAACCACTCGAGATCCTTTGGACGCGACCCATCCATGTAGACTTCTATACTGTTTTTCTCGTCGGGATACGCATTGAACCAGTACCACGGCACCTGCGCGACGCCGGGAAACCACGCGTCGGTCTGGAGAATCTTGTCCATGGCTGTCTGTTCGGCATAGTCTATTGCTTCGTCGGGCCGGTAGTAGCGGAATGCGAGGACTGCGCTGAAAAGATTGACAGACCACTGATTTACCTTGAACAAGAACATGCCGGCGTTGAGCCCCACAGTGTCGTGACTGGCGATGAAGTTGATGTCGTGGAATTCGGCCGTGTCTGGGGGCAGGTAGCTTGACAAGGGGCGGCAAGGGTCGAGAACAATGACATCGCGATCGATCCACATGATCCATTCCAGACGCGACTCTTTTGGTTTCTGCAACTCGTTTAATACAAGGTTGAGAAGAAAGGCAATCTTGTTCCAAGCACCGTCAACGAGGGTTTCGCACAAGATATGTGTGGATGTTTTGTGGACTGCACTGTGGAACATTTGCGTTCGAATCGCACGGAGATATGCTTCTTGTGGTTTCCCGGTTGTGATGGATGCGATTGCTGTGCGGCGTGTTTCGGCCATGTTGAACGGGGCATGCTTGGCGCAGGACTCTCTTTGTGCGGCTACACGCTGCTTCCAGTCGTTTCCGAAAGCCGGCATGCACTGTGCTTGTCCATAATGTATGTGTGTTTTTGCGTAGTCAAGCGACGGATCGGGGCCGGCGTCTACTAAGTAGTGGAGGATTAGCTTGGGTGCATGGCGTCTTGAGTGCAAATTTGGCCTACCATTGCTGTTTCCCAGTGGTGATTTCTGGGTATTGGAAGACGCTGTTGGGTTGGCATGGTTGCTTAGTTGCAACTTGGCCCTCGCATAATCCGACTCTCCCCAGGGAAGTTGGTAGATGAGGCAGAAGACGAATAAAGTGGTGAGGACCCGCGGTATCAAGGAAGCTGTTGAATACATCGTGCAAGAACTCCTGCGTCAGGAAGGTAGAAGTCAGCTCCGCGGGGCTAATGCACATGGATCCAGACTATTATTATATTGCTCAGTGGCCTTGGAAGAATGCAAAGATAAGCTCTGTTAGCCCAGGTGCTCAGGCCGGCAAATCCTAATTTAGCATTAGGTATGGTGCTCTAGTACCGCCGAATCTTCGTATGACCGTAACTGTAAAATGTCAGATTGGGCATGGCGAGTGCACGGTGATATATGGCGCGGTTATTAAGCTAGCAATGTCGAGATAGAGATGGTGCTGCATCAGTCAAGAACACACTCGGAACTTGCACCTCACTATATAAGCCTTGCGACTGCGCATGGTGCCTCCAATGTTTCGACTTTATACACACAACCCGCATAATCTAGGTGGATGGCAATTAGGGGGGATTCCAGCTTACTCCAATCATACTGGCAAGGAGTGAGGGAATTTTGGGTCATGGGACATGTGGCATCCAGTGGCCGTTTCTGCGCCATGCAAACGAAAAGACATGCCCCGCTACGTTGCTAAGCCCTGATTATATGACAGTGACTGTTGCCAGGTGAGCCCCCTTTTGACGAGATTCTGAGATTTCTGGGTGTACATGTAGTACTTAGGGTGTCGCACTCGTAAGCAGCTGTTGAATCGGGGCTTGCGTCTGGAACTTAACCAATGGATGAGTTAATAATAGCACTGGAGACTCTGGCAGCTACCCGAATCTTTCCGTTAGGTCAAGGCGTCATCAATGTGCCGTTGCTAAGTCATAGGTTACCTCTGGGCGCCTGTCAGAAGGTCAGCAACAGCGCCAATGTCCTGGCCAAGCAGCCGTATGTATGTACTTGTAGCGAGCCATGGTGTTGCACCAAGACTGGAAAAAAAATATGATGTTATGTTGAAATGAAGATAACAGCAGGAGGGAGTGTGCAACACGGAGCCGACGTTGACCCGCGTTTGGAACGCACAGATCATCGGTCCATGAACGTGGCCGTGTCAGCATCCTCCGCTCCTGTCAGCTTACGACGACACAATCCTGATACGTCCCTTGCCGTCTGTTCCCACGCGAAGCCGGCAATGGTTAAACAACCCACCACCAATAGCTATCTCACCCACCTCGAAGCCGGGGCCCCCTGCATAGCGCGCTTGGCTGCATCATTAGTGGTATTGTATATTACTTACGCTTGTATGGCCGTGCAGTAGTAATCTTAAGTGCCTAAAGATAGCTAGTATGTAAGCAATAAGTGGGTGGTGTTGCGCAGTTAAAACAGAAATCGCAGAAGCAGAAAAGTGATGCTTAAAAACTGGCTATATTACCCAAGTTTTGGTGTTCTATATAGCCCAAAAACTAGCCCAAAATGGGCTCCCAGCTACTCACCGAAAAAGCTATGGCCGGCGTAGTACGACGATCGCGTTGGCTGACCGTAATGGGGCTCCCAATCATCATCGCGCCTTTCGCCACTCGAGTTTGGTGGTAAATTTGGGTGGAGAGGCAAGTGGTATGGAGGATGGGGATGTTGCGTGACAGCCGGGCGGTCGAGGTGGCCGAAACGGGCACCCGGAGGCCCATTTTGAAGCCCTATCGCGAAGCCTCCGTGGGCGGAGCCGTACGCGAGCGGTGGTTGGAAAATCGGGTGGGCGGCCGGGTGGGCGGGGTGAGCGGCTGGGTGGTATAGCGGCGGCGGCGGCGGCGGAAGCTGGTAACCTGGCTGGTAGCCCGGCTGGTAGCCTGGCAGAGCTACATGAGGCTGCTGGGATAGCTGCCCCGCAGCTATCCCAGCCAAAACTTGGTGTTGTAGCTGAGCCTGGTGGCGGTGATCGGGTGCCGGAGGCTGCGGTGGAGGCAGTATAGTAATCTGCTCCATCAGCTAGGTCGCCATTCGGGCTAGTATAGCGGCTGGTAGGGTTGCCTAATTGTTAGCATCTGCGCGCTTAAAAAAGCTCGGTTCGCGCCGCTAGCTTAAGCCTTTTTTCTAAGTTTTTTTAGGCTGTTTACGCCACAAAATTGCCTTTAGCTTAAGGGGCGTTTAGGTAACTTTAATCTCTAGAGCTTAGGATTAATTAGTTTACCAATGTAGATTAAAATCTAATGCCTAGAGCACCTTAGCGTTAAGTTCTAGCTTAGCAAGAAGACGCTAATATAGTATCCTAAGCGCTAGCGTATACTAATTAGTGCAGGCTAGGAGCTTATAACTAACTCTGCAATAAAGTTTTTTTAACTCTGCTCTTGCCTTTGCAAGCTATTTTGCTATTCCTATAAGCGCGTAGTAGGTTATTTAAAAGCTAGTAGCGCTAAAAATAGCATCTTAGGTGTTATAATAAATCTTAGTATTGCTTTATGCGTTCGCGAGATTGTTAGCAATGCTATAAGAGAGATAGAAGCTATAGAGACGTTAAAAAAGAGTTAAAATATTAACACTAGAACCTCTTATCTATTGCTTAATAACGCAATAAGCGCCCTTAGCCTTACTAGTAATAGTAAGGCTAAAATAGGTATTGCGATTAATATAATAACCTACTAACTTGTTATAGTAACTATTTAGCTAGTGCCACTTTAGGTAGGTAGTTGCAACCTTTAATTGCTACTTATAGGCTGCTAAGTTAGTGTTATAATTAGCTTCTAATAGCGAGTTAAGAAGGTAGAGATAGAGGTTAAAGAACTCAGTAGTTCCTTTACTGTCTACCTACCTATTGCTAACCTAATTGTGACTAAATTTAGTAGATAGCTTAAGCTAAAGGTAGCTTAGAAAATCCTTATTAAGGTGCTACTAATAGAGTATAATTATAGGTTAATTAAAGACATCTTTAAGAGCGTTTAGGAAAGCTTAATCTTAATTACTTAGCCATACGCGCATAGTAATTTTCTTTAACTTAAATAGAGCCTAAAGGTAGCGTAGTACTTAGGCAAATAAAGCTTTATCTTAGTAGGGAATAAGCGTAACACTAAGGTATATTATATAGTTGTACCTATTTAAACTAACGAGATTAAGTAGAGGAAAGCAGTATTTATTTATCTTATACGTGTAGTTAATAATAAGTGCATCTAGCGACTTTTCAAAGTTTTTAAGGTAGCGTAGGTGGATAAAAAAGAGGTACGTAATGTAGTTCTCTACGTTAATCCTATACCTAGCAACGCGTTAGAATATTTTAATTTTCCTACTAATAGGTAGTAAGTTATTAGCGTAAGTATTTAAGCTAATAAGATAATACGCATAGACTATTTTTAAGTCTATACGCGCTAGAATTAGCAGAATTCTTGCAACACTAAAACAATCTAGTAATAAAGACTTACTAAAACTAATACTTTTCTCACTCTAACTTCTTTAAAAGCAACCTAATTTTTATATTAAAACCTAGTTCTTAATAGTAGTACGCTATAAATTAGTTCTTAATGTCCTATTGCGTTATCTAGATAGTAGGAAACTCAGCGCGCACTATTTATAGTATATAGTTTAGACCTTGCAATGCTACCTAAATTTCCTTTAACCTCTTCTCTAGCAACGCTTCGCGGGTCACTCTTTAGTACTAAGCAAATACGAATTTTTCTTTAACTAGCAGGTAATTATAGGTAAAGCTCTTTTAATCTTTCTATAATTTAACCCTTTACTAACCCTCTAGTTGTACAGAGTTCTTTATAAGCAACTAAAATCCTATCTTATAATTTATCTTCTACAATAACGCACTTTGCCGCAATCCTAGTTTTGCTACCTTTTTGCCTAGGCGTAGTAAGCCCTATTAGTTATAACACATTATAACTTCAATTACTAGCTCGCCACGTCTCTCGTATTAATTATACGCAACACTATAGTCTTTAGCCTACTTATCAACTACATTAAGAGCTTTGTTATAGCTATTATATAGAACTTCTAGTAGTGGCGGGTGCTTACAATTAATAAGCAAGGCCTCCTATAAACTATTAATATTACACTCTACAACACTATAGAGCTTACTATAATTCTATTAGCGCAGCGCACGCTTGGTACTTCGCCTATAGTGTAGAGGCTTAGGCTATACAGCTTCATGGGCTACAGCTTTATAGGCTACAACCTGATGGGGAGCAGCTTTATAGGGAGCGGCTTCATAGGGAGCGGCTTCATGGGCGAGGGCGTTGCTCAAGGACTCTAGTTCTTGCTTGGAATTTGTATAGCCCTCCTAAACTAACCTATCTTTATTAGACTTAGACTTAAATGTATAGTAAAGTAGCTGCTAGGTAGTCTTATTAAATAAAATAGTGTTATAGGTAGTAAGCGACATAATAGGAAGTAAAATTAATAGAGTTTTTAGTATATTTTAACAATTTCTACGCGTTGTACGGTGTAGGTTAAGATAGCTTAGGGGCTGCCCAGCTCGCCTAAAACACAACACTAGCGCTCTATACTAGATAGGTATTATCTAGCTACTTAGTAAGTTATAAGAAAAAGAGCTAAGTTATTTAATTATAGTGCTAACTCTATAGAGTTTGGATGCCGCGCCCCTAATGCAGACCCCGGCTTCGAGGTGGGTGAGATAGCTATTGGTGGTGGGTTGTTTAACCATTGCCGTTCACACTGTGCTACGTACACACTGGGCAAACCTTGACACCTTGACTTACGTCAACTACGACAAGATGCTGGGTGGGTGTCTTTGGGGAATCGCAGTGTCAGCAAGCCGCCATGCTGCAATAGGGGCAGCCAAATTATGTTGCTTGCCAAGTTGTCCTGCAACCAAAGCCGACAAGTCTCAGTGTGAAGGTATCAAAAGCGAGGTGCAGGGCCGTATTGGATTCTGTTCGTACTGTAGATACGAGGCTATACGTGACCATGAACGAGCCTCTCGTATGTATCGTATTGTAGGTGCGCAGAAACCGACAGCAAGGAGTGACACGGTTTTTGGCATGATTGCTCGAGACATGTAGACATGACGATGGAATGAATGGCTTCATGCGACGAGCAGTGACCGAGACACAGTGACGCAAGACAGTCTCGCGGCCAACGCCAAGCCGCTAATTGTGTCTGACTAAGCGGCATCTCCGAAGCTCAACATCATGGCGAGCATGACAAGTCGCCGACCCCCACAACGCCAGTGTTACGCCCATACGATGCAGTCACTCCGCCGGACAGCAGCGACTGCTGCCCGCGCAAGCCGAACTCCGCTCTCGCGCCAATCGCGCCGCTATGCCCACGACGAAGCCCACGCTCATGGCCATGCAACGCCAGCCGTTGACGAACCCATAGGCGTATGTCCCCTCCTTCCCCATTGCGCAGACCCCGGCCATGGACTTGCGAAAGATGTTGAGCAGGAGAGGGTGTGCTAACGCAATTGGGATTTGTAGTATGGTTTCTGGATGACGATTGGGGTTATTCCTGCGGGCCTGGCCCTCTACAGCATCTCGCGCAACAACGGCGACAACAGCGAGCCGTACTTTACGCGCATGATTGCCAGTGCGACGGCGGGAATGCACGAGAAATGGACGTCGCAGAACGACCTACACGTCCGGATGATTGAGCAAGCGGGTGAGGACCGTGTGCTGTTCTTGAACACGAAGCCCCAAGAGCACGTCGAGATGAAGTTTCCGGAGTAGGTTCTGTCTCGGTTGTCGCAGCATGGGGTATGGGTTGCAGAGCGGATCTGAATACTGACGGAGCTAGGATCATGAACGTCGGCTCTCCCTACAACGTGCCTGCTGGAAGCCAGGTGCAATTGGACAAGGTGATTGAAAAGTACAAGAAGCTCGCTTACGAGGACAACGAGCGGAAGCTGGAGAAGCTGAGAAACAACGACATCTCGTCGGAGAAGCCGTTTGAGGGCAAGACACGGGTGAAGAAGGCGCCTGATATGTTCTAAGGCGGAGAGGCCAAAACCGGCATTGGTTTTGCACAAGTGTAGATATCGGGAAAAATGATATCCGTTCTCACATGCTGTGTGATGGTCATGGCTCACTTGGCTGTTAGGTCGAGTAGACTAAAGCAAGCCTAGGCAAGAGGGGCGTGATGGCTCTGCTGCAGCCGGAAGCCTAGTCGGTTGGCGATTGAAGCGCGTGAACCAAGTGTGGCGCGGGTGCCCCTTTTCCTCGGCGTCGACATGTGACATGGATATGAGCGTGATACGTTGGATGCGGGCTGTTCTTGCCAGGAGCCAATGGCCTCATGCATCAAGGGCGTGGTTGAAACAGCATGACAGTGCAATCAGCGGGTGGGCGGTTCAGGCTGGAATGGCGACAAGAGCAGCGTTGTCTACACCTACTGTAGGTGTAAGGAAAAGAAAAGGGGGGAGGGCAAAGACGGGCTAGAGCAGCAATGGCGAATGAATGGGAGTGATTCCAGGGTGGTTACGGTACCGGTTGCCAGGCGTTGCACTTGTCGAACCATGGACGGCGGGGAGCGAATGGGCCGGGCCAGACAGGGCGTGTGCTAGCGGTGAGGCTGAGCCACGTGGGTGGCTTGGCCTGGGGGCAGGGTGTCAGTGTGAGAGAAGAGCAGCAGGAAGCGAGGGCGGTCAAGCGCAGTGGGTGCCGTGGGGATGCATTGGAGATGGATTGTGCACACCACGGCCATGGACGGGGAGTGGTGTCAGTGTAGCCGTTTGGACATGGATTGCTGGGTGGGCTTGGTGAGAGGCGGAGCGGCATACATGTAGATGGAGGGCCACATGGACTGGCTGGAGGGGATGGGATTGCCATGTTTCGTGTGGGTGGGAACACGCACGTCAGTTGTGTGTAGTAGGGCTGTTGCTGCGAGGGTCGGCCCCACTTGGCGGCGGGTACCTGACTAGGATCATCGCTGATTGGCGAGGTGCCGCAGCGCCGTAGCCAGCCTTGGGGTGAGGGTGAGGGTGAGGGAGAGGGAGAGGGAGAGGAGAGGGAGAGCGGGTAGGGTGGTAGGGCACATGGGCGGCTGAACGTGGCTAGGCAGTCTCTTTGTCAGAGACTTGATAACTCGTCCTCAGCGCGCATCCAACACGTCGCTGAAGAAGCCTGCCCTGCCGCCCTGCCGCCCTGCCTCGCGCAACAAGCACCATCCACAAGACGACGGGGAGACACGCCAGAGACATTGCAAATTGATTGAGCATAGACATGGGAAAGGTACGTCTACTACCATGTGCATTCGAGACAGCCTCAGCGCCGGCAGGGATATGCTTCCGGCGCCTTGTCGCCAACCATGTGCACGACATTGGCCGTCTGAGCTGCTTGACACATGGCCATTGTCGAGCAATATACAGCGCCTGCCCCGCCGTGGTGCATACTCTAACGAGCGTCCAGGCAGCCAGCCCTCTGGACGTGTGCACACGAAGCATGGCGTTGCTCATGTTCCGCCGCAAAAAGGTAGTCCTGGTTACCACCGCTCCAGGTAAGGCTTAGCGCCGTTGGGGGGGGTGGACCCCCTGTGGTCCCCAAACACAGCATACCCATCGTGCCAGTACTCGATGCATAGCGCACGCCCTGGTCACCACCACCACTACCACTACCACCACCACCACCACCTAGCAGCCGCCGCCGCCGCCGCCGCCGCATCCTCCTCCTCCTCCTTCCGCCCCCGCGCTGCATCCATTGTCGTTGCCTTTGTCAGCCGCTGTCCTGCCCCCATTCCACAAAGCCGCTTTCTGCACGAGGGGGGTTCGATGCTAATCTCATACACAAAGACACGGCCCCTTTCCTCCCCGAACTCAACTTCAGCCGCCTCGTCCAGAGAAATGACATGAACGGCTCCGCCTGGACCGACGACTCTGCTCGCACTGCGACTGCGACTGCCACACCCCTACGCGCCACCTCGCCCGCCGCCATGCCCTCGTACACGTCGCCCCGCGGCCCCTCGGGCCCGCTGGCCGTAGATAAGGCTCCGTCGCCGTCCATGGCCGCCGACGAGAACACGGCGTGGGCCCGCCCAAACCACCACAGCACGCCCAACTCCAAGACGTCGCAGTACATCGACAAGATCACACAGGAAAACGACCGCCTGCGCCGCGAGCTCCGCGCCGAGAAGCTGGCCCGCGAGGACGAGGCCAAGCGTGTGTCTGCTGCACAAACCAGGGCTGAGGACTCGCGTGCCGAGTACCAGCACCTGCAGGTCCTCGCCGACACCAATGCACGGGCGATAGAGCGCAAAGACCGGAAGCTCGAGGAGCTCAAGGCCACGCTAGACACGGAGATCCGCCGGAGGAAGATGGCGGAGCAGAGAGCCGAGGAAGCCCTCAAGATGCTGGGCGACACGCGCTCCGAGACGCAGCGCCAGCTGGCCCAGGCCTACGAGATGAAGGGCCTGGCAGACACCAACCTCGAGACGGCGCGCGACGGCTTCAAGCGCATCACCGACGGCTACGAGAACAAGGTCCGCCAGATCAACCAGGAGCTGAACGAGCTGCGCAAAAAGCGCCTCGAGGATGCCGACAAGATCAAGCGACAGGCCATCATCAGCGACCAATTGCAACATGAGTCGTCGCGCTCGACGCGCACCGAGGCCAAGCTGATCAACCTCATGGAGGCCTACAAGCAGGAGCACCGCAAGGAAATGGACAGCCTCATCCAAGAGGCCGAGCGACTGCGGCGCGCTCTGCCCGAAAAGGAGCGCGAGGCCGAGAAGCTGGTCGAGGCCATGAAGGAGACCCGTGATAAGATGCGGTGGGTCATGACACAGCACGAGCGCCAGACAGGGAGCCGGACCTAAGAGACGCTTTGCCCTTGCACTCACTTATCCTCGCCTCGTGCGCCCGCCCTGCACACAGGCCAAGACGTGTTCCCCACACTACGACCATAATGACCAAAGCTTGTTTTCTGGCTTAAAACGCATCTGTAAAATATCTGGGGTAAAGGGCGTTGGAGTTTGGCACGCATCAGCACATTGCACACACACACACACACACACACTACGCTAGGATTCGGGGGGGAGAGGGGCGCATTCTTGACCGAGTATGCGCGGCACGGCCACCATGCGCTTTGAGCGTCCACTGGATGTTTTTATTTGTCATCTGCGTGTTGTCGAGCATAGGCCATGTGATGCTGGATACCTTTATCAATTTTATATTTTTGCCACTTTTTCTTGATAAAGTTTCGCCTATTGGTTGGTTTGCGCCCGGACGCGAGGGTAAATGTCAACGTGCCTTTGTGGATAGACCAGTGTTTGACTAGACCAACGGCGCGCCTGCCTGATATGCCCAAGTAGGTAGGCACTGGGGATGCTGTTTCCTAGACTGCAACGCCAAGCCGTTTGCCGTTTGCTCTCCCCTCTCTCCCCCTCTCCCTTGCATCTTTCACGGCCATTATATCGCCTCATTAGCATTCAAGCAAACGGTCAATCAAACAAGAAACTGCGCTAACTCTCGATTCACTCCCCCCACCTGTCTATAGTAACATAGCCCGACCCAGCGTACAAATACAAGCATCGACGCGGCACTAAACACCTGGGAAATGCAGACAAACTTCCTCCAAGCTCAAAGATGCGGAAGCGGTTCCACAGACATGACAACAACCAGCCAAGACAAGGCTTGATTCCGGCATGACCCTCGGCCTGTACAACAGTTAGCCATGACGCAAAGGCCCGGACAATGATCCTACCAAGGTATGCTGGTCTAATTGACAGGAGTGCCACATTGAGGGCAGCACTTTCCAGGAATCACCCACACTGTATCCCCACGCTCAAGGCAGGCGGGGCAGCGACGGCCAGGTACCTACAATACTGAGTATGCATCTTGGCTTTCTGCTTCTATGCTTACCGGCATGGTGTTGATGCCTTCAGCGTCATTCATACAAGGAATGGCGACCAGGTGGGTTAGTGCATGCTTGCACATGGTGATAGTGTCGGCGTGATTAGAGGAGACAACAACAAGGTGGTTTTATGGAGAGATGAGGCCCAGGGCGTGGATTTGGGCAATGTGTATTGGAGAAAGAAGGTAGAAGAATGGCTCAATGGTTGGCTAATCAGACCGCAGGCAAGTCTTTATACTTGTGTGCATCGCAGCGCGATTGTGGCGCCCGCTCCACAATGCACTTGCCCGTTCTTGAGAAGTCAAGTCTGTCTATTCTTCGCCTCTGCATGACATGCATGGTCCGTCGTGCTTCGCTGAGGATAGCGTATCTGGAAGCTTGCGTCACGTACTAGTGCCTAACGGAACACATGTGGGCAGATAGATTGATGGATTCCTAATATACGCCATGTCCCTGAGCATGTGTTCTAGCCTCGAATCAGTCTGGAATGGCAGCACGGCTGTATATACGAGTATCACAAACGACCAGCTGCGGGCCGTCTCATTCCATGATCAACGGGGCTGCCAGACGCCAATTACTATGCAAGAAGAACAAGTAAAAAAAGATTGCCTCCAAAAGCATGCATCGAGGACCAGAGACATGAGAGTCACATGGCAGTCCATCACGTTGACTGCTCCCATTCGCAAAACCTGGTGCGCATCATGCATATCTATCCATAAGCGCTCTCGGTAGAGGTGGACCTGACTGGCCGGATCGTTTCTCGGTGTGATTTGCGGATTCCAAGCATGTCGTTGAGCCTCGTCGTTTTTTCATTTTCTCAATTTGCGCGCCAAGCACACGCAGCTCAAACTAAAGGCATGGCTATCTGCAACCACGAACAAACTCGGGCAAGGCGTCCCCCATGCTACTTGCTGCATGTTGCTTGCGGCTGATTACCAGAGTTGGGATGCAAAGAGCAAACACATCATTTGCCTTTGCAATCACGAGCGGTAAGTAAGTAACGAGTACTTACTTACACCAAGGTGTAGCTGTCTGGCTGCTACTACTTACCCCTCGCAACCCCGGCCCTCCTTTCTTTTTTTTTGCTGCTACACAAGGCATGGAACTGGGCACTGAGACCGACCGATTGACTTGCAGGTGCGGGGCGCGTTGCACCAATCGATCCATGTTGGTAGTCTTGGTCTCGTGTCTGCTGCGGGTACCCCCAAGGTGCTCATCTGTGTCGCTTGGCGTAACCGGCAACTGAGCAGGGTTGTTGCATGAACAAACGCATCCATGTCCATGTTACTGCGTGCGACATGATTTGTCCTTTTTGACTCGTGCTTGGCCGTGTACCTGCTTGGTGTATACATGGCTTCCATGATAGCATGTCGGTTTGTCCCATCAGCAAGCCTCTTGATCTTTGACTCGAGTCCAATGGCAAAATTCTCCCGAGTAACTACTGTCTGACATAGCGATTGTTGTTCTACACAGCCTGTCTACATAGCCCTTTGAATGGAGCATGTGTTCTTTTGTTTTTCTTTTCTTATCTCTTGATTGTAATGCTTTACACAGGGAAAACCCCACAAAAAATAACATTGGAAGCAGCACTTGATGGCATCAAGAAAAGTGTCATATTCCTTGTTTCCACACATGGCATCTCTGTTGTCACTGTAAAGATGATGTCATGTGGGTGTGTGTGTGGAGCGAAATTAGCAAAATGGCAACATGGTTATATATACATATCTAAGTGCTAGACAAGCGGGTGTAACAAACATGCACTCACGACAGATACGGCAAGTGAATCATGACTATCAAGTCCCGCCAGGCATTCCCTGTCTGTATTGAAGACGAGAGGCGTGGACAAAAAAAAGTGCTGGCCCAGAAAGAGAGCTGCAGTCATCATATACACATCTCACAAAAACCATCGTATTGCAACCAGAATGACATGGACAATGGAAAACGATACGCTTCAGCCACTAACACCAATGCTACGACTACATCCTATGCAAAATGTACTCGACCGCCCTCAAAGCCGTGTAAACTTGCTTAGCCCACCACCATACCTGCGCCTCTCACTCTGCAATCGATGATACAGCTCATGCTGCTGGCGATGCCCATGCAACTGCAAACTCTCATGTGAGAGTTGTTTTCCTCGACCAAACCGCGGACCGGCCGGGAAAAACTATCCGTGGAATTAGCTACATCCACACATGGCATCAACATGAGTGCACTGCGTCTCAGTGCAACCCAAGTGTCAACGACAGCACTAGTCAACGTAGCGGCTTAGAACAATGCATGGTTTCATTCAAGCCCTACTAACCGTCTTGCTGATCCGCACCAGCAGCACCCCCTTTGACACGACGCCGTTTGCATCGTAGAGGTGCAGTATGCGGTAGCCGGACTGAAGGCGGTCGATGCGGAAGCAAGCCCAAGCAGCCAGGTCGTCCCCGAGACGCTCATCGTCCATGACTTTGAATCTATACATGCCGTGTTAGCACGTGTTTGGAAGTGACCAAGACAATGTCGGGGTGCATGTAGCTCCCTAGCCAGTGACACTTTTGCTGACATGGCTAGGCCCAGAACGAGCAGCTGCGTAGGCTAGGGCAAGGCGAAGCGGTGTTGTCATGAAAAACAAAGCGACGAGGCGTAGGCACTGGGCATGAAAAAGCGGGTCCTTTGCAGCTTGACCGATGGAATCCCAGCAGCGTGCCACGACCGTCCTCGACATGGCCTCTTCAGCGCCCGTGGAACAGTCAAGCTGCGCATATGCAATGGATAAACGCACTGTCAACCAGATGGAGACTGGGCTCCGCATGCAGAGCGACATTTTCTGAGAGCTTGGTCATGGATCCGTATGATCCATGTCAACGCGCACTGATGGCCACGTAGCGCAAAAAGAATACCAACTCACCTGACAAAGGTCAACTCATCCGTCACGCCCTGCACACCAGTGAACTTGACGACTTCGCCACCAAAGTCGGGATTGGGGCCCCTGGCCGTTTTGGTCTTTAGCTTGTATTCGCCTTTTTGGCTCCTTCCATTGCCTGGTACGGGCTCGGCATTCCGCTCTTGGTGCGACTCAACGTGGAGTTCAATCTTGACATAAGGCTTAAAGTCTTTGGGGTCGTCTTCCTCAGGAGGCAAGGGGATGTGCTGCCCGGCGATGAACTCGATGCTGAGATCCATGTCGTGGTGAGCAATGGCAGTCTTTTGCGTTGGCTCCTTGCTCGTGCTGCGATAACCCTCTGGCTTGAGAACCCATCCTGGGGTGCCTGCAAACAAGGCCTCGTTTTGCATCATTCCACCGTCCCAGCGTTGCCAGTTGAGAGCTACAATCTGCACTCCAGCGCGCCAGAAGACCGAGGGGTTTAGGTTGGACGAGGTCAACCGAAGGCCCTTTGGGTATGCACGCATGAGATAGTGCTTGTTGTGCTCAAACAGACCGACCGGGTTTTGTTCATGCAGTTCCATCAACACGCCTTCGGAAAGCGAGAAAATGTGCGTGGGTATCTTGGCCTCTGGCGTGTCCAAGCCCTTGTACGAGTAGCCACCAAAGTAGACACCCAATCTTGACAAGGACTCTATGATTTTGGGCTTCGGCGCTGGTGGTTTCTTCTCTCCGTCTGGACCAATTTCCTCTTCCGAGCCTGCAGACTCGACGCTCGTGACGTGCTCTAGCGGCGGGGTTGATGCACCAGGCGTCGAAGCTGGCTGGATATGCCCGCGCTTGACCTTGACGAGGATCTTGTTCTCCAAATCTTGTAGTCTAGGCAGGGCAACTGTGGCCAGGCTCTGCGTTGGGTCAAGCGGCTCTTCAAGCAGCATGCCTTTCCAGTACTCTTGCATAAGCTCGACCATGATTTCCTGCTGCTCTGGGCCGGCGTGTACCTCGAGACTAACAATCAGAGGTAGGTTGGATACTGTGAAAGCGTAGTCTCTGATGGTCGCGCACACGGCCCGAAAAGTCATGTCCTTGGTCAGAGTGTAGCCGTGAAACACCCTGGGTTCTGCGCGAGACGTGTAGGAAGCTGAATGCCATGGCTGAATCTTTTGGCTGTCCGGTTGATGCGGCGGCGGCGCTGGCTCTTCGTCGTCGGACTTGTCCTTGGTGCCGAATTTGAGGCCGAGGCGTTTCCGAATGCTGAGGCCTGATTTGGATTTCTTCTTCTCTCTCCTTGCGTCACTGGCGCCTGGGTTGCCCATTGCAGCTTCTTCGTCCGAACTCGAGTCGGAGGGGGCATCGCCGTCCCAAACATCAACTTCAACACAGCGACACCCGCGCATGAGGACGTTCTTGTAAGCGTCGACGCTCGAGTCGCTCGAGAGCTGATTGCCGGTGAGGTACGTGTTGTGGCTTGACGAGACGAAGTAGTTTGAGATTGGGTGTGACTCGTCGAGAGGCTGGGCAGGCTTCATGACATTGGCCAGGCCCGACATGAAGTAGCTGGCAAAGGACGCAAAGGAGCCGTCGCCCAGGGCCTCGGCGTGCCGTTCTGCTTCGCTGTCGGCGACGTGCTGCGACCCATTCTGCTCCTTCAGCCAGCTCAGTTTGCCCTCGCTCGTCTGCAGATTGTGGCGCATCATGACCTGTTCGTATATGGCACGGACATGGCTCTCGAGTTTCGACAGGTCATCGAGGGTGCGGGCTTTGGCCGATCTATCCCGCCGCCATTGCCTGCGCCCTCGAGGCCTTGTTCTTCGTCACAACCACCCCAAGGTATGCCCCCTCCCCCCTCGTGCACATTGCTGACCCCATTGACCCACGACAGCTGAGCTGCCTGCAGTCAGCACTCTTCCTCATACACACACACACACACACACACGCGCGCGCCAGCGTCGGCAAAACCCCCACGCTTGTATTAAGTATCCTCCTCAGCTTACCCCCCCCCCCCCCAGTTGTTGCTTCTCCAGCACAACACTGCCCTACGCAATGCCCGACCCCTCCAAAGACAGCAAGCTGGGCACGCCCAAGATCGACCAGCCTCACCTCCAGGCCGGTGGAGGCACCGCCTCTGCTTATCAGACATGACGGTCACGGTCACGGCAAGAGACGAGAGGTCGGCTCCTGCCTTGGCTGCCGCATCGGCGTTTGATCATCGCGCGTTTCCTACAGCAGGCGGGCCATGGCCAGGCAGGCGGTTGGCGGTGGACAAGGGCCACGCAGCATCGAGGCATTTGCTGCTGCAGGCCGGGTGCTGGTGGAGAGACGGCTGTGGCTGTGAATGGCCGCATGTGGCTGCGCGGCTGACAGGACATAGCAATTCACATCCAAGGCCCGCGCGCGCCAAGCACCGCCGACGTCACTCAGGGTCCAACCATTGCCTGGCCCATTCCGCCTGGCCCATTCCCTTCATTCCTTCGTCCTCCCACCCGCCACATCACAATGCACCCGCCACGCCAACACGCAGAGAGCGAGGTCCGTTCCTGGGGCTTTGCCCATGTTTTCACCTGGACAGACGCCCCGTACGTCCATCAATCGTTTCCCTTTGCTTGCTTCCTTTCATCTTGCACCGTTTATTTGCCTGCCTGCATGTATATATATACAGCCACATTGACCACGGCGCAGCAATGCACACTACCCGCCGCACAAGCACAGCACCAAAACAACCCATCTCGTCCTCGACGGCTCCATAACCTATACCTATCCCAACGACCCACACGCCAAAAGAGAGACCATAGGCCCCGGCGCAAGGTGGGATGTCGACGCACACAAGGTGCATCAAGTCTGGGTCGGCAGCCAAGGGTGTACCTATGTCATTGGCGAACAATAGCATGCAGCCCTTCATTCAACCCCCCCGCACCCTCATCCTAGGAATCCGTGTTGCCCCAGATACTTGATTGCACCAAGCGCTAGCTGGTCCGCCCTGACAAGCTCCTGTTCCACCATGCGCTCGTACAGGCCCGGGAGCTTGTTGTCCTCTTGCTTGGGAGGGTGCTGGTATTTGCATTTGCTGTAGTACGGACACCTTCCATTGCGCCTCCAGTTGGTGCACAGCCTGTTGCTCTTGCTTTCTGTTCGCGACGACGCTGGCTGAGGCGGTGGCACTTTGACGGCTGGCGGGGCCACCTTGGACGACGTGACCTCTGGTGCTTCGTCGCTCTCTTCTGAATCCGACTCGGATTCCGATGCTTCTGAGCTCGACACTACCGACGACTCGGACAGGACCGAGCTCTCGTCCGACTCAGTCTCGCTGTCGTAACCCAGCCCAAGGTCTACGACTGCTGCCGCCGGCTGCTTCCTGACCATGCTCTCGTGTAACTTTTGTCGCAACGCCGCCAGCTCCTCTTGCTTCTTCTGTTTGTCTGTCTCGTGCTTCACGCCATGATGCTTGCGCTCACCGCTGCTCTTCTGAGGCTGTGATTGACTCAGGCCGGCCGGCTCTTCCTCTTTCGGCGGTTTCCCTTGCATCCTACGCAGAAAATCAAGCTCTGCTTTGCGTTTCTTCACAGCCTCTTCCTGCTTCTCCATGATGCGCTTCTGTGTTGGGAAGTTTTTGCGGCGGTCCTTGATCCACGCCGCTACTTCAGCCCCGGTTTGTATGGTGATGGTTTCTCCCTCGTGCTCGAAAGCGAAGCCTCCACCTTTTAGCTTCTCAGAGTATGTCGCCTCCTCATCGACCTCTTCGTCGCTACTTTCATCCCGCGCAACCTGGTGCGACAGCCCCAACGTGACCTTGCGCTTCTTGTCATCTGGTTTCGTGACGGGTGGCATCGGCAGCGAGAATCCAAAGCTGGGAACTTGCGGGGGAACGGCAGCCTTGGCTCGGGGCGGTTTTGAGCTCTGCTGCAATGCCTTGTTTGGCGGTTGCGCATCGCTCGTCCGATCCGTCAGCTTTCGCTTCTGGCCTGCATGCTGCGATGGGGAATATCGAGGGTATGGCTCGCGCAATGACGGATGCATCGAGGCTTCTAGGCAGCCAGCATTTTGTGGCCGATTCGCCGCATCGTTTGAATGACCCGAATTCAAGTCGACCCTGTTGTTTCCGCCCCCTCGACTGCTCTGGTGCCCTCCCCTTTGGCCCCTGCCGCGCCCATCTCCCCGGCCGCGAATTAGCCCATGACCGCCTCTTGAACTTCCTACAGAAGCGTGAAAACCGGCGCCCCTGCTGTGGCCACCCCCTCTGCCCCGACCTCTCCCGCTGTCGCCTCTGTTATGACCTCCCCGTTGACTTGTGTATGGTTGCTCGTCGCATGTCGGCTGTTTGGGTGGTGGCGGCGGAGGCGGCGGCGGAAACCTGAATGCCATGCCTATTGTATGCGTTGCGGTATGGCTGCAACGGGTAGCGCAGAAAGAAGTGGTGAGAGAAAAGTGAGAGAAAAGTGAGAGGTTACGGGCACCAGACTCGACGCGCCTCGGGGGTCCGACGGCGAGGCGAGCCAAAAAGTTGTTATCGATAGGCACCGCTAGCTCCACGCTAAGCATCGCCCCAAACTGCGACTCCTACCTTTGCCTCTCGCAACCAAGCCACAATGTACAGGTGACCATCTCCGAGACTCCCTTGATCCATGAAGCCCCCAAAGTCTCGGCCATGTTCATACTCGTAAGTGGGACCAACCCCGACCGTTTTTCTTGAACGTGGACCTTGCGCTCCAGAGCATGTCGAATTTTTTCAGACAGGAACCATTTATGCTGTTCCAATTCTTGTTCCCATGCCGATACCTGGTCCAGCAGCTGGAAGACGGATATGTGCTCCACCAGACATTAACAACTCTCCAGACCACGATTCAAGACCTGATACAAATCAAGCCGCAGGACTTTGAGAAGCCTAGCGCACAAGCCATCAAAGATGTTATCAACGACAAATACAGCAACAAGATTATTCCCAACATTGGCCTCTGCCTCTGTATGTGGGATCTGCTGTCAGCTTCCGAGGGTCTGATTGGCCATGGCACAGGGCTTGTCAACGTGAATGGTGCGTTAGCAGACTGGCGTCACCCGCCTTGGGCTCACATGTATAGTCGAGTTCCGCATGGCCGTCTTCCGGCCTTTTCGTGGTGAAATCATCTACGGGCGAATCAAAACTTCCAACCAAGAGGGTATCATGATCGACCTAGAGTTTACATCCGAAGTCTTCATTCCGTACCAGAATCTCCCGGACAACTCGTCCTTTTCTCAAGCAGAAAATGTCTGGGTATGGAACTCGGAAGGCACCGAGCTCTTCTTTGACAAGGGCGAGCCGGTGTTGTTCAGGGTTGAGCACGAGGAGTGGTTCGACCAGCGCCCAACAATTGTAGAGAAGGACGACAAGGGCGAGATTATCGAAGAGCGGCCCACAGCCTGGAGAGTGATTGTAGGTTCATCAGAGTGCGTTGTGTTGGTACGAGTCTAATCAGAAGTACAGGGATCGATGGCTCAGCCGGGTCTTGGTCCCACATTGTGGTGGGCAGAGGGCGGAGAAGAAGGAGAAGAGGGCGACGTGGACATGGAGGATGGCGCTGAAGAATGATGGTTCTGCCCATGTCTGGCTGGCAGGCCCAACCCTGGTGCAGCGTTTTCGGGAATATTGCGAGAAGCTTGCCTGCCGTAGCTCTGTGCGTGCTGCTGGGCTGTTCGGGCTGTTGGGTGCATATTGTCCGCCAAGCGATTCACGTACTTGATCGTCTCGAATTGGAAACCACCAGCCGAACCTCGGTATCTTTCTCCGCACTGTCCCAAGAGCAACTCGGCGCGCCCGATGCGTGTAGGTGATCTGTGCAGCCACCATTGACAAGCATAGTACATAGCACCGGCCCCAGACTTTGCGTCGGCCATCGTCCCCGTCTTCCCTTTGTTCTTTCGAAAGCCACCACTTTTTTTTGCCCCCCGCAACCACTCGGCCGTGCGATTACCGTAGCCCTGGACATCAACCAAGCGATAGCCGACACAAGACGTGATCATCTCATTGTTGCTAGCGGCACAGAGCAAACAGCAAAATGGCATCATACACATCGGTCCACCTTGCTGAGAGGCCGCAAGACGGCGTCGTAGCCGGCAAGACGTTCACATGCAGGCAGCACCAAGTCCCGCCAGCGTCGTCGCTCAAAGACGGCCAAGTACTGTTCCAGACACTGTACCTGTCCCTGGATCCCGCCATGCGCGGCTGGCTAAACCCCACACGATCGTACATCCCGCCGGTCGAGATTGGGGCTGTGATGCGCGGCAGCGGTATTGGCGTCGTTGTGGCGAGCAAGAGCAGCAGGTTTCCCGTGGGCACGTATGCCAGCGCCATGTGCGGATGGTCCGAGTACGCCCTTGTCGACGAGAAGCACGTGGAGCCGCTGGACCTGCCAGAAGGCGCCGTGCCCACGGATGCACTCGGGGTGCTGGGCATGACGGGCCTCACAGCCTACTTTGGCATCCTCGAGATTGGCCAGGTCAAGAAGGGGGATTTTGTTGTTGTGAGCGGCGCGGCGGGTGCTACGGGAAGCGTGGTTGGGCAGATTGCCAAGCTCAAGGGCGCAAAGGTGCTGGGCCTCGCGGGCGAGGACAGCAAAGTATCGTGGCTGAAGGAGGAGCTGGGCTTTGACGACGCGCTGAACTACAAGGATGCCCAGTTTGCAATGAAGTTCCGCGAGGCGACCAAGGGCCTGATTGACGTCTACTTTGACAATGTTGGTGGGGACATTCTCGACATGGCGCTGTCGCGGGCGAAGCCTTTTGCTAGGTTTGTGCAGTGTGGCGCCATCTCGGATTACAACAAGAAGCAGCCGCAAGGGCTCAAGGTACGCCGACACGGTCTCGCAGGCGTGTGGCAGCGCTAACGCAGGCAGAACTACATGATGATCATCTCGATGCGCATCCGCATGCAGGGCTTTGTTGTGTTCGACTTTGCCGACAAGTACGCCGAGGCTAGGAAGCAGCTGGCGCAGTGGGTGGCTGAAGGCAAGCTCAAGCGCAAGGAAACCATTGTCAGGGGCGGCATTACCAAGGCCGAGGAAGCATTGGTGGCACTGTTTGAGGGAAAGAATACTGGTATGTTGGCTATGCATTGCTGTTTGTGTGGTCCGAGGGCTAACGGTTGCAGGCAAGATCATGGTGCAGGTAGCGGATCCAGAAGCTGTCAGGGCGAAGCTATAAGTAGAGCATGTGTGTGTGTGTGTGTGTGTGTCTGTCAATCACGCGGCAGCGAGATGCATCCATGTACGTAGTGATAGCAGTGATAGTAGCGGTAGTAGTAGTAGTAGTAGTAATACATGTCTACATGTATACTAGCTGCTAGCACTAGTCGGCCGCCCCCCGCGACTTTGCCCCTCGGCCTTGATGGGCCCCTGCACACAACTTTTAGACGCCGCCGCCGCCTTCACCACGACATGGCCTCGCTCACTGTTCCACCCCCGCCCGCCCACGGCATGTTATGCTACGAACCCTCGTGCAAACAATAACCCGAGCCATGGCCGCCTCCGCCCCCGCCCCCGCCTCCTCCGCCTCTGTGGCGCTCGCACGCGTGTCCATCCCCAAGAACGGCGTCGACTACCGCGGAAAAGTGGTGCTTGCGCCCATGGTGCGCTCTGGTGAACTGCCCTCACGGCTTCTGGCGCTCAAGTACGGCGCAGACCTGGTATGGGGCCCAGAGACCATCGACCGCGCCATCATCGGCACCACCAAGCGCCTCAACCCCCACACGTCGACGCTCGAGTTCACGCGCCTGCCCACGTCCAAGATCAAGAACCCGGCCCTCGACCCCGAGAAGCGCGAAAGCGTCATCTACCGCATCCACCCCGAGCTGGAAAAGGGAAAGCTCATCTACCAGATCGGCACAGCCAACCCCGACCTCGCTGTCCAGGCAGCCAAGATGGTGGCCGCCCACGTCGCCGGCATCGACGTCAACTCGGGCTGCCCCAAGCCCTTCTCGACGTCGGGCGGCATGGGCGCAGCGCTGCTCCGAACACCAGACTTGCTCTGCGACATCCTGACGAGACTCGTCGACGAGGTGGGCAAGCCGTTCGACATTGGCATCAGCGTCAAGATCCGGATCCTTGAGCAGCCTGAAGACACTGCCGCTCTGGTCAAGCGACTCGTCCGCACTGGCATCACTGGGCTCACTGTCCACTGCCGAACCACGCCCATGCGACCCCGCGAGCGCGCGATAAGACACCAGCTCAGCATGATTGGCGAGATATGCCGCCAAGCAGGCGTCGCATGCGTCATGAATGGCGACGTGACATCGCGCACCGAGGCGCTCAAGCTCATGGAAGAGTTCAATGTCGACGGCGCCATGATCGCTACCGAGGCAGAGAAGAACCCCAGCTGCTTCCGCCCCGAGGCCGAGGGGGGCCCTCATGAGTGGCGCTCGCAGTGGAAGACGGTCGTTACAGAATACATGCGCCTGGCACTGCAAGTAGAGAACCGATGGGGCAACACAAAGTACTTGCTTGGCCAGATGATTCCCGGAAAGGAAAAAGCATATGCAGCCATGAACAGGTCCAAATGCTACACCGATGTCATCAAAGCCCTGGGTCTGGAAAACGTAGACGACTTGCTACAGCAGGCTCAAACCGTCGACGACCATCTCGGCATACCCATCAACGAGTCGCGAGCCGACAAACGAGCAAGAGTAAAAGAGGCAAGCAAGCCCGAAGCAGCCACTGCCCAACAGCAAAAGGAAAAGCGAAAAGTCGACGAGAGCGAGGAACCAGAGGCTAAGCGCGTCAAAGTACCGGATGCCGAGCCAGAAGTGGCCGCCGTGCCCCAGCCTCAGGAGGTGCTGGCTCCCGCAGCAGCTTTGAGCGTATGAAAGCTCTTGCTGCTTTCCAGGACTCATAGCTGCATGTATTATGAGTGCATCACAGGCGTATTATAGCATTAGTATTTTGAGTCATGAGATTGTGTGGTGGAAGACGATCTGAATGAACAAAATAACAATCTCCTTCAACATACTACCCATTTTGGACAGAGATGACAACTCTCTAATTTTTCTGTTTTCTCATATTCGAACAAGGGACTCGCAGTCTATCGAGGCTTCTACCGTCTAATACTGAATGGCGTACTTTCTGAAACTCATGAGTCTCGTTTGCAGACTGATATATCCTATGGGGAACCCATCGTCACAAGAACTTAGCTAGCTAGCTAAGTAAAGAATTTCCATAACTAAACATGTCTACGCAATCAACGTAGCTCTTGCTGTTTAGCCATTCTCTTCAATGTACCGTGTCATGTTTATACAGATTGTCGCATTTATTTTCTGAATTCTTCACGTGCAGAACTAGCTGCTCTGACTCAAGGCCTTGACATGTGGCGGACGTGCTGAGCGGCTTATTCAACAACCACGGTGAAACTGCACAAATTTGCGTGAACTGAGAAAAACAAAACTTGGTGTGGACATTACAAGCATGTATGGGGCCAGTATGATGTAAGTGGAAAAAAAATGTTTGGTGTTGACGCAAGACGGAAGATCCCGTCACGGCATTCGTTCTGATTGGCTGTCGGAAGGTGCGCGTTCCGAAACCCAGTTCCCTACTTATGATGTTGTTGTGTTGCTTGGTCATATTCGACAAAGCATCCATGCCGCCAAGCGGGACTTGAACCACCGCTGGTTGCTAAACATCAACTAAGCCATCCAGTCCATCATGGCGCCCATACGTACACGCATCAAAACCGCCTTCGAACGTTCTAGTCGACCTTGTCGCGCCCACTACATAGCGCGCCTCCCTCGCGCTCCTTGCCCCCGATGAAGACACTACCAACATCCATTCTTCTCGCAATCATTGCCATTGCCCTTGCCATCTACAACAACGAGTATATGCTCTCACGAGTAGCCCACTCTCCCAAGCACATCACGTCCCTCGCAAGAAACACGAGCCGCATCCACGTCACCACCCAAAACATGTCGACCATGTTTCGCGGACTACCAGTCATACCTGACGACATCTATACAACAGACGCGCCCCGTAACATTGCAAAGTCCTTTCTCGCCATAGAGCAGTCAGAGGGCGCAGGCGCAAAAGTTAGGAGGAGCGTGGGTACACCCAAGCTCAGAAACTTTTCCCCCTTCCTGATGCTCGATCATTTCGCCATACCCCCAGGAGCTGGCTTCAATGATCACCCGCATAGGGGAATGCAAACTATAACGTATTTGCTGTCGGGTGCCGTGGATCATGAGGATTTTGCTGGAAATAAAGGAACTATCGAAAAGGGCGATTTGCAATTTATGACGGCAGGACGCGGCATCGTACATGCCGAGATGCCCCGCCCGAACGCGGACGGCTCTCCTAATGTCGGTATGCAGCTCTGGGTCGATCTGCATAAAGAGCTGAAGTCATGCGAGCCACAATATCGTGACCTTCGCGCAAAAGAAATCCCCGAAGCGACTGCGGACAACGGCAGGGTGAAAGTCAAGGTGATTAGTGGCCAGGCGTATGGCGTGGAAAGCCTGGAAGAGCTGGCGTACACACCCGTTTGGATGCTGGACTTTACAGTTCAACCTGGTGGTAAAGTGAAGCAGCCATTGCCAAAAGGCTGGAATGCATTCGCTTATGTGCTGAACGGCACCATCATCGTCTCATCCGACGGCGTTTCGCGACCTATCCAACAATACCACAACGTTGTATTTGAGAGCGCTGGCGATAGTGTGGAGATATCTGTCGAGGAAGGGGCTGAGACGGAGTCAAGATTTTTACTGGTTGCCGGACTGCCGTTGGACCAGCCCATTGTACAATACGGCCCCTTTGTGGTGACCTCGAGAGACGAGGTCATGCAGGCTATGATGGACTTTCAGAGCTACTCGAATGGATTTGAGCGGGCACAAAACTGGGAAAGTGAGATTGGGAAGAGATTAGTTCAGTAGGCTACTAAACCTGCACTAGATCTCGTTCCACATCCCATTCAATATTTCCTTTAGAAGTAAGCATGCTTGAATAGAAGATGAGCCAATGCATCTCTGCCCGTTCCCAAACTCTCAATCCAAACAAGTAAAGTGGATGTCAAGCAAATCCGATAGAAGCCTCTTTGGTAATGACGATATAAAGAAATAGATAAACGATTAACTACTGTTAGCTATACTACCGGAACTACATTTCTATGTAACTCCGCCAGCCATCTCACCAGGACACAAATATATGGCATCAGGGGTGGTTCCAACAGCTAGAGACGATTCGTGGGTGTGCAACTATTATTGGGCATTTTCTCTACATGTGTGGTCAAATTTAGCCTCTCACTACCTATATTCTCCAGATTAAAGTGAACATAATTCCAAAGCTTAGTCAGCGGTAGGCTTACACATTGACAAGATGATAACGTGTTTTATCAGTAAGCGGCCCACATCAGTAAGTGGCCCACCCCACCAAACCTGACGCGACGCTCTACTCAATTGCTCTACAGCAACTTAATAAAATTAAATTAAATTAAAAGATATTATTCTTTATCTAGCTTTACATGAAGTCCGAGTATGTCCTTGAACGTGGCACTTCGTGCACGTTGGCGGCGCGCGCTGACGTCGCTCGCCAGTCTGGTTCTGGTCACCCCCCATCACCACCCTTTCTGCCTCTGCAATGATCTGCTGAGCCTGTTGGACCTGGAGCACCCCACTAGAAGCGATATATTGACGCTGCCGCTCCTGCTTTTGCGTTGGCGCTAGTTTTCTTTACGTAGCTTCTTAATTTCCTCTATAAGTATTGTTACTGTTTGCATTGCAAGCTG